GTACAAAAGTATGAATTTTTTCAATTTACTTTTGAGCACAACAACCCCAATTATAGACCCAGCTACTGATGAAGAATTTATTCATGAAGCTTTAGAGAAATATATGGATCCCCAAAATGTCAAGGAATTTATGAAGAACAACGAAACCGAAAACTATGGCTTTTCAATATCAACCAGTGCTTCTTCTATTGATGATGACAAGTTTATGCCCATAATTATAACAGAAGCTAGGGAAATAGAAAATGAAATAATAGAAGCCGAATGTTGTGATCAGGCGACCAAAGTTTGGAATATCTTTACATCTGTGGGAGATTCACAATCAGAGAAGTTTCATGCAGTAAATTCGCTTTTCAATGCATACAACTCAGAACTAAGAACACAAAACCAACTGTTGAAGACATGGGAACAGAATATCCAAGAGGACTTTGAAAATTCTATTCAAAATTATGAAGTTCAAAAGTTAACAAAAAATGATTCCAAAATTTTTAAACCAGAAATTTATTTCAGATTACTGTCTGACCAAATAAAACCACTGAATAAAGAAGATATTGACGAATATTTAGATGAAATATTTGAATCTGTTTTGAGATTATACCGGCTAGAAAACTTTTCAAAGTATCGAATACCTTTTTTGAATCTTCAAAATCGTATATTTTCAATAGTTTATTCGATGACAAAAAAAACATCAATGATAATTGAAGCTAGATCTGGCAAACTAGATTTGGGTGATACCCTCAATACAATAATCACAAATAAAGACTGCCTTGAATATCAAATTGTACCTAAAACAAAAAAACAAAGAAGGCATCTATCTCAAGAAGAACTAAATATTGATAATAAATACAGACCCACAAGAGATTTCATAAGGTATATGTCAGAAGCAATCACATATATGACACGACACAGAACATCGTACGGTATGATTACCAATTTAAGCGAGTCGTTATTCTTCAGAATCAATTGTGATAAAAGCAAAGTCATAACACAAAAAAATAAAGATGGTGAAAAAAAAGAATATATGGCTACTTCTATTGATTATAAAGTCATCAGGAGTACGGATACAGTAGTAACCCTCAAATGGATGATTTTTTATGTGCTTTCAAAGCTATTACGTGGTGATGAAGACTGTCGGTTGAGTGATGGATTCATAAACAAAATATCGAAAAGCTCTTCAAAAGAAAAAGCTGAAACTTTACGACAGAGAATTAATTATAGGAAAGCACGAAATCCAAACCCTCATAATTACAAGTCTTGGTTCATCGAAGATACTAATTGCATAAGATTACAAAAAGATGATTTGAAAGTATTACAATTGGGTGATGAGCTTAGAGCTAAAGTTCTCCAATTATCATACAAGTCGCTATCAAAAACTTTTAAAATTGATGGTTTAGAACCAGATCATCAATTTGTGCTAAAACTTTATGATTTCCCCATTTTCAGGGGTTATGATGAAGAAATCCAATTAGATCAATTGAGAAAGTTGGATAGAGAAGCTAGGTTTCTTAAGCACATAAACGATTGTATGCAAAACCCCAAGAACAAGTTTAAAAATGTATTTAATTATCAAAAGTTATACAAATGTTCATACATTGAGGTACTAGACAACAAGGGTAATTTTGTAATAGCAGGTTATGGTTTGATATTTGACTATATTCATGGAATTCCATACAATAGTGATGATTCACATCAAGTACAATTATTGCTTGAACAAGAATATATGCTGTTCTCAATGAAGATTCGTCATAATGACCTAGCTCGTGAACAGAATGTCATCTATAACGAGAAAAATGACTCTGTTACAATTATTGATTATGGTTTAGCCAGCTTCCGGCAGACTTATAAGGCCTGAGCCAAGTGTGTTAATCAGAATTAATGATAATTATATTAGAAAACTGAATATCAAAGCTTGATCCAATCATTTATTACTATTTATTAATTTTTTAGCATTTATAAAAGAATCAGTAACAACAATAAACTTTTTCTCAACACCAGTTTTCTCTTTAATCAATTTTTCTAATTTTTTAATAGTTGCTAATTCTGAATAAGTTAACCCACCAATCATTACAATAATAACAATTGAATTTTTTTGTAATAATCCACCAAGACCAATATTGTCTTGTGTTAATTCTTCATCTATAGTTTTCCCCAAGATTAATGATTTTAAATCTAGATGATCCCATGATGATCTTTTTGTTGTGGAGATGGTTTGTTCTAAGATTCTTGTTATTAATGGGATATAACCTCTATAAGCAAACCCTAAAGGATCATCATCATTTGGTACTAAGTTTAATTTTAAATTTAAATTATTGAAATTTTTTATAATTGATGGATCACCTCTTATAGTAATTAAACCAATTTTAATTAAATTTTGTAAAATTTGAAAATTTTGGAATCCAAAAAATTCTAAAATTTCATTATTTAATTGGATATAATCTTTTTCTCTTATCCCATTATAAATTATTGAAGTTATTGAAATAAGTCTTATTAATTCTTCAAAAGAATAATTATCTTCATAAATCAATTCTAATATTTTGCTAATTATTGAAGAATATGTTAAATTTTGTAATATAATATCTTGTTGAAATTCTAAAAGGATATTAAATTTTGAAAATTCATCATTTGTTTCTAATTGAGTCAAGATTGATTCACTTAATTTTGTATGATTTGAAACTTGTTTTTTCAAAGATTCTAAATGTGGTAAATTATCAACAAATTGTTTAACTTGAGAAATTGTGGATTGAGATTGTAAATCATTATAATTTGATTGCAATTCTTTAGCTTGAGTGTTTAATTCATCACAAGCTTCACCAAAATTTTTAAATTTTATTGAATCATATAATGAATCTTCTTCTTCATTTAAATTGAAAAATTCATCATCAAGTTTTATGGAATTTATATCAATATCATATAATTCATCTATAATCCCTGAATAAGTTAATTGGTTTAATAAAACAGAAAGGAAATCCAAATTTCTTTCTAATACGATTAAATCACATTGTTTACCACTATTATTTGTATTTGAACCATATAATCCTTGATCAATCTTGAGATATTGCTTTTTATCCAAGGGGGATAATGAACTTATATAATTATTATTTAAATTTTTCCAAATTGAAACAAATTTTGAAGAATTTAGTCCCTTTGCTAAGATATGAGTTATTCTAATCTCTGGGTTTTTTAATAGATAATTATGAACCCATTGAGCTAATTTGAAAGGTATGTTGGAATTTTTATAGAGATATAATGAATTTAATTCATCTAGGTATAATTGAATAGTTGAATCTTGTTGAATATATATTAACCAAGAATTTATTGAATTTAAATCACCAATTAACCCATGTTGAGATAATTTAATTTTGAAAGATTTGAAATAATCTTGAGTTAATATAAGATCAATTTTGTAAGAGGGATTGAAGTTGATTAAATCATGGATGAATTCTTGTAATAACTCTAGATTTGATAAATTTGATTTGATTAAGAATGTGATATTTTGTGAAGTTGATTCAAGGATAGTCTTTATTGAATTTTTTTCAAACCAATATACATCCAAGATATTTGTTTTAGATTTTAAATTTGAAAAAGGTATTAATGAATTGATATAAGTTGATAATGATTTTTCAATGACTAATGTTTTCTGTTGTTTTGATAGAATGGATATCAATTGATCTAGTGGGTCAGACATGGTATCGACTGTGGTGTTTAATATATGGTTCTCAAGATATAAGAATGTCTACTTGTTTACGTCTTTATTAGCCATGTTGTATGAATCAAAAATACGAAATTTCCGCGAATTTTTCAAAAGTATAAAAGAAAATAAAAATCCTTAAACTGAAATTTTATTTTGTACAATAATCAAAGGAATTTTATTTGTATTGGGTATTCATACATTTCCGTGATTCTTCACTGGATAGATATTTAATAGGTCTTGTGCCCTTCATTTATTATTTTGCAGTTTTAAATTGGAATACTCAGTTATCATTATGATTACAGTGATAATGTGTGCGCATTAATGCTTTTGAATTTGTAATGAGCATATGGACATTGATAATGAAGCTATACTTTTTAATTTGTTTTGGAAATGATAGACAATGAGAGTATTAGTTTTGATAAAAGTACAAGTTGTATAGTAATTAATATTATATTAAACTTGGTTTGTTTTTGAAATACAATTGTAGCTTGTAACTTGTAATTAATTTGTCATAGTACAATCAATATATATATAAACAACAAAAACTACTGATAATTGACGTATTAGATCAAGTACCATCGTATATATGTACACATGTCAAATCATGAATATATATCTTGATTACAATAAAACAAAGTTATAACCATTAATTAATACTTCATGAATCATGAGTTGGTCTTTATGATCGCGTAACCACTGGTTATGTTCACCTGGTAATTATATAAATATATCCAATTTTTGAGAATACTATTTATTCAGTTGACTTTATGAGCTAGGGTTAATACAAAGTTAAAAAGATGGTAAATGCATTCATAGATTATGACTACGACCTTAGGGATAATCATATCTTGTTTGAAGATACAATTGATAATCTAAATGAGTATTTACCACTCTCTTTAGATAAGTTCAACCTTCAAAATTTATTTAAAATACGTCAACAAGAAATATTAGGAACTCAAAATGAATTTTATCTTGATGTTAATAATAAAGAAGATTTGTACAATGGTGAGTTTAGTGTATTCATACCATAGGAAAAAGAACTAATATGAATTTCCTAGCAATTTCTGCTATTAGAAGGGAGTTTTGCATCTCATACAAAAGATTTGATTCTAAAAATATTAAAAGGCTTAAATTAAAGAAAGGCGAAAGACCAAAATTTTTAAATTCCTTCTGGAAATTATTTGTTTCTACACCAATGGTCCATGATTTAATTTCAAATTATACTGAAAAGAGTGATGAAAAGCAAGCTAATAATCTATTTATTGATAGTGGGGCATTATTATTCCATGATGCATTTAAATCTATTCATTTCCAATCCATTAAAGAAATCAAAAATGATGAATTGTATCAGAATTTTGCTGAATTAGAACTATTTATTGATTATTCATTAGACAAAATGGAAGAAGATGAAGCAGTGGATAACTTAAACAGTTTATTATGGACTTTTCGCATCCTACATGATGAAAACTCTTCTGATGCAATATCCAAGTTTAAAACTTTCGATTTGGGAAAAGATATACAAAACGCCATGAATAATTTCATTGTTATACCAATGATCCATTTCATTGGAAGTCTTTTATTTTCAATTAATGATAAATCTAAATATTGGATTGACTTTCGAAGCTCAAGCTTGATCAAGAAAACACGTCCAAGTGAGTTTTGGAAATCCATTTCTGATGATGATGATAATCGATATCCACCCACTCTAAGAGATGAAGAAATGTTTCATTCACATTTGGCAGATTCTTTAATTACACTTGACTCTAAAGATCGTTTAACATTTATTTGTGGAATAGATTTAGAAGGTCCTAAATTAATTTCAGAGGCTTTAAAAAATCACAAGACTAATAATTTTGCAGAATTATCCAAGACATTCCGTAAAATTGGTCCATTTCAAACTTTTAATAAATTGGGTAGTTATATAATTAGTGATTTCAATAGAACCTTATATTTTGAATACCCATTGAATAATGGTAAATGGTGGAGTGATAATGAAGATGATGTTTCTGTTATTGATGCACCAGTGAGATATAAATTAATTGATAATAGTGGATCTATACAAGCTGACTTTTTAACATTACAATCTTTGTTATTTTTGAAAATCTATGATACCATTAGAAGAGAATTACCTAAAGATTCATGGTTAAAGGATTCCAATGGTAATGATGTATTAACTACAGGAGCATATAGATTATTGGATGAAGGATGGAATCAAGATCTTTTTAACCCATTTGTTTTATCACAGTTTAAACATGGATTTAAAAAAAATGTTGGAGTGGAGAAAATGGGTAATATACCAAGAGATGAAACCAAAACTTCCAAAAAATCTCCAACAAATGATCATAGAAAGACGAGGTCTTCAAAAAGGTTGAAACTCAAAAGTGAATTAGAAGGTACTACTAATGGAAATGATGAAAATTTTGATTCAACAAAATTATTCCCAATAAATACCAATTTAAAAGTGTCAAATTATAAGTTATTGGAAGAATACACATTTTACAAAGGTGTAAAACTTAAAATCAATGGTACTGATATATTCAAACCAAATACAAACATTTCGAATAAAGTATTTTTCAAAATGTTTGATTTATCCAATTTAAAATATCTTCATAGGTATGCAATCATTAATGGTATGCCATATACTGAAGAAGATGCTAAAGAATTCAATCAATCAGAAATTAATATATTAGCTTCATTAGAATATGGTTATAAAGATTTTAAATATGTTTTAAAAGATATTAAAGAAAGTTATTTGAAGGAAATCACAGCTTTGAAGAAAATCAATCAATGGAATTTAACACATGAAGAAAAAGATCAGATTAATTCACCTAAGTTATTACAATATGGATGGACATATCTTGAACTGTTTTCAGAAGGACAACCAAAATATTGTTATTGGGGGCCATTTATCTGTACAGAATTTCTTGAATTTATGAATGATAATGAAAAAGATACCCCTAAACGGATTGAGAACTTTAATAAACAACTTAAACTTCTTTCAAGAGCTAGGATTAAACATAATGATATTAAAAAAGATAATTTTTGCTTCAATGAGAATGATGAAGCATATTTAGTTGATTATGGACGAAGTATTATTAAAGATAATGGATATCTTGAGAATTATGATTGTTTTAAAATTGATCCAAATGAGAAGTTATGTCATAGTTTATAGATCTTTAGAGTATTTTGATATACTAATATAGTTGTAATTCGTTTTCTAAGTTATCAGTTATCAGCCAATATATGGTATGTTGTATGGATCAAATACCCGCGACGATCTCGACAAGAAATTGAAAATGAAAATTTAAAACCATGATCAATAATGTGCAGATTACTTTGTATTTTTGGGATATATTTATATTATATGTGAATAGAAGTTTGTCAGACCCATGAATTGTTTTACATGTTTCTTTGCTTTTGGAGTGTTGGAATTTCTTAAGAAAAGTCCCGTTGGAAAATTATAATTCGACTGGTTGTTTAAGATTTATTTGTCCATGAGTGTCTTGTATCCAGGAAGAAGTAATTTCAACCTGCAGTTCTTGATGGATACCTCTAAAGCACTATCTCTTAGAAACTATACTTTTTAATTTGTTTTGGAAATGATAGACAATTAGAGTAATGGTTTTAATGATGATAACTACAAGTTAAGGTGTATATTGATATTGATATATTGCATAACTTGCTTTGTCTTTTTAATAACCATGTAGCGTGATAGAATATGGATCGACAGTTATATTGAAAAAGTAGTAACAGCTATAGTACTAAGATTATAATCACAAGCCTTTGTGTGATCTTGTACTATGATATTAATGTTGTTTGGATCAAATATACCAATCAAAGGCCGCGAAATTTCTAAACGTTGGATATTTTTAAAAGAAATTTGTAAATCATTTGAATTAGAATCAACTCTTAATATTGCTTGGGTCATATGCTTTTAGAGTAATTCAAAAACTTTTGTCAAATATGTTTCGATATCATGCTCTTTAAGTGGGGTAATTTTTCCTTGAAAATATTAAACAAGTCAGTGTTCTTTACACCCATCCATATAATCAAAAGTATCCTAGCATTTGTCGTGGGATCAATTAATCTGATTCATAAAGCTATACTTTCTTATAATTTGTTTTGAAAAATAGACAATTAGAGTATTAAGTTTTGATGATTAGAAGTACAAGTTAAGAGAATGTTATATATATATTACTCAATATACTTGTTTTGTTTTGGAATGAATTGTAGTGTAATATAATGAGACGAAGTCTCGTTATATTATTATATTACTAAATTATTATATTATTAAATTATTATATTGTTAAATTATTATATTGTTAAGTTATTATATCTATTACTTTTTAATCAGATCTTTAACCCATGGTATAATATAATACCCTACAATAACAAAATCCAAATTTGTAAATTTAATCCATTAAAACGTAAATGATGTGTATAAATATGAATATAATGTGTATGCCTTATTTAGTGTAATGTATTGTTTATTCAGCAGCTTCTTTTTCTTTAGCTAATTTAGCATAATAAGCTTCTCTTTTTTCAATTTTACCCTTGTGGAAACCCCACCACCAATAACTAGCGAAACCTAAACCTAAGGTCAAACCAACAGTTAAATCAACATAAGTTTTTCTGGCTAAAGAGCCCTTGATGATACCAACAGCCATTGTAATATAATGATAATGATATTGTGTGTTTTAATAGTTGATTGTTTTCTGTTTATTGTACGTTTTTCATAGATTTGTTTTTTTCATTTTTCAGTCTTCCAATCAGCGAACACTTAAAACCAAAACCCGCGAAATTCTAAATCAGGGCGACCTTTGAAATTTAAAGTACTAGAAAAAAATTAATCAACGAATAAACAACAACTAGAAATAACTGGTATTACTATCAAACAACAACAAGTTATACAATGTTCGCTCGTCAACTCCTAAGAAACCAAGTCAAACCTATGGCCAGACGTGCCTTCCACACTTCAAAATCTCAAGCTGTCCATTTTGAAGAAGGTGTTTATACAAATATTCCATTTAAAGTTCATAACAGAAAAATTCCATATGCTATAGTTCATTTTAGTTTCTTTGGTTTAGGTTTTGCTATACCATTTGTTGCTGTTTATGTTCAATTGAAAAGATCTGGTTCTATTTAAGTTGGGCTATAAGTTGGTAATAAGATAAGATAAAATATAATAAAATACAAAAATATTATAAGACAGATATTCAGATAATATAAGACATATTTATTCAATACATGATTAATTGTTATATGAATGTAGTATAATAAATAAATAAATAAGGTAATAAATAAGTAATAAATAAATAAATAATAGATCAATAGACCAATAAATAATGATTAAATCAATTTTTCTCTTGCTTTTTCAAATATACTCCAGCTGCTTTATTCCATTTTGTTAAAGTTTCATCACTATATTCTTCTTGAGCAATAATTTGGTTTTTTGAACCCCATTGATAACCAATTAAAACTAATAAAGTAATACCTGTTCCAATTTTAATGAAATTTGATTTGGCATTTTTTGGTGCATGCCACCAACCACCTGTATAAAGTTAATATATTAATACTAGGGTATATATGAGTTTAATGCTTACCTGTTGGTGTCCAAATATGCTTTTGAATGGTTAGTATAATATAATATTTGGCTTATATATGGGCTAATACTCACTTTTGGATATGGAAATTTACCACCACTCTAATAAACATTGTTAGTAATGGAACAATATCTTTATAGATCATTAATATATTCATACCATTTGAAATAAACTTGGTTAAATAATCGAGCTATGATTGACTGTTTATCTAGATCTCTTGTTGTGATAATACTTTATATGATATTCTTTGACTTTTTTGGATATATTATGATTTAATATTTCTCCACTAAATAGAAATCCCCTTATACTATGAATCTGATTATACTATGAATTGAAACACAATGATGACCACTGAATAATGAGATCACAATAACAATAACACTTGATATAATTAGAAACCTATTAATAAAATAAATACAATCAATCCTTCTGATCAAAATACCTTGTTTAAACGAATACAAAATCATCAACAAATCTCGAAATTCTCCTTATGTAAAATACAAAATATTCAAAATGGTTTGAAGCACTGATTGAATCTGCCATTGAAATTACGGGTTTCTTAAATTTATATACACGAAAAATAAATTTAATTTAACGCGTATGTACATTGTACATTGTACTTCAATTAGTATTAATAACAGAATTACAAACAAGGAGTATAAATATGTCCTCTAAAGATGAATTAATAGAAAAATTCGGTCCCAAGATTGACCATGAAGAACTCATAACAAAATGTGAACAAATTGTCAAGATTTTCGCTATATCAATTGAAGATTTATATATAAATTGGGAATCATTTGTTATAACAAAATATGATGGTTTAAAATTAGAATATACTGTGGAAAACCTAGGTTTATTACAAAATTATATTCAATCAAATTTGGAAAAAAGAAAAAATGGTGCTCCAAGTACAACAAAATTAAATAAAAAGATTAACATTACAAATAATAATTCAAGTCCTTTTAATTTCTTACCTTCAACTCCAACTATCCTGAAGAAAAAGCAGAAATTAAATGATTCAACTCCAAGGAAATTGGTATCACCATTAGAACAAAAAACTCCAATAACTAATACACCAGTGGTAAATACTCCAACACCTTTGAAAACAACTCAAGAATCTGGTAAAATTATTGAATCATTAAATAATCAAATCACTATATCTCCAGGTTTTAAACCAGATTTATCAGATGAAAATCCAATAAAATTAATTGCAAATTTTGATCCAAAAAAATATCAATTCCGTACAATGAGAACAAAAATTTTAGAAACTGCAGATATCTTGGATGAACAAATTGATTCATTTACAAAAATTATTCAACAACATTATCAAATCCCTTCATCAGATTTTAATAATCCTTCAATAATATCTCAATCTGAAATTATTACAGTGGGGAGAATCATACCTGATAATCCACAAGTTGAATCAATTCAATTAAATTCAAGTTCTCTTGCATTAGAAACTTCAAGAACTTTAGGGATTGGTAAAAGAATCCCATTAGATTTATCAAATTTAACAGATTATTCATTATTTCCAGGTCAAATTGTTGCATTAAGAGGTAAAAATGCAAGTGGTGATTTTTTTAAAATTAATGAAATTTTAGAAATTCCTTATTTAGGTTCACCAGTTTCTACTAATGATGAATTAACAACATATTATGAAAACTTAGAAAATGATTTAAAAATTTTATGTATTAATGGTCCTTATACTTCATCAAAAGATTTAGATTTTACATATTTGGAAAATTTTGTCACTAAAGTTAATAATGAAATTCAACCACATGTTGTTATTATGTTTGGTCCTTTTATTGATATTTCACATCCTTTAGTTTCATCAGGTAATCTTGATATTGAATCTCCAACAGGTAAAAAAATTCAAACCCTGGATGATATTTTTAAATTTTTAGTATCACCAATTTTGAAAAAAATTAATAATAAAATTCAAATTATTTTAATTCCATCATTAAAAGATTCTATTTCAAAACATGCTGCATATCCACAAGATTCTTATGATAAAAAACAATTACAATTATCATCAACTAAAAATATTAAAAATTTCCCAAATCCTTCTATTTTCCAAATTAATGAAATATTAATTGGTGTTTCAAATAATGATATTTTTAAAGATTTAAAAGATATAAATAAAGGTTCACCAGCTGGGGAGAATAGATTTGATAGAATTTCAAATCATATTATTCAACAAAGAAGATTTTATCCAAGTTTCCCCGGTTCAAAATCTCAAAGAAAAATAACCAGTTCAAATGATGATGAAGATGAATTTGAATTTTTACCTTCTTCAGAATTAGATGTTCCATATTTAGGTTTATCAGAATTTAATGATGTATTACCAGATATTTTAATCATACCATCAGAATTAAGATTTTTCGCAAGAGTTGTTAAAAATACTTTAGTTATTAATCCTGGTGTTTTTATGAGACCAAATTCTTCTGGTACTTTGGCACAAATTACTATTGAAAAACCTAAAATTGATGAATTAACTAAAATTAATGAAGATGGTGAAGATTTATATTTACATGATATTTGGAAAAGAGCAAGAGTTGATATAATTAAAAGTTAGTCTTTACAAGTTTGGGTTTTGGTAACATATTGTGTTTATTATTATTTAAAGATATAAACGAAATAATAGTGTTTTAATATATTGTAAACTCATATCAAAATCAATTCAAATGAATTGGAAAAATAAATTCAAGACTTTCTCCTAACATTATAATAATCGATACTAAGGTAGCTCTAGCATTAATATTACTTATACCATACTTAATTTGGTAAGAATTCGCGCACTTATCGGTTAGCGCAGCATGTTCATTAATCAAATTACCGCGAATTGAATATAAAAAATTCAAATCATTTCTAAGATAAACAATCTTTTAAGCTTAAATATGTATGGCTTAACTCTCGTTAAAATGTTGAACTTCATTATTTAGATCTCTAATGTCTCAATTTTACTCACTAAACTTCCAATTAATTTTGCCCTTTGATAGAATTATTATATGGCAGATTATTATTTAAGGTAACCGTTTTCTACGGATGGCTGATGGTTGATATACTTCTTTGGAATAGGTCACTAGTTTAATAAAGCTATACTTTCTTAATTTGTTTTGAAAAAGACAATTGGAGTATTTAGTTTTAATGATATGAATCTACAAGTTGTATAATGCTGATAAATTATATTAAACTTGGTTTGTTTTTGCAATAGAATTGTAGCTTGTAACTTGTAGCATCATTGTATGAACAATATAAGCAACAATAACGTTAATATAATTGACAAATCAACCGTCATACGAAGTCAAATGGTTAAACAAAGCAGATTTGATGTCATTCATGTTTTAAATGAGTTAAATTATCTAACGTGATATATAATGTTTAATATATGAGACCAAATTTTCCTGGTACCGTAAATTACCATTCAACCCCCTAAATTAATTGATATCATGGATTAACTAAAATTAATTTGAATTTGTCAATTAAGGAATTTATATTTAATATTATATAGTAAACGCACATGCTATATATATGGAGAAGGGAAAGAATACATGTATATAATCATAATATTAAGTACTGCATAATATCACATGCATGAAGTGTACTATATAGTCTAGCTTACAATTGTGTTTTTTAATATAACATAATATATGTATTTATACATTTCAAATATATAAATCAAAAAATAGTCTTTAACATTGTAAACTCATATAAAAATCAAATAATAAATGAAGAAAAAACACTATAACTGCATCTCTCATTAAAAATAAAATAATAAAAATCATAAAAAAAAATCAAAATCATAATACATTTTTGAAATTTAAACTAATTCTTCAAGCTGTAGTCTTCTTTGGTGAAGTTTGTGTTGAACTATTTGGACTTGGACTACCTTTAACTTTATTCTTTAATGATGATAAGAAACTTTTCTTCTTTCTTGGTGATGATTGACTTGAGGCAGATTCAACATCATTTGTGGTTTTAGGTGGGGCTAATTCATCACCATATTGTTTGGCTGGTTTAGATCTAACTGCATTATCACTAGTAGTTGGATTTCCATCAGTATCTAAAACTTTGTCTTCAGTACCAGGAACTGGACCGGTTTGACCAGTGTATGGATTCTTATTTTCATATTGGAAATGTTGTGGTAATGAACCTGATGATGGTTCAATTTCATTCTTTTCTTGTGATTTTGTATGTTCTTTACTAAATTGGTTATAGGCTGATTTGGATGATTTTTGGGATGCTCCTGATGTTGATGATTTTTTATCAGCATTTGGTCCTGCATTACTTGCACTTAATCCACCAGCTGTGGCACCAGCAGTAGCACCTGTGGCAGCACCTGTTGTAGCACCACCTGAACTTGGTTTAGTAGCAGCAGCGCCAGCTGAACCTGTTGGATCAGTAGCATCTTTAGAGCCACCTGAAATACCTTCTTTAGTTTCTCTTTCAGCTTGTTGCTTAGCATATTCATCAGATTTTTCAGCAGCCTTTTGAACATAAACATTACCTTTAGTAATATATTCATTATCACTATTCTTAGCATATTCATCAACTTTATGAGCACCTTGTTGAACATAATCATTAAATTGAGAACCATACTTTTCACCATATCCTTTAGCTTTCTCTAAATAAGCATTATAACCACCACCTTGGGTAGCTCTTTCACCATCGGATGCTAAATTTGAGCTAACATTTTGACCACCACTTGGAATTGAACCTTCTTTAGTTTCACCACCATGGCCACCAAATTTATTAGATAAACCAGCAGCACCTGCAGCGCCTGCGACAGCACCTGCAATACCACCAAGACCAAATCCACCTTGGTTAGCATGTTCCTTTTCAGCACCTCCTAATGAGGTTGGATGTGATTCTTCAGTTGCTGGAACTTTTGAAGGTTTAAAAGAAGCATCTGTAGATTTAACATGACCAGCAGATTTAGGATCTAAAGTTGGTGCACCATCATCAGCTGTTGGTTTATTTGATTGAGAAGTAGCTTCACCAGTAACAAATGGATTTCTATTTGAACCAGCTAAATCTGATGGTGCATTACCACTAGAAGTGCTTGATTTACCAGCATTAGAAGCAGAACCGTGAGAAACATATTGAGATGATGGTGGATTTGAAGCAGAACCTTGAGAAACATATTGGGAAGATGGTGGGTTAGAAGCAGAACCTTGATCAGTAAATCTTGAACCAGTAGAATTATCAGCGTGTACACCTGAAGCAGAATAATCAGGTTTTGATGAACTTGAACCTGAACTAGATTTTCCAGCATAAGCAGCTCCTGCGCCAATACCAGCTCCGGTGGCAGCGCCAGTAGCAGCTCCTGAATGACCATGACTCTTACCACTTGAACCTTGTTGAGCAGCTTGAGATGAAGTATAACCTTTAGCGTCAGAGTTTCTTAAAGCTTGATCTGGTTGGTTGGCGAAAACATCAGAGTTTGTACCAGTGTAACCAGTGGATGATGAACCATAAGCAGAGTTGGATGATGAAGTACCAGCAGTTGATTTATTTTGAGAACCAGAGGTACCATAATTTGGTGGTAAAGTAGCACCTGCAGCACCTGGACTTGTTGGAACACCTGAACCTGATGGGCCTGTAGATTTAGATGTAGAATCATATCCAGAAACTGGTGGTTGAGTAGCAGAAGATGAAGACTGTGGATGAGCTGAGGTTGAATCATGATCACGGGTAGCATATGCAGCACCAGCAGCACCAGCACCGGCAACACCAGCACCAGTTGCAGCTTGTTTACCAGAAATACCATGGCCTGAAGAAGTTGAATCAGAAGGAACTTGACTAGCACCATGAGTGTAGTCTTGAGCAGGGGCACCAGTTGAACCAGTTGTAGCACCAGTAGCAGCACCATGTTCACCTTGACCAGATTGTTGGAAGGCTTGTTTGGTGTTACCAATGTATTGATCAGGAGAGTCTTTGATATCACTAGCTAATTTTTTAGCACTTGAATAATCACCTTTCTTAACATCTTCAAAAACATTTTTACCTTCGGAAGCTAATTTTGTACCATCTTCTTTGGCAGCTTGGGCAATTGAAGTAGCATCCTTTTTGTTAAAGAAAGAGAACAAACCACCTTTCTTTTCTTCTTTTGGAGCTTCAGTAGTAGAAGAAGTTGAGCCATATGCAGAGTCAGATTGAGGAACATCTCTGGTTTTTGATGATAAGCCTGAGACATCATCACCTTGATAACCAGCAGAAGAGGATGGAGCAGTAGTACCTGAGGTTGATGGTTGACCTGTAGCAGAACCGGCAGTGGTTGGTTGAGAAGCATTAGTAGTATCAGCACCATTTGAACCACGACCAGCTAGACCAGCGATACCAGCACCTGCAGCAGCAGCTCCAGCACCAATACCAGCAGCTTTACCGTAACCTGAAGAAAAAGAATCTGGACCTTGAGCATTTTGAGCAGCTAAAGGAGCATCACCTGGACCTCTTGCATTTTCAAGAGCATCAGAATCACGTGTGGCACTTGAGCCATATGGACCTGAAGTAGATGAACCAGTTGCAGAAGAGTCGGTTGGAGCAGATCTTGAAGATGTACCTGAAGCACCAGCAGCACCAACACCAGCGCCTGTGGCAGCACCAGTACCAGCACCAGCAGATGAAGCACCTTTACCAGAAGATTTGTAGTCAGAAGAGTTGAAAGCATTCTTAGTGTTACCAATATATTCATCTGGGTTTTTCTTGACATCACCAGCGAATTTTTGGGCACTTGAGTAATCACCTTTCTTCAAATCACCAGCGATGTTTTTACCTTCAGCAAAATGTTTGGTACCATCATCTTTAACAGCATTACCAAGAGAAGAAGCGTCATTCTTTGAGAACTTAGATAAGAAACCACCTTTCTTTGTGTCTTCTGGGGCTTCAGTAGCAGTTGAACCAGATTCTGAACCAGAAGCAGCAGAAGCACCAAGACCAGCTGCACCGGCACCAGCACCAGCACCAATAGCAGCAGATTTACCGTGACCAGAAGAAGAAGAGCTTGGACCATGAGCATTTTGAGTAGCAGCTGAGGCATCACCAGGACCTCTTGCATTTTCAAGAGCATCAGAATCACGAGTAGTACTTGAACCATATTGACCTGAAGTTGAGGAACCAGTTGGATCAGAGCCTGAAGATTTACCAGAAGCACCAGCAGTACCAACACCAGCGCCTGTAGCAGCACCAGTACCGGCACCAGCAGCTGAAGCACCTTTGCCAGAAGATTTGTAGTCAGAGGAGTTGAAAGCATTCTTAGTGTTACCAATATATTCATCTGGGTTACTCTTGACATCACCAGCGAATTTTTGGGCACTTGAGTAATCACCTTTCTTCAAATCACCAGCAATGTTTTTACCTTCAGCAAAATGTTTGGTACCATCTTCTTTAGCAGCTTTACCAATAGAAGAAGCATCTTTCTTTGTAAACTTGGATAAGAAACCACCTTTCTTTTCTTCTTTTGGAGCTTCAGTAGCGGTAGATTTTGAACCTGAACCTGAACCTGAAGCGGCAGAAGCACCAACACCAGCAGCGCCTAAGCCAGCAGCTTCTTTACCATGAGATTGTGATCCAGATGTAGTAGATGGATTAGCAGAAGAGGATTGTTGAGTATCTTTTGGAACAGCATTGTAAGGATTGACATTATCACCTTGAGGATCAACCCTGCTTGAAGTTGGTTGAGAAGCATAAACATCATCACCTTTAGGACCAGATGGAGTTTCAGCAGCAGCTTGACGAGAACCAATATTTGGTTGTGGAGCAGAAGAAGATTTTTCAGAACCATGACCACTTGAAGCTGCGATACCTGCACCGGCTAAACCAGCACCTGCACCAACACCAGCAGCTTTACCATATCCTGAAGATGAAGATTCTGGACCTTGAGCATTAGCACCTGATGATGAAGCACCAGCACCAGTACCTGCGTCTGAACCTGAAGCAGCACCTGAGCCAGATTTATAATCAGAAGAGTTGAGAGCCTTTTTAGTGTTACCAATATATTCATCAGGATTACTTTTAACATCATTAGCTAATTTCTTTGTACTTGATAAATCACCTTTTTTCAAGTCACCAGCAATGTTTTTACCTTCAGCTAAATGTTTTGAACCATCTTCTTTAGCAGCTTTTGCAATTGAAGAAGCATCCTTCTTGGTGAATTTAGAAAAGAAACCACTCTTTCTATTACTAGATTTTGTAGATGGAGCAGAAGTAGCAGAGTTTTCAGAAACAGCATCATTAGAAACAGCAGATTTACCAGAAGTTGAAGTAGCACCTGCTGGAACACCAGAAGCTCTCTTTGATGAAGAAGAACCTGAACCTGAACCAGTAGCAGCACCAGCACCGGCTAAACCAGCACCTGCACCAATACCTGCAGCGGTACCAGCATTTGAACCTGAAGATGAAGAACCTTTATTGGCAGCTGGATCAAGAGATCTTTGAGTGGAAGAAACATCAGATGGGATTTTACTAGTACCAGCAGTACCATATTCAGCAGGATAACCTTGAGAAGTTTGAGGGGCTGAACCTGAACCTGAACCAGTAGAAGCATCATTAACATTAATTTGAGGAACATTACCACCAGTAGCACCAGTTTGAGGACCAGCTTGAGAGCCAGTTGGAGCACCAGTTTGGGATGGATGAGAAGTATAAGCATCAAAACCTTTAGAAAGACCTTCTTGACCGGCTTGTTGACCACCTTGACCAGCAGCTAAAGCGGAACCACCACCAACAGCGGCAGCAGTAGCAGCGGCAACACCAACACCATGACCATTACCTTGAGTTGATGGTTGAGTGTTTGAAGCATAAGGAACAGAAGTTGCAGGGACACCTTTAGAAGCAGTAGTGGAATCAACAGGTTCTTGAGCAGGAACTTGAGAAGGAACTTGAGCAGATCTATTTGAACGAGATTGTAAATTAGAAGCAGAATCTTCCGGATAAGATTGATAAGCAGAATGTGAAGCTAATTTTTCATTTTGAACCTTTTCTTGTTCAAATTGTTTAGATTGTTGAGCTTCAGCCTTCTTCTTTTCAGCAAGAACTTTAGCTTCTTGTTTTTCAGCTTCTTCTTTTTCTCTCTTGAATGCAATAGCATCTAAAACTTGTTTTGGAATAATACCTGCATGTTTAACAACTTCTTCATCTGAGAAATTTTCCCAATAAGTTTCAGTTGGATCAATTGGAACAGATCTTTTGGAAACACCATTTGAAGCACCACCAGTTTGTTGTAAATAACCTTCAATGTATTGACGACGTGTCTTGTATAAGTTAGATTCATATTGAGCTTCCTTTTCAGAAGTAATTTTACCATAAACACTTTCAACAATGAAATTCAAAGCAACTAATAAATGTTCAGAGAAAAGAACAATAGCTAATAAAGTCCATGGTTGTAATCTAACTGGTGATTTCAAATGAGAAAATGAATCAACATCATATAAATCAGATTGTCTAAATAATGCAGTAACAGCTGGTGCAACTAAAGTGGCAAACCAAGTTAAACCTCTTAAATTCTTGTTCCATGGATCAATTGAATCAGCTTTATGAGGGATTGGTCTTGCAGCTTCATTAAATAATTTATAAGCATCACCTCTGAATTCAACCCAGTTACTAATTAATGAAACAATTGGAGATAATGACCAAACAGGACCAAATAAAGCTAAATAACCAAATTGAATAGTTAATTCTCTATATTCATCATCAACATTGAAAGGAGGTAATGTAACTTGTTTACGAACTTGTTCCAAAAATTCAGCTTCTTCAGGTAAATCAGTTAAAGCAACTGCAGCATTTTGTTCTTTTGATTTTCTAAAATGTTCAGTAACTTTTCTAATAACAACAGGAACAATATTTTCCACAAAGAATCCAACAACTTGATTTGTAACGGCAAAATAAGCAAATTGTTGATTTAAACGGTCTTTATTGATTTCAAAATGGGATTGATTAATAGTAATGTTATATCTATTGGTATAGCCATAAATAAATGATAAATATGGATTAACTAAATGACCAAATGGTAAATAAACAAAACTTGTAATGATTAATGGAACATATGAAGCCAAAAAGTTCAAAACAAATTGTTTTTGAATAACAGAACGATCATGAGTTGTTTGAGTTTCATGATTTTCCCATGCAACAAATTTATCAACAAAAATGGTATAAACCGCGGTAATGATTGGAATAAATGCAACAATTAATACAGTTGGAACTAAACTTAGGAAGATTTTACCAGAACCTTGATAAATTTCATTTAAAAAGATTTCAATAAAGAAACAACCAAATTGATAAGATAACAAAACTAAAGCAAAAGTTAAAGCAATTGGAATAAAAGCCAATTGTCTTAATGATCTCTTGTAGGATGGGAATTTTGGAGATTTAATACCGGTAACATTATCCAATTCTTCAACTTCACCAACAAATTCACTTCTTTTAGGTTCAATTAAAGAAGAATCCTTAGTGTTCCAAGTAATAGAATAGATATTTTCCTTCTTTTTCCATGAATTTGTAAATAAAATGGCCCAAAACAAATTCAAAAATGTGAAGATAGCAGAATATCTCTTAAAGAAGAAATAAGATAAGAATCCAAGAACAGAAGGAACAACTAACCAAACGGTATAAAATCTAACAAAACCAAAATATAATGCAACTCGTTCACCTGCAATATCTTTAATAGTTGCAATATCATTTTCATCAATCAATGGTTTTTTCAACCAAGTATCTAATAATTTTTTATTCAATTCATAATCATGTAATGGAATGATTTTATCAACAAATTCCCATTGACCTGAACCAGCGGTTATACCAGCACCACCTTCAAATTCAGGATCAGTAATGATTGAATAACCAGTACGTAATTTTTCAGCAGTTGTTAATTTTTCCAAAATTTGTTCATCATCATCAATTGAATTATTAACACCATACAAGTAATCTTTTAAATGGAAAGATTTTAAAGCTTTTAATAAAGTTGAATCATTTAATTTGATAAATACTAATAAAGTTGAATCTTCACCAGGTCTAACTTGACTATAAAATCCAGCTTTTATTAAAGTTTTAATTAAAGTAGCAAACTTTCCATCAGAATTTTCCAATGGGATACCTTTTTCATCAACGGTATACTTTACAGAAAGTACAAAATCAGGGTTCAATTCACCCAAAGGCTTAACATTATCCAATGTTTTTGCCGGCATTATATCTAAGTGAGAACAATTGAATATAATACTTTTAAAATTGAATTGAATTGAATTGAATTGAGTTGATAAAGTGAAAATGTTTCAAGAAGAAGGAAAGCTTCTCTGTATTTAAATCAGGCACCAAATTTCACTTTCTCGCTGGCAAAATGAAAAATGATTGCTTTGGGACTGACAGGGACTAGAGTGGACTATTTTGATCTATTTTGGTTGATGGATTTGAAATTTGGCTGTGGAGTTTGGAGACTGGTGAATTACCTAGTTGTGTTCGCGAGTAGTTAATAAGTGTATTTTTGTGACAAGTCTTCGGTACCACACTTTTGGATCCAGGGACTATATATAAACTATAGAGACTAGACCCTAAATTTTAAGCTGAAATTTTATTTGAAATTCATTTGCAATGCAAAATTCAACTAAAATCAGCAATGAATTCAATTCAATTGCCTATTATTCTTACAATTTAGATCTGAATTATATTACTTGTGTTTATGACGAAATACTACATTGATATAGATTGTAAACCATACATTGATGATTCTTCTTTGGCTTCTTTGGCTTCTTTGATGGCTTCGAACACAGCAAATACAATCATTACATCAGTCTAAAAACAGCACAGTAATATCAAACTGACGCAATATTCTATATCAGTGATTACAATATCAGCACTCATCAACCCAGTAATGAACTTGACATGATCAGAAATGAACAATCGTTTATTCACTGCAAAACTGAGAGAAACCGCTTTTCGCTTCCTGTTTTCGTTTTGGGTTGTACTACTCGAGAAAAAAATGAAAATTTATTTGGCAGATTTACTGCTGATAAAGAAAGAATTTGTATATCACAGATCATATCAAATCAGTTTGAAAGACCATCTAGTGTAAGAGGATACCAAGATACCTGCTCATCACACAAAGATCTCCAGTTTATGTCACTTAGATTCTTCAAATCATTCACAACTTCTGCCATACTATATAAATCACCAACCCGCATAATGTCCTTAGAAGAACCATCTACTGCTAGAGTACAAGAATTGATTGCAAATTATGATTCTATATATTCCAAAGTTCAAGAATCCGTTAAATCAAGACCTGATTCAATCAATCATCCTGTGGAATTAGTCGCTGTTTCTAAGTATAAACCTGCTAGTGATATCAAAGCTCTTTATGATCATGGTGTTCGTCATTTTGGTGAAAATTATACTCAAGAATTAATTAGTAAAGCTTCAATTTTACCAAAAGATATTAAATGGCATTTCATTGGTGGATTACAATCAAATAAATGTAAAGATTTATCAAATAATATTGAAAATTTACATTCTGTGGAAACTATTGATTCTTTGAAAAAGGCTAAAAAACTTAATGATTCAAGAAGTGGTGTAAATGGAAGTATCATAAATATTTATTTACAAATAAATGCATCAAATGAATCACAAAAATCTGGTTTAAAACCTGATGATTTCGAAGGAATTGATGAATTAATTCAATATATTACTAAAGATGCAAAATCTTTAAATTTAGAAGGATTAATGGGTATTGCTTCATATGAACAATCAACATCTGAAGGTGAAAACAAAGATTTTAAAGTCCTTGTTGAATTACAAAAACAATTGAATACAAAATATAACCTAAATTTAAAACTTTCAATGGGTATGACTGCTGATTTTGAAGAAGCTATAAGACAAGGAACTTCTTATGTTAGAATTGGGTCTGCAATTTTTGGTTCAAGACTTACAAAAGATGAGATTAAAGAACAAAAATAATCATATATATATAAACTTATTTAATAAATAATTTAATCGCCCTCTGATATTCATGAATGTTCAAAAAAATTAACAATTGAAGTCATCAAATAAGAACTTAAATTTGGTGAAGTTGCTCTAATCCTAAATTCTAAATTATAATCATCGATAATTTTAACCTTCATTAAAGTACCAAAAGTTCCCTGTGAACTAGTATGTAATATCCCTGCTGCAAATATAAATAATTCACTATTTTGTTCAATATGTGCAAATCCTAATTTATCAATAAATCTTAATAACCATGCTCTATCATTAACTCTTTCTGAATATATTTCATGTATTGATTCACCTTGGTTTCCTAAAGTATCAATTTGTTTCCAATGTGATAAAAATTGTGGGAATGGTAATACGGTTGGTGTAATGAATTTATTCAAGAAAATTGGTAATTTTAATTTAATATTATTAAACCCACCACCTGAATTGAATTGAATTCTTAAATTTGGTATTTCATCAATAGAAAATGGTGATCTTAATAGCACCTCGATATGTGATGAAGTTTTCTCATCAATTTCAATATCAGTTTCTGGTAATTCTAATAAATTAACAATAAAATTTGGTTTTATAGTTTTATATTCTGATAAACTTGTTATAAATGAACTTAAAGGTCTTGGAGATTTATTTAAATATGTTAACGTAAATGAAATTAAATCTTTTTGTAAATTTGATTTATTTATCCTTAATATAATCTTGAGTAATGAATTTTCAAAAAAAATACCTTGATTAAATTCAAAAATTCTATAAAATCCTTTATCCCAATTTGGTGTTAATGGAGCCACCACGGCTGTTGATTTTCTTGGTGCAGGTTTTGGTGGTGGTGATTTAGCTCTTGATGAAGCTGATGATGGTGCAGTTGTTGTAGTGCTGGTGGTTGTGGTTCCAGTTGTTGGTGCTGATGATCCAAATGGATCATTAAATTGTTGAGTAATTTGTCTTGGTGTATCATTATCTTCATAATCACTACCTTCATCTGATACTTCAATTAAATCATTTGATTGAGTATTTAATTTTTTGGTTAAATCATCTGTACTTTTAACTAATAATGATTTTTTAACATCAATATTACCTAACCTATGTAATAAAGGATTTTGAATACTATTGAAAACTGGTTGTTCATCAAATACTATATGAAATAAGATTTCACCATTTTTAGTGTTTAATTTTTGAATCATTGCTAAATATTCCACGGCACGTTGTTGTAATTCTGAATCTATTGAATTAATTTCTGTACTTAGAAATTTAATTAATTTTGATTTCATAATTTTATCATTTAAATTTGTTTTTTGTAATTTTAAAAATGTAGTTAATAACATTGCCCTGGTGGAATTTGAAACATAAAAATATATAGTTGATAATATTTCCATTTGTTGATGAATTGAATATTCATCTGCAATTAATATACCAAATTCACCTAATAAATAAGCAGATATCTTGACCATTGGTTCTGCAAAATTTTGTTTGGTAATATATTTCATCAATTCTAAACATGTAAATTTATGTAAATTTTCATTATTAACCACAATTTGAACAACTCTTTCCCATATGGATTCATCTAATATAACCCCCACCTGGTCAATTAATTCCAACATTGTCTTGACAAACCAAAGGGGATCTTTAGCAAATTTTTCACTTAAAACTGAAACTTTTATAGCAATTTCTGATTTTAATACATGATCTGATAATGTTAAAGTTTTAATCAATTCCCCCACAACAAATTCTATAGTATTTGAATCAGTTAATGTATAAATTAAATCTAATGATTTCCTACAAATTGAAACATCATGATCTCTTAACAAATGGAAAATTTTTAATAAATGTTTTCTTGAAGTTTGTAATGAATATGCTCCACCTGATGAACTTAATGAAATTAATGAATTCAATGCAAGATATCTTGTATTTGTTTCATTTGAATCTAATAATTTTGTTATAGCATCAATTGAAGATGCAAGGGCTTCTGGTGAAGGGTCTAAATGACTTGCAAGACCAATTATGGCAAATAAAACTGAATTATGAGCATTTCTCACGGCTAAGTCAGGTGTTTTTTTGGTAGTAAATTCAATTGTTTTGGAAACACAAGATCTCAGGATTCTTAATGTATTTAAATCAATATCTAAATATTCAACACTTGGTATTAAAGTTTCTAATAATCCACATAATCTAACAATCAACCAAGGATTTGCAATTTGTCCAAAAAAATAATGATCTTGAATTTTGGAAGGTTCCATAATTAACAAATTTAATTTTTTAGCTAAAGTTGGTATTATTCTTTGAGATTGTTCAAAATCAATATATTTAGCAATGAATTGAATTAAGGGTAAAATTGATAAAACAACACCTAAATCATTATCATCACATAATGTTAAAATTCTTGGGATCCATGGTGAATGTCTTGCAAATATTTCAGGACTTGATTCAACTAATTTTATTAATGCTAATGAAGATCTTTTCTTTAGTAATGGAGTTGAAGTTGGTGATCGAAGAATTTGGAAAACATCTTCACTTAGGAAATTTGCCCATGTTTCATTACCTAAAGTTGCAATACATTGTAAAGCTAATAAATTATGTTCAATATCTGGGGAACTTAAATCATTTTTAAGGGAGTTCACAACTAATAAAAGGAAATCAGCTTCTGAGTCTGATTTGTTATTAGTTGAGATTAATAAATTAATAGCTAAATAACCAATTGATTTTTCAGAATATAATTTTGATGATAATAATTCAATAATTTGATTATGACCAAATGATAAATTTAATTGAGAAACATTACAACTAATTGTTAAATAAATATAAATTAATTTTGACACATATTTTTTCCTTTGATAACCAGTTAATTTTGAACCTGAACTAAATTGTTTTTGTATATTAACAATTTCTGAATTTATTCTTTTGTCTTGTTCTTCTTTAGCATTTACCGTCCGAAGGTCAGCAATAAATTGCTGTAAACCTTTCATATTCCCAGCCATGATAAAAACGAGCCCTACCAGATGAAATTTTGTATGACGTACCAATCAATGGAAGACACTCTCGTCTTAATTATTCAAAAATTGATGGTTAAAATGTCAAATCAAAATAGATCAAAACAGATCAAAATCATAATACCGTGAATTCAATATCGGTAAAAATGCAAAACGCGGAATTCTATAAATATCGGAAACATCGCGAAGTTGAATATGACAAAATCATCAATTGTTAAGGTAATAAACAGGTACAATGAGCAGTATATCATATGGTTCAGAGTTACTATTATCTTATTCATACTCTAATCATGTTTAAAAAAGATTTAAACATCTTCTAAAGTATGGATTGTTGAAAAAAATTTGAAAAAAATGCAAAAAAATAAGTGCTCCGCGACGGGGAATTGAACCCCGGTCTACCATGTACTGTCAGAACAAAATTCGCGACAAACGGTGATTCTAGCCACTAAACTATCACGGAAAATTTTGGCATAGCCTCCGGCACCTAGTCCCCTGCTAATTTTCGCGGCTTATAACCACTAAACTAACAGGCAACTTGTTAAAATTGTAAGAGATTGAAAAGTTGACTCGGTATATTATGTATCACGTGACCAATGTCATGTTTCTTCAAATTTATAAAGAACAACAACATTTATATTCAAATAAAGTACATTTTGATAAATTTGAAGCTATGATATACATTATTAGCTACATTAGAAAATATTTGGCTCGGTGAAAACATGTTTAAATCTGGATTATTTGTATATTATTTATTTGGTGTGTACCCGGTAAGTGCAGTATCTGACAGTCGGCCGAGACACTTATAGCTTTTAGTGATTTATTTAAAATATCATAACTTAACAACAAATTGGTGATTGTGATTGAAACTAAAAAGTAATTATCTAAATTAGCTGAAAATATTCCCTGTGTATTTATATTAGTGAAATTCCGGCTTTGAAATTTTGAATTTTTTAAGACTATCAGTATTTGGAATTTAAAATAAAATTAATCATGTTGACAATATTTTCAACTTTTAATTTTTTTAGAAAAACCTGCTTCAGAAAGTTGTTTAGAATATTATTGAATTGTATTAAATTATTAATTGACCATAAATGGTTCAAAATGGTCAACTTTTCGCTGTTTTATTAGAGTTTTTGTATGAAACCCTGTGCTTACATAATCAAGTTAATATAAATTGATATTTATAATGCATAGAATCCTTAAAGATTTCATTCCTTTTAAAAATTTTATCCAATTGAACATAATTCACACATCAATTGACCAGATCTTCACCATAAATCATTTCATTTATACCTGATCCACTCTCAAAATGCCTGATTTGAATATCATCTCATTGGATAATTACTATTCCATCATTGCAAGAGGTTTAGTCCTAGTTTATATTGCATATAGATCATATTCACACAAATCATTAACAAATTCAGGTATATTAGCAGCTTTAATCACAGGTTTCATTCATTCATTACCTCCATCAAACTTATACCTAACTTTAATTGTCACTTTTTACTTAACTTCTTCAAAAGCTACAAAATATAAAGAAAATATTAAATCTAAATTAACTAAAACACCAAAAGAGAAATCTTCATTAACTAAATCTCATGATCAAAGAACTCATATCCAAGTATTATCAAATTCAATAGTTGCCACTATATTACTTATTGCCCTAGTGTTTACAACAAATGAACGTTATCAAACATTATTGAAAACTGGTATAATAGCTCAATATACTGCAGTTATTGCAGATACTTGGTCAAGTGAATTAGGCATATTATCAAAATCAGACCCTTTTTTAATTACAACTTTCAAGACAGTTCCACCAGGTACAAATGGTGGTGTATCTAAAGTTGGATTATTAAGTGGTATTTTAGGCTCAGCTTTAATTAGTGGAGTTTCAATATTTTCATTTGAAAATGATAAAATTTCACATTTTATTTTCTTTACAATTACAGGATTATTAGGTACAATTATCGATTCATTATTAGGTGCTTTATTACAAGCTTCAATTGTTGATAATCAAGAAGGTAAAATACTTGAGGCATTAGGTGGTGGAAAAATCACAAATGAATATTTACAAAATAATGATAAAGTTAAAATTGTATCAGGTTATGATTTATTAAGTAATAATGGGGTTAATGTATTAATGGCTACAATTACAACTTTATTGTCTATAGGTCTTTATTCTATATTGTTTTGAATGAATATATATATGAAATGCCTATTCTTCATCAGATTCATCTTCTGAATCTTCTTCACTACCTGATTCATCTGTATATTCTTCAGAATCCATTTCTTCATCATCATCATCTTCTTCTTCATCACCTTGATCATCTTTTGAACTTGGAACTTCTTCAACTGAAACTTCATATTTCAAATCAGTGAAAAAATCATTCAATTCTTTAGCTTTTGATGGATGAGAACAAATGAAAATAACTGAAGATTCAGAATTAAATAATTTAACATAATATTTTTGTAAAACTTTAACTAAATCATCTTCAGTAATTTTTGAAATTTGTTCAATAAATTTATTATTAAAATCTGGACCTCTTTTCTTCAAGACATTATCAACATATTTTGTAGCAGCTGCAGTATAATAATTAGATTCTGATGAAGCAATTGAATTAACTAAACTACTAACAGCACCTTGAATTAAATTCTTATCCAATTTAACAGTACCATCAGCTAAATCATTAACAATCTTAGAAGCAACTTTAAAAGCACCAATAGCATCAGCACCTCTATAAATATCAAAAGATAATTGACCAGTTTCAACACTTCTTGAAACATTTGCCCCATATGCTAAACCTGTACCTCTAATACCTCTCCAAAATGGACCTTCAACAGCTTGTAAATAAGATGCAGCTAATGCAATTGCAGCAGAATCTTCATTATGATAATCTGTTGGAACTTTAGTTGATGCTAATAAAAATGTTGATTCTGAAGCTGGTGCTGTAATGATTTTAACTTTTTTAGATAAAGATTTACCTAATTCTGTACGAACGTTAAAAGTACGTGGGATTGGAACTAATGGTTTAGAGGAAATTGGTTGATTTTGAATTAAATGTTCCCATGATTTGATTGGATTTTCAATATTTGATAAATCACCACTTATAATAATTCTAAGATTATTGGTATTAAATAATTTTGAACGAATTGATTCTAAATTTTCTTCAATTTCTTTAAATTGACCATTTTCAATCTTGGATGAAATTTCTTTGAAAAAATTTTCAGTATATAATGAATCTTTTGCATGTTTTATAGATCTTTCAGTGAATGAAGTTCTAACAGTTAAAGAAGTTAACATTGACATACCACTTCTTTTTGTAGATGGTAATGCATTTAATAATTTATCAACAGTAACTTTAATTCTTGATTCATCAAATTTTGTATTCCAAAAAATTTTCTTAAACCAATCAATTGCCTTATAATAATCTTGTTTTTTAACTTGAATTTTAGCATCAATTAATTCACTAAATTGATTATTAAAAGCAGTATAGAAATAAGCTTCCACTGTATCATTTTGTAAATCTTTAATAACTTGCTCATATGGAATTGTTTTACCATTGATTTCTAAAGGTAATGTAAATAATTCTGAAAAAATATCAAAATATGGTAATAAATCTTGTGGGATTTCTAATGAAGATAATAAAATATCAATTGAAATAAATTCTGATTTAAATTGATCGATATTTATATATAATGGGAAATTTTGAGGAGTATTTTGTAAAATTTTAGAAACAAATTCATTTGATAAATCATTTTCATAATCTTTATTTAAACCAACTGCAATTGAAGTTGTATTAATAAATTTAATTTTTGAAGGATCTGGTTTAGGGAAAGATTCTAAAATTTCATTTGGAATTGGTGCATCATTAATAGCTTGAACTTTATCTAATTTTTCCTTTAATTCAGCTAATCCATCTTCACCTAATTTTTCTTTTCTATTTTGTAATAATTTTTTATTATCATCTTTAACTTTCTTATATAATGCCTTGGATGGTTTGGCAATAACAATAGCTGGATGATTATTAATTAAATATTTTTGAAATAAATCAACCCATTGTTCAATTGACCATTCAGAAATTGCCTTATAATCATTTAAAGCTCTTAAATTAGTTGAAAGATATTTCCCTTCTAAATCTGAATATAAGAAATCAGTAATAACAGAATCTGCAAGGATATCTTCAGATTTTTCCACTGCAAAGATTAATTTATCTTTTGCATTTGCCACAATTTCACGAACTCTTGTTAAATCAAAATTCTCCACAGTAGCATGTTCTTTTAATAATCTAAATAATTCATTTTTAGCATATTCTAATTTATCAGTTGGAACATCATTTAATTTAATATATGGGATTGTATGTGTATAATCATCAGTATTTGCTTCTAAATCACTTGCTAAAGGTTCATCAATTTCAACAAGATTTTTGGTTAATAAAGCAACTGAAGATTCAGTTAAATAATCTAATAACAAAGTGATTGCAAGGTCTTCTTCATATTCTTCATGTTTTGGACCAATCCAACTAATACTTAATTCACCATGAGATTCATCTTTATCAGGGAATTCAATAGTTTTAATAATTTTTTGTGGTAATGGAATAATTGGATATTTTGAATCAACAAAAGGTCTATAAATTTCACTTTCATTATTTAAATCAGGTAATTCATCATCAAATTTATCTAATAATTGTAAAAATTCTGATTCATCAATTGTACCAGTTAATATAACACAAAGATTACTTGGTCTATATGAAGATTCATGAAATTTTCTAATTGTATCATTTGATAAGACTCTTAAATTTTCCATAAGCCCACCAGTCTCAGAGGAATATCCTGATTTTTCATGATATAAGGCTCTTTGAGTATCTAAAGCGGATAAAAACCATGGTTGATTTTGAATACCTTGCATTTCAGAAAATACAACACCTTTTTCTTTACCATCACCATCAACATGATAAACTTCGGTATAACAAGCTTCATCTGTAAGAGTTGGATTTAAGATATGATCCAAATAGATTGGTAATAATAATTTAAAACCTTCCCAACCAGCAGTGGTTAAAGTATAAACAGTTTGATCAGTAGCAGTCCAAGCATTTGTTGAAGAAAATGCAATATTACCTAAAGTATCTAATAAACCTTTATAAGGATATTTCTTAGATCCCATAAATACCAAATGTTCTAATGTATGAGGAGTACCACTATCATCTTCCACTTCAGTAGCAACAGCGAAAAACCCATTAACAATTGGTGATTCTTTATCAATATGAACAGCTTGAAGACCAGTTCTTTTAGATCTCCATTTCTTGATGGAAGAAGGAGCGTATTCCACGTCGAAATTAGCAATCTGCTCAAAGTTTGATCCTGTCATGATTCTCAACCTTTGATTTACCAATCTAGAAAGATTCTTGAGCATAAACCAGTGGAAGGAATCACCAAAACAATATTTGTTTATTTGAATTTGCCATTATAATAATACCAGCGGCTAAAAATTCGCGAATAAATCACATATTACATAATCATTACATAATCAAAAAATTCTTGTCAAATTTTTTTTTTTTGTTTTTTTTGTTTTTCTGGATGTTTTTATGCTTCTTGAAGCGATGCGTTGAGGATCTATTTTTATATCTGCGAGCGATCCATAAAATTTAGTCTTGAGACAAAAGTAAAACGTTTTTTGATCAACTAGTATAATTATTGTTAGTTTGAACTCTAGTTGTGGTCTAATTGTTGAAGTTAGGAGATCAGTCAGTGATTAATACTTATAGAATAGACGTGTTTCACCCCCATGAAGTTTAGTATACTCAGTTTCCTCATTTTATTCATATCATACGCGTTTGCTGCACCAGCACCAGTTGGTGAGAACAATGATCCTCCAATAACACATTATGTTTATTTTGATATAGCTCATGGTGATGAATTCATGGGTACTGTTAAAATAGGTTTATTTGGTTCTGTTGTTCCTAAAACTGTTGATAATTTCTTTATATTAGCAACGGAAATGGGGGAAAATAATAGAGGTTTTAATAATACCATATTCCATAGAATTATAAATGATTTTATGGTTCAAGGTGGTGATTTTGCTACAGGGAGAGGTTTTGGTGGTTGGTCTATTTATGGTGAAAGATTTGAAGATGAAAATTTTGAATTAAAACATGATAAGGTTGGTAGATTATCAATGGCAAATGCCGGTAAGGATACAAATGGTTCACAATTTTTCATAACAACTGTGGTTACAAGTTGGTTAGATGGTAAACATGTTGTATTTGGTCAAGTCCTGGAAGGTTTAAATTTAATTTTGGAAAAAATTCAAAAAGTTAAAACTGATCAAAATGATAAACCTGAAATTGATGTTAAAATTATAAAATCTTATGGTGAAAGAAATAATTTAATTACTGACGATCAAATTGAATCTTATAAAGAAAAATCTGATCCTGAAGTTTCCAATAATAAGTTTGGTGTGGTATTTATTGCTTTAATCTTACTTGTTGTTATTTATGCTGGTGTTAAATATTATCAAAAAGAACCAAGATATGCTTCAATGAAAGATTCTGAAGATTAAATAATTCCACTAATACCCATTTTTTTTTTTTTCGCTAATCAGACTCTTTTAATTTATTTATCTTTATATTTTCTCAATTCTTTTTATTCATATATACAGCTTATATATACAGTTATTTCTCGTTTATTTTTAAAATGGCGTTATACCAGTATACTCTTCAAATTCTTTAATCAAATCCCCCTTATCAAGATTCTTACCAATAAATACTAATCTTGAATTTTTTAATTCAGTCTTAGCATCTTCAATCAAATCATAAGTATCTCTAACACCTTGTAATACAAAATTTTCACCATCAGATTTTATAATTATACCTTTTGATCTATGAATTTCAACATTTTTACCTTGGATTTTATTTTCCCAAAGAGAATTTTGTATAAATTTTTCTAAATTATGGAAATCAATGGGTTGTAATAAATTGAATTCAAATGATATGGTGGAAATTCTTGAATCATGGAAACTTCCTTTATTTTCTTCAATTATTTCATTTATTTTAATATTTTTTTCAAATGCATGAAGATCTAATATCTTATTAATATCTATATCACCAAATTTAGTTTCATAAATAGGTGCTATAGAATTAATTTTTTGAACTGTTTCCAATAAATTTGCTGAATTTCCAGATAATTTATCCATTTTATTTAATAATATAACATCAGCTAATGCAATTTGTAAATGTGCAGTAGTAATACCATCTTCAAGAAATTCCATCCCATTTGATTTATGCCAATGACCACCAAAATCACTCAAGCAAGTCTCTATATGTTCAGAATCTAATACAGTAACAACACCATCAATATAAACATTACTTTTCAATCCATCATCAAGCCAAAACATACGTGCAATAGGTGCTGGATCTGCAATTCCTGAAGTTTCAAGAAGAATATAATCAATCTTATCAGCACTTCTTGCAATTAAATCTTCAATTGCCTTCACACCAATATCTTTAACTGAACAACAAAGACATCCATTACCTAAATCTAACCAATCTTGATAAGTTTCATCACCACTTGTTACTGTTAAACTTTTTTCAATTTCACTAGAATTACCAAATTCATTCAATATCACAGCTAATTTTTTACCACCTTTTTGAGCAATATGATCTAATAATGTACTTTTCCCTGAACCTAAATAACCTGTGATTATAGTTATAGGGATTTTCTTATTTAACTCATTATTACTATTATTTGATTCTAATGATTTATTTAAATTTAATACTTTTTCTCTGCGTAACCTTGAATCAACTTGGATTTTTTCCAATCTTTCTTCTAGATCCTCTTCTTCCCCAGTCACAAGTTCAGGAATATCATCAAATCCACTCATTTTATTCTATTAACTGATCCAAATATAATTTTGACACTAAATTGGTATAGTTCAAGTCCGTCAAAATTATTTCTCTATATAAAAAAATACTCGGAAATATGAAAAGCAAATAAAAACAATAATACCCATCAAAACGTCACCAATTTACTCCAAAATTTCAATCAATCCACCAAAACAAAATGGTTTCAGCCATTGATTCAATTCTTGTGGTGGTCATCTCAGTCCATTTGTTCTATTCACCTTTTACAAAAGTTGAAGAGAGTTTCAATATCCAAGCAATCCATGATCATTTGACTTATGGGCTTGATGTTTCGCAATATGATCATACTGTGTTCCCAGGTGCTGTTCCAAGAACTTTCTTAGGTTCTTTGATCTTGAGTATATTATTGAAACCGGTTCAATTGGTGTTGGAAAAGGAGATTACTGATTTGGATTTACAAATATTGACTCGTGGTGTCTTGGGGTTATTAAATGCTATGGGTTTAATTATATTAAAAGATTCCGTATTATATCAAATTAAACAAAATGATAAGAAATTAAAACAGAAGAACCATCATAATTATATTAATTTTTGGTTTATTGCTTTGACAATTTCACAATTTCATTTAATTTATTATTCTTCAAGAACTTTACCAAATTTTATTGTTTTACCATTAATAAATTTTGCAATTTCTAAAATTATTACAAATGATTATTCAACTGGTATTTCAATATTATCATTTGCTACTGTTGTTTTCAGAATTGAATTATTGGCATTAACATTATCCTTAGGTTTCACCTTGTTTGTTTTCAAAAAAGTTAGTTTTGGACAATTAGTTAAATCTTCAATTATCGGTGGGGTTATTGGTATTTTGATTAGTGGTGGTATTGATAGTTTTTTCTGGCAAAGACCATTAGTACCAGAATTAGAAAGTTTTATATATAATGTTATTGATGGTAAAAGTGAAAATTGGGGTGTGGAGCCAATTTATACTTATTTTACAAAATATTTATTAACAATTTTCTTACCTCCAACAGTTTTAGCATTACAAGGTTATGGTATTATAAATGATCATACAGGTAATAATTCATTCTCTATATTATCAATAAGTTCATTATTATATGTTTCCATAATTTCAATTCAACCACATAAGGAATGGAGATTTATTGTTTATATAATCCCAGTTCTAACTTTAGTTGGTGCTAATGGTGCATCAGAATTAACCAAAAGAGCTTCAAAATCAATTGTTTATAAAATTTTGGTCCTTTTAGTGTTTGGATCTTCATTAATTTCATTTGCTATATCAAGTTTTTGGTTAAAAGCTTCATCATTAAATTATCCAGGCGGTGTTGCATTACAAGAATTAAATGGAATTATATTGAACAATGCTAAAACTGGGAAACTTTCTAATCCAATTAATGTTCATTTAGATGTACCAGCTTGTATGACTGGTGTTACATTATTTGGAGAAATTAATGAAACTCCAAATTTACAAATAATTTATGATAAAACTGAAGATTTCCAAGAATTATCTACAAAATGGGAATCATTTGATTATTTAATTACTGATGTTTCAGATTCAAGTAATTTAACTAAAATTAAAGGATTTAAATGGTTTAAATTAGATTCTATTAAGGGGTTTGCTGGTATAAATACTTCATTAATTAAATCAATAACTCCAGAATTTTTATTAGATTTAATTAAGGTGACAATTAAATCTAGGAATTTAAATCCAATTATGAATTTATTTAATTTATTATTTGTTCAACAAGATTATCTTTATATTTATACTAAAGTTGAATTAAATTCTAAAGAACATGAAAAAATTGTTCAATTATTGAAAAATATTTGAAAAACCTTGGTATATAGGATGTTGTTTTTGTATAATATGAATGTTTTTACGATGTTGGTTATATTATATCTTTATAAAATTTCGTATATTTACATGACATTTGAACCCTTGATATCCAGAGGTTTTTTTCTATATTACTTAAAAACTATGACTTAAAATTGAATTTAATTTTTTCTTATAATTACCTTTAATTAATATTTTTTTAGATTCCATAATAACTTTAAAATCATCTAATTTAGCTTCAGGTAAAGCAGCTTGTAAATCATTTCTTAATTGTATAATATCACCATGAATTTTTCTTAATTCTGTATATGGAACATTTCCACCTTTATATTCGGTATAAATTGGTAATTTATTAAATTTTGTTCTTTGTAAATTATAAGTTTTTGAAAATCCTAAAGTATTTATTTCTGAACCAAATCCAAGATCTTTAACTGTGATATTTTCTAATTTTGGGAATTTTGGAACTTGGTGGGATTTTAGCCTTATTTGACGATTAAGTGATGACGATATTATGGATGCTTGTTGACGAAACATTATGATAATGATATTTGATATGAACAAAATAGTTGTTGTTGATCTTCTTCTATTCAACTTTTCAAAATCATTTATACTTTATTCATTTTTCAAAAATGATGTTGATATTTTTTTGAGCGCGAAAAAGAGGAAATCCGAGGCACAAACACGTGATATTTTTGATCCGAGGGTAAAATTTATATAGACTTTATACATTTTAAACAACTTTTAATTACAAATTTAAAGCCAATTGATTTAGTTAATTAAGATGAAATTAGTGCTAATTATATGTCGAGTCTCTAAATTACTGATTCACAAAAAACTATCTCATCTATTCTTCTAATGAGTCCATAATCTAACATGTTTATCCTTACCACCACTTGCAACTCTTCTACCATCAACACTCCAATCAATTGAATAAACTTCATCTTGATGACCTGGTAAATCCACTGAAAGTTTCTTGGTTCTAATATCCCAAACTTTCAAAGTGGTATCTTTGGAACAACTAACTAATAATCTACAATCTGATGACCAAGCTGTTTGATAAACTGCTGCAACATGACCTCTAAATGTAGTAATAAATTTACCAGTTCTACCATCCCATAATTTAATTGAATTATCAAATGATGCAGAAACTAAATTTCTACCATCTGGTGAAAATTGAACATGATTAACAAGTTTTTGATGACCAGTCATACGACATATTGGTTTACCAGATTTTAATGGTTCCCATAAATACATTGTAAAATCATCACTTGCAGTAGCAACTCTTTCTTCAATAACACCATTTATTTTAGCAGCTTTTTCATATAATTGTCTTGCCTTCTTGATACCTTCTTTTTGATTTGCTGGTTTAACACCTGTATGATCAAAAGGACCCATTCTTAATGCATAATCTGTTGATAATGATAAATGATTAACCCAATGAGCATGTGATTTCAATGTATTAATAACTCTACCATCTTTTGCATTCCAAACTTTGATAGTTTTATCATGAGAAGCAGAATAAATAACACCTTCACCACTCCATTTAACACATGAAACTGATGAACTATGTCCACTTAATGTCATTAAAGCAACTCTTCTTGAAGTATCCCAAATCTTAATGGTACCATCTTTAGAAGCTGAAGCTAATTTTGGACTATCACCTGGTTTAACAAGATGATAAGGTTCCCATGCTAATGACGTTATCCATTTGGTATGACCTTTTAAAGCACCACCTAATGATTCACCCTTTTCACTCCATAATCTAATAGTATTATCCATACTACCTGTAGCAATTTTTTCACCATCTGGTGACCATGAAACACATAAAACCCAATTTGTATGACCTTTTAAAATATATTGAGGAGTTTTAGTTTCACAATCCCATATTCTTGCAGTTGAATCACCTGCACCTGTAACCATTTTGGAACTTGTATGTGGTGCAAATTGTGTACATAAAATTGTAGAAGTATGACCTGCAATAGAAGCTGCTGATCTTGTAACTGGTTTAACTTTAAAAATAGCTCTTGGTGTATAAACTAAAGTCATAAAATCTTCTGTTGTTTTAATACCTGGTTTTAAAACTGATGAATATAAATTATCTTTAATATCAATAACATCACCTTTATTAGCATCATTTAATAAACTGAAAGAATACGGCACTGGTTCATCAGTTTCACCTAAAAGTTGGTTAAGTAATTGTTCTAATTGTTGTTCTGAAATATTACCAGGAACTCTAATACTACCACCTACTGAATCACCAGTATCTGAAGCTTGAAATTTAATTAAAACATTTGGTAAATCTTCTGGTACTAGATCAACTTCTCTAGGTTTTTGTGATTCTCTTTTTTGTCTCTTTGATTGAAGAGGAAGTAAAGTAGCCATTTTGATATGTTATTAGCAAATGCTTTTTAGCTTTTTATGTGACTTTGCTTTCTTTATGCTAAATGTAAGATAGCGATGAGCTCCAGATAAACTTTTTTTTAATTTTTACTTATACGGAATAAAAAAAAATTTGATCATCGCTTACATAATAAACATAAACAAATATCCCAAAACAATTGAAACAATTGAAAAACTTTGAATAAACTACAATTTAATCTTTTGAATCTATACTAAAATATTATATATTAAATCATTAAAGAATGTACGCCATTCTTGGAAGTAGAGAGTATAAAATAGTCATTAAAAAATAATAATCAAAACACAAAACAATTAACCTCCGTATTCAGAAGATTGTTCAGAAGATGAAGTACTTGCACTTGTTTCACCAAATGCTTCAATTCTAATTGAAACTAGCCATGGATCATTTAATAATTCCACTGCAGTTTGTCTTTTATTTGGATCTTGTTGTAAACATTTCCACAAAAATTTCATACCAGCCTCACTTAATTGATCTTTAGCTGGAAATTGTGGTAAATGTCCTGCTGCAATATGATACATAATTGCCCACTCATTATCTAAATTAGCCCATGGTCTACGACCTGTAGACATTTCCAAAACACAACAACCTAATGACCAAACATCAACAGCACCATATCTTGATGTATTATTACCAGTGATAACTTCTGGTGACATATACATTGGTGTACCTGTCATACTATTCAGTCTTGTTGCTTGTCTTTTTGTGGAATTTTTAGCAATAACTTTAGCTGCACCAAAATCAACAAATTTAATTATACCATTATGATCTAATAAGATATTTTCAGGTTTTATATCTCTATGAACAATACCCATTTCATGTAAATATGCCAGACCTTCAAACATTTGTAGAGCATAAACTTGAATAACAGTTTCATCTTCAATTCTACCATGTTCCAATAGACCTGCTAAAGAACCACCTTCACAAAATTCCATAAATAAATTAACTTTATCACGATGAACTTCAACACCATAATATTGAACAATATTTGGATGATTTAACATTTCCAATACAGTCATTTCTTCTTTAATTGATGGAACAACTTGTTTTATAGATTGTGTATCTTGGAATCTAATCTCTTTAACAGCCAAGACACCACCTGTATCTAAATTAATTGCTGAATAAACACTACCAAAAGTACCACCACCAATAAATTTTCTCTTTTGCCATCTAATTGATAAAGAAGAAAATGATGAAGCCAAGAATGTTAAGAATTGATTTTCAGTATTTGTATCATCAAGAACTTTACCAACAGTTTCTTTTGCACGTTGTGCTTCTAAAGCTTCAATTTGTTTCATAGTTTGTTCACTAAAAGCTTGTAAGATTAAATGATCATTTTGTAAACTATTTGGTTTGAAAACATTATTCAATGATTTCTTTTCAGCTTCACTTGATCTTGCACCCATAATATCAAAATGAGAAATTAATAATGACATACATCCTGCAACTTTTTCTTTTAATTTATAAAATTGTTCTTCATTTAATGCAAGAATATTAAAACCTTTTGAAATTTCCATAGCAAATTCTAAAGCGGAAACACACCATCTAAAAGTTTTTTTATCAGTTGGAACACAATCATCAACAATATAACTAACCCAATCAATACTTAAATCAATCATTTTCAGAATAATTGCAGATTTTCTTGCATTATCTGAATTTCTTAACTGATTTTTACAAAAATCTCTTAAAAACACATATAGTGTATAAATTGAATCATGAGTATTATTAACCTTTTGTATCATTGGTTTCACAACATAAAATTGATCTAATGAAGTATGAACCAATCTATAGAATAATCTTTCAATTTTATTTAATTCTTTTTGAACTTTTGGTATACTTGATTTGTATTCAATAAATGTAACATTATCATCAACTATATCAGTGAAAATAGCTTTTGTATGTTTTAATCTTGCAGAAGAACCTTGTGTGATTAATAAAACTTCACCAGGTTTAATATCAATTTGAACATTTGGAATTTGAATTTCCACTGTAGCACCTTCCCATAACATTGGTCTAAAAGCACTTACAGCTATTATATAACCAAATTCTTTTTCTTCTTCATATTGATCTAATTCAATCATTGTAGCTTCTGGTTTATAAGGATCAGTACCTATTTCTTGGCCAGTTAATGTCTTTATGATATCTTCATCTCTACCATAAAGATCACTTGATGCAATAAAGTAAACACCACTTGAATTCCCAGTTTGAATTAAAAAATGTGAAGAATTTTTCAATAATTCTAAAAATGGTTTAACTCTATTTAAACTGAAAAATGCAGAATTATTAAAAGATCTTGTGATAACATTTGAAAATTTACCTAATTTTCTTCTTATAGCACCAAAATTATCTATTCCATTAGCACACCAATTAGTTATATCATTTTCATCTTCGATTGTTTCTAAATCTTTTGATTGTGATAATACATAAGAATTTAATCTTGCAATTAATCTTGTTGTTATACTTGAAAATTGAATAGCAATTTCAGGACCTGCATTATCAACAAAATAACCAAAATTTTTCAAATGATTCCAATGATATTCTAATTCATCTGGTTCTTTGAAAGTTCTAAAGCCTCTTCTTGAACCATCTAATAACTTTCTATGTAAAAGATGGAATAAATATTTTATAGATTCTAAAACTGTATCATCAAAATTATTTGGGACTGGGATTTCAATATCCCAACCTTTTTTAAATTCAATTTGAGCTCTTTTCAATTCTGCAGCTAATCCAACATAAGATGGGAAATCATCAATCATTTCATCAATCATCATCATTGTTGGACTATCAATTTTTCTTGCATAAGCTAAACGGATTTTTAAAGTTTCTTGAATAAGACGCATTGGGAATGTGCAAAGTTGAGATAATTTGGGGATAAAACTTGGTAAATTTAATTCTTCAAACATATCTTTATAAGAAAGATAAGCTAATTTAGCTTTATTTATCCATGGTACATGAGGTCTGAAAATTCTTCTTTGGAAAATTGATGCAATATCTTTTTCTTTCAACATTGTATCAGCAAATGAAGTATTTATGAACCCATCATTCCTTATTTCTGTTAAATCTAAATTAGCACTTTGAGTCCATTCAACCAAAACTTTAATTTCTCTATTTAAAGCTTTAGTTATATTTTTCCATGAAATTAAACTATCAATTCTTCTTTCAAAAGCTTCAGATGCAATGATTGGTTTCTCTAAAGCCATTTCTTTAGAATCTCTCCATTGTTCTTTAACATTATCATATCTTTCTAATAATTGACTAATTTCTTTTAATGCATCTTCTTGATCAACAACTGTAAAATTTAAAATATCAGTTATGACACTATCAGCTAAAGTTCTACCATAACTAATGATTTTTTTTTGTTGTTCTTCAGAACGTCCAAATACATAAGCTCTTATACCTAACCAAAGATTTTCTTTATAAGTTGTTTGTAAAGAAAAATCCACTTGAGTATTTATTCTTCTTTTTTCAGATCTAACAACATCACCATTTAATACTAAACTTAACATTGTTTGCCATTCTAATCTTTCTAAAACTTTTGGATTTTCTTTACCTTGTTCAAAATCTGAAGAATCAAAATTACTAAAAGGTTCAATTTCTAAACTTGTTTCATCGGGTATTAACCCATTTGGATAATCTTTTGAATCAATATCTAAATCATCTTCATCATCTTCATCTGAATCTAATTCACTATCTGTAGTTTCAGATGTAATTGCCTTTGTATAATAATCATCAGCTAAATCATTTTTAATCTTTTTCAAATATGAACGTTCTTGTGTCATATAATGAGGAGGTTGTTGAACCATTTTATTGTTCCCACTTGCACTTCTTGGTTTTGAAGTTAATCTTGAACCACCAGATGGAGTTCTTACAGGTGAATAAGTATTATCCAGTAGTGAAGTTCTTTGAGAATTTAATAATGAAGAACGACCATTAACCATTGAACTATTTGGAGAACGATGAACATTTGCTAAATTTGTTGTATCTGGGATTTTATTTGAATAACTTGTACTTCTATGTACTTCACTTCTTGACGGTATACCTGGATTTGAACCATTTGTATTTGAATTTGGAGAAGAATTAGATCTACTCAATTTCTTCTGCATTATGAATATAAAATAATAGAATAAAGATAACCAATTTCAGTAACTATAATACAGTATTCTCTTCTTAATCTGATCTAAAACCTAACCTTTGATATCTGTTTTCTTCTTATTGAAAGAAATCACCAAAATATTGAAATCTTGTTTAAAATTGCTAACACCTGGTTCTCAATCTCACTATTTGTCACTTAGCGCTTAAAGACAAGCAAAACCACAGTACACACACAAAATACCCTGAACAAACCAGAATCAAACCAATCAGCACACAATCAGTGAAAACCTCAACCTGATGAATATGATCTATAGCACACAATCAGTGTCAATAACACTTTAATTTCAGTTCAAAATTTGATTTAATTTGTTCAAAAACTTGTGTTTATTTGGTACCTGATTTTCTCAATTTGCTTTTTTTGTTGATCTTTTTTAACACCAACAAAATATTCGCGATAAATTTTAGCACATACAAAAAAGTTTAAATATGAGTACAAATGAATTACTACAATTTTCAATTACATTTAGTATTTTTGATCTATATTATAAGATTTTATATGCCTGTTATGATTTAGATCCTTGGAAACAATGGGATGCAGGAAGTGAATATTTGCATGATATTGGAATAAAAAGACATATTAAATTTTGATTTGAATAATTATGGTATACTATATATATATAATTAATTCTGACCCTTTATATTTTTGAAGTATTATATGCAAGATCATGATGAAATAAATAATTGTACAGATTCTTTTGATTTTATTGTTTTCTGAGGAGGGTTTTTAGATAATAATAAAAAAAAAACACAAAAACTTAACGAGTCATTCTTTTTTATATATATGTCAAAACAAACTTTTGATTTTTTCTATTTCTTTCTTTTTTTCTAAACTTTCATAAGACTCATTAAATGTTTTGGATTTATAATTTTTTTAAAGATTTTTTTTAGGTTTTTTTGAATTTTTTTTTTGTATAAAAGATATATGTATATGGATTGAATGTTTAAATTAATTTGTAATTGTTGAACATCTCTCAACTTGATTATTTCAAATGATGAAATAATCTTGGAGCAACACAATCATTTATATGATGTTGTAAATGGAAGAATTCTTCAACACAATCTTCTTTATATTCTTTATCTTCATAACCTTCTTCTTCTTGTTCTTTTAAAACTCTAGCAACACATTCTTGATAATGATGAACATAATGATGGTTTTCTGGTAATTCAGCACATTGAGCTCTTATTTTATCTAATTGATCACCACCTTCTTCTTCTTCTTCATCTTCATCATCTTCATCTTCGTCTTCATCTTCTTCTTCTTCATCATCATCACCACCTTCTTCTTTTTCTTCAGATTCAGCTTCACCTTCTTCAGATGATTCAGCAGTTTCTTCACCAGATGATTCTTCTTTTGGTTCTTCAGCTGATTCTTCGGTGGATTCTTCTTTTGGTTCTTCTTTTGATTCTTCTTTTGATTCTTCTTTTGGTTCCTCTTCTTTAGTTTCTTCTTTTGGTTCTTCTTCTTTAGTTTCTTCTTCTTTTGGTTCTTCTTTCTCTTCTTCTTTTGATTCTTCAGTTTTTTCTTCCTTTTGTTCTTCTTTTGGTTCTTCTTGTTGAGTTTCTTCATTTGAAGTTTCCTTTAACAAATCATTATTAGTATTTCATACTCTTTCATCATAATAAAACGCAATCAAAACATACTTCATTATCAGCAAAAGCTAAAGTTGGAACAAAAGTTTCCATTAAACCTGAAAAGAAAGACATCTTTGATAATATTTTGAGGTAAGTTGTGTTGTATAAATATCAATCAGATAATGATCAAGTATTGTAATTACAATTGTTTTCAATTTTGATTAATTTCGCTCTATTAATCAATGGCTTTTTACCTTACAATTTTTTTGAAATTTTTAAAATGAATTGTCTTATTGGCTACAAAAATTTAGCTGGGAGATTATGTCATTGTTGAGTCAGCTTGTGATCATGAAGAATAAAAGTATTAAAACAAGGTGTTTAGAGTACTGCTTACGCATTATGATGGTTATTATGGTGAATGATATCTAATAGCCCATCTTACAACAGTCTATTACTATTTTTCCTGATGTTCTCATGTTGATTCCTTGTAATTCCATTAAATAATCGTGGTTTCCTGAATTCTCAGTGGTTGAAAAATTAAAAGATCATCGCGAATTGGGACACAATTAAACTATGGAATATTGATCTTTTAGATTAGAAAGTTGTTAAAGTTGACTTGATGTACTTGTACTTGGATTAGATGAGAGTGGACAATGAACAGTGAGTAGTATACGTTGTACTGATATTGGTCTATGCTGTTGCGGTTTATGTCTTTTTCTCGATGGTGATCCGATATATATCAAATCTTCTGGGTATTAAGACATAGTATGAAAAACTAACTCTATAATAAATCAACTTACAAGATTAAACTACAACTCATTATTCTTTTAACAAGGACACCATTTATTAATAAACAATTCTTTTTTTTCAAAAACATAATTTATAAGGTAACGGTTACACCTTAAGCTTTAGCAGCAGCAGCAGCTCTTTTAGCAGATTTAGCTTGAGATTTAGCACCTAAGATACCACCACCCCAGTGTTTTCTGGTTTCATCGAATTTATCGTTGAAGTTAGCAGTAACAGTTGAAACTAAAGTAGATAAAGCACCTTCATCTTCTGGTTTAACTTCAGTTAAAGCGGCAACAGCAGCGGTTTTTAAGTGAACTAAAGTACCTAATCTAGCTTTACCTTTAACAATAGCGTATGGAATACCTAATTTTCTGCATAAAGCTGGTAAAAAGATAACTAATTCAATTGGGTCAACATCGTTAGCAATTAAAACTAATTTAGCTTTTTTGTTTTCAATTAAAGAAACAACATGGTTTAAACCATATTTAACAACGTATGGTTTTTCTGAAGCTTCTTGTTTTGATTTACCTTCAGCGATAGCAGCGGCTTCTTTAGTTAATCTTTCTTTCTTTTGAGCAGAAGTTTCTGGTCTGTATTTGTTAAATAATTTGAAAGCTTGAGCAGCAGTGTTTCTATCTAAAGTATGTTGGAATTGAGCAATTGCTGGAGGAACTTTTAATCTTAATGATAAGATTTTTTTTTGTCTTTGTAATCTAACATATTCTGGCCATTTAACAAATCTTGATAAGTTTCTTTTTGGTTGAATGTTTTGACCAATACCGAATTTCTTTGGTTTTGATTCAGCTAATGGTGATTTAGCAGTTTTACCTTTGGTGGTTTTGGCACCAGCTAATGGAGCTGGAGCGACTTTCTTTCCTTTTGGAGCCATTTTTAAATGATAGATTTAAAGGTTTGGTAGTGTTACAAGGAATCTAAATAAAATTTGACTATATAATGAAAAAAATTAGTAGTTTGATGATTTTTTTCACCATCACCAATTCCCAGCCAAACGAACTCTCACACTACTTTCGCTATACATTCGCGAACTTTCACCATAATAATTCGCGCTTTCGCGATTCCATTAAAAATCTTTTTTTCAGTTTTTCAAAATTTGTTTTGTTTTTCAGAAAATTGAAAATGTGACTGCTTTTATGAATTCTGGTGTTTGGATGACTTGGTTGGACAAAATTGTGGAGTTCAGTTGATCATTTTGACACAAGATAAGGTTCTTGGAAAGGCTGGAGGATCATCATGAGGATTTAAACCAGAAGGGTGAGCTGGTCAATGGCCATTAATAGATTGATTAATTTGGAAATTGCTCTTTCTATTAATTGACAAGACAATATCAAATGGGGAATGTTAAGTTAAGTAGAGATTTACAGACAAAGCTGGAAGACAATAGACAATAGACAATAGACAATAGACAATATAGACAATAAAAGACGAGTTCATGATGAGTTCATGATGTAATAGTGAGTTTCAAGGATATTGATTGAGATGTACCAAAAGATTGTTCAACTACAATTTAAATATCATAATTATTAAAATATTAAATTAAAAATCAAGTATTAAATATAAACTCATAAAACATCATTAAACAAAATCAAACTCATAAAAACTCATATGCAAAATATTAAAAGGAATATGCAGGTATATAATAGCAAATATATATATATAATGTGATCAACACATGATAATTCATGCTGAAATTTCAGAAATTTTAGCCTTTTCAGCTTTACTTAAAGAAATTTTTTTTAAACGTAATTGATTTTTTAATACATCAATTCTTTGTTCCAATTCTTCAACAGTTAAATCTTCTGGTTTACCAGAATTCCAACCTTTAGCTCTATCAACAGCTTTTGTCCATAAATTCCAATTTTGACGTCTTGATTTACTATCCAATTGTGATTGGAAAACTTCACCATCATCAAATTGTAAAGATTCTTGAACATCAACAATTGAAGTCCAAACTTTTTCTTCATCATCTTCAAATCCACAACCTGCTGCAATTGCTGCACCTAATGCAGTAGCTTCACTAACTGGAGTTTTTCTAATTTTAACACATGGACCCAAGATATCAGATTGAATTTGAACAAATTCATTAGATTTTGATAATCCACCATCAATAGCCAATTGAGAAATTGAATTTGAAGGACCTTGTTCATATGGAACTTCAGCACCATCCTCCATAAATTCAGGATCTTCACCTGCATCTGTAGCCATAGCTTTTAAAATAGCTCTAGCTTGATAACAAATACCTTCTAAAGCAGCTCTTGCAATATGTGAAGCACTAGTATATTGAGTTAAACCGAAAATTGTACCTCTTGCATCTGGATCCCAATATGGTGCAAATAAACCAGAAAATGCTGGAACGAAAACAACACCACCAGCATTTGGAACTAAAGTAGCTAATGGACCAATATCTTGAGCTTTTTCAATCAATTTTAAATTATCTCTCAACCATTGAACACATGAACCTGCAACGGCAATTGAACCTTCTAGGGCATAATGAGCAGTAGCATCTTCTTCATCTTGTAAATTTTTAAACCAATAACCAACTGTAGTAACAGCACCATTATCAGAATTTAATGGTTGAGAACCAGTATTTAACAATAAGAAACAACCAGTACCATAAGTACATTTAGCAGAACCTTTTTTCAAAGCCAATTGACCAACCATTGATGAAGATTGATCACCCAAGACACCATTGATTGGAATTAATGGACCAAGAGATTTTAAAGCAGCTTCACCTTCTTTAGTTAATAAAGTTGGAGCACCAATAGCTTCTAAATTTGGAACTTTAAAATAACCAAATAATTCTGATGATGAACGAATCTCTGGGAATTGTAACAATTCAGGATCAATATTCCATAAATCAAATAATTCTGAATCATATTTAAAATTTTTAATATCCATAAACATTGTTCTTGAAGCATTTGTAACATCTGTAGCAAAAGTATGATCTTGAGTAATATGATACATTAACCAAGTATCAACAGTACCAAACATCAATTGACCAGCTTCATAAGCTTGTTTAACATGAGGTTTATTATCCAATAACCATCTTAATTTGGAAGCACTAAAATAAGTTGAAACAGTTAAACCAGATTTTTGTTTAACAGCATCCAATTTTTCTTCTGGAATATTCTTCAACATATCTTGAACAATATCTGTAGTTCTAGTATCATTCCAAACAATACCATCATGAACAGCTCTACCAGTATCTTTATCCCACAAGATGGTAGTTTCTCTCATATTTGCAATCCCAATAGAAACAATCTTGTATTCTTCTTCACCTCTTGATTTTCTCTCCTTATTAACTTTATCTAAAGTAACTTTACATGAAGCAAGACAAGTAACAGCATTTGAAATGATATGAGTTGGTTTAATTTCAACCCAGCCTGGATTTGGGAAAGTTAAAGTTGGACCATCTTCAGTATCTTCACGTTCAATTTCTAAATCATCAGTTGCAGTAATTTGTATACCTTCAGCGGAATAAATTTTTTGTTTACCATCAGTTGTTGTGTTTGCAGTTGTTGAATATTCAATTTGATGAGATGCAACTTCTTCACCTCTTCTGTTGAACAATATCGCTCTTGTTGAAGTGGTACCAATATCAATGGATGCCACTAATTTGTATTCTTTATCAGCAGTCATTGTATAAGAATATTAAAGTATCACAATAGTTGTGTGTGTGTGTATGTGTTGAATATAATGAAAAAACAAGAGTGAATAAAATTTTCAAAACATGGGAACAAAAAGGTCTTTATATACTATTTCGATATATTCAAACATTTCTCCAGATGAAGGCGATCATTGCAGCAAAATAACAAAGAAGATGCAACTTTTGTAAACACTTTGTGGGTAAAAACAAATGAATTTTTGATTTTTGCGTGCTCAAAGTTCAAAACTGCTGGGAAAATTTTGACTGATCAAAAATTCATGCACGTTTGAATTTTAAAAACTGGAGAATTTGACAAACGGGACAATATTTTACAAATGGGACAAGTTGTGGACATTTTGAAGCGGGAAAAATATGAGTATGTGATTCCTGAAGTGGACAGGACTCAATAGAATATAAGAATTATATTAGTTAGTATAGTTATGGTATAGTTGTGGTACACATTTCTTACTTTTGTGAACCACTCTGTGTTACAGTGTACGCGAATTTCTCCACCGAGAAGACGCATAATCTCAGATATACGGTGGATTCTAAATTTCTCTTTAAAATTTCGATTGGCCCGGCCTGAAATGATTCTGATTTCTGATTCTCAACGGGGGAATCGGGCAGCCGTTGACTCACTCTAGACTGGGGCAGTTCTTCAAAGGTGTTACAAGAGTGAAAAGGCCAGGCCCAGAACACAGTTGAACACAAGGGTGGTTACTTGTGGGAGTATTAGAAATTAGGCAGAATCCAATGCCCCAATGATTCACAGCGTATCTATAGATAGAACACACGGAAAAACTTGCAAACAGCAATTCAAGCCTATAACCGATAGAGTACAAAGAGCGTTGCGTATATACTATTGCTGATAACAATTGAAAAGAACAGCCACAGAGTGAGGTAGCCTATCTGATGGTGAGCTCATAGACAGTTAATCGCAACTACATTAATCTCATAGTTAATAATAGATCAATATCATCAACACCATCAACACCATCAACCAGCATTAATGCATCCCCAGAATCAAGTGGCTACAACTACATTCGATTCTACCGAGTCCATGAAATCCCTGAACACTTTGCGTCTGTGACTGTTGAAAATGGAAAACATGATCAACAAACTAAAAAAAACCACCAGCATTTCAAAAACAATTCCGATGTGGGAATTCGGGGGATCGTCGGTCTGCCAATGATTTCTTTTGAAAATTTGAGTGACCGAGAAATATTTTACTCATTATACTTTACCAGCATTTCAATGGGAATAACAGGTAAACCCTGTGAAGTATGAGAAGTTATTACCTATATTCACTGAGTTTCACTCCATTAGGTCACTTACTTGGCTTTTTGAGTTGGTAAACTTTCACGTATTCATACTTTAAAGTTTCGAGTACTCATAATAATAAACAGGTACCAACTCAATTCAAGATAAAATAACTCAACATATGTCCAAAACGTCCAAGTTCAAAGAGGCTATTCATAATATCTATCCCCTATAATCAAAGTTTAATGTTATCCCTCTTGGGAGTTTATTTCATAATCGGACTCATAAATGTTCAACAACTAAAGCCCAGAATTTCTCTTGAACTCTCCACATTATCAGAACTTTTAAAGTGTTCAATCCAATAAGATCAGAAAACTTTGTTGGTTTTTGAAACATGAGCATTGAGCTCTACAATGTTATTCGTCGTAAATGTTATGCTCAAAATTGGGGGATTAAATATCACTACATATACATGAATCAAAGATTAGAATTGAAACATCATGTGCATTTGATGCATTGATAACTGTTAAAACTGTTTAGTTATTGTTTGTATTCATGTTGAATTATTTTATTGGCTTGATTTTTAATTAGGGCGCCTGATATTTTGAAAAAAATATAGTTTATCGCTTAAATGTTATGGATTGGTGGTGGTTCATATGATTAGTAGCTGTTATAAACTACACACTACTAAAGAGAAGAATTTATGTTCAGCTATACATGAAAAGGATTCAATCATCAGTTATATTTTGCCATTTCAAGTTTGAAATCAATAGATAATCATTACCATTTCCATAAGATTGATCAATATTCTAGGGTGTTTTATTCATGTTGACGAATACTAAAACTATATTTTTATATTGAATGTCTACATATCATACTTGTTCATATTCATATTTATGCTCATATTATTATTTATCAAAAGTTTTCAATTTGCTTATTCACCTTTATGTTTTTTCTTTTACATAAAAATATTGATGGACTGATTATATTGTGGAGTGAACATAGTTCATATTAGTGGTTTGTTCGGCTAACAAAGTCATTGAGTATGATTTGAATCCCATCTTTGACCATATATGTTTGTTGGTTAAGGAGGCTTATGTTTGATTCTGGGGACATATACGATATCGGCTATCATACTTGATTTGGGTTCTTGATGTTATAACTCTTTCACTATGGTTTCGCATATGGTGATGATTTTGTTGATATTGATCATAAGCTATCGGCGGCTAATTTATATGGATAGTTAAAGGCTATATTAAATTCAGGTACCAGTTGTTTTAGTCTATTAAATATCGTTTTGGCTAGCCTGTTTGGCGATTATTATTATTAATTTGTTAAGATTTGATTAGAAACTTTAACTTTGAATTCAAAAGTGGATTTGATTTTGATACCCAAACTATTATTTCAACCTCAAAGTTTTTTTCATTCTTATTTTGGTGATTAAAATTGGAGATATGTTCAAGTATCCAAGATAAATAAGGCGGTATTACCAGAGTCATCTATTCATTAATCATTACATAAATTTTGGATGATTATTCTTGTATTCAAAAGGCTTTGGACATTTCATATATCATGGAAATTAAAGTAAAGTTTGTCTCCAAGCAGATGAATCAATGGTAATTACGCTCTAGAAGGTCACCAAAAAATAATTCAAATTTCTATTTGTCTAATTATTCAATATAGCGGCCTAAGTTTTTTAATAGTTTTGATCAATCAGGGAATTGTGGAGGATATCTTTTAAACTTCCAGGGGATAATTATTTTCAAGAATACTTTAAGGAATAATTGAAAAGAAGGTTTTCATTACGATGATGAATACGTTGAAGAATATGTTCATGAAGGTTCATGATTATTTTTCATATGTATTTAAATTATCGGGAATTAGTGGGCATGAAATTATCTGGGGTAATGATCTAGCCTAGTATTAATTAGCTATACACCAATCGATCAATATGCCTTATACTTAATTGACAAAAAGGTACTAACAACAATGCAAGACCAAATTGATAGATTATCTATAAAAGTTTAGTTTACAGCTGCGTATCGCCTTAAATATTCCCACCTCTGAAAAGCTCAAATTTCAGTACAATTTCAATACCATGTATAAACTTGCTGATCAATAATCTCAGATGACGGTTACGGCGTAAACGGGGTTCCCATCTATCATTATGTTGATCCTTTATTATATTATTGGGACTCCGATTTATCATCTATATAGCAACGTTCTTATTGTATATGCTTGGGAACTTATCCTAATTTGAGAGCCGAGTTTTCCTATTTTAATTTCATATTCATCTTCAGAGCTGTATAATGAAGTTCAATGAACTTTAATACTACGCCTTGTTCTTTTGGGATATGTCAGTACTGAACCAAGATTCATGACTTTATGAATTTGGGAACTCCAAGAATAGTCTGTATGGAGTTTATGGAATAATAATTAGGCGAACGACAAACCAACACTGAGCCCAGTACTAGATAGTAGACTCTACATAGCATGTCCATGGTTGAACGAGTTGAACATGAATATACGATAGAACAAATAAACAGCTAGATGAACTACCCCGGATACAGAACATCCAACAGAATAGGTATCATTATTCTATAAGATGAAATATGTATAGATACTTAATACTAAGTACAAACTTAATTAACCGTTATAGATTTTTTTTATACCTTCTAAATTCAGACACCAAAATGTACCAAAATTAACAAACTTTATGCATTCCCCCGCGTCGATGCATACGATTTACAATTGTCAAAAAAAAGATTGGACAAAAACCCGAGGTGCGTTTGGGAACCGGAAATATGATACCTGATGAAGAAAATATTATCAAGACAATAAAACAGTTTAGAGATGGAAAAGGGATATTTGAAGCGCATTTTAAGGGAATAACGTGGGATTATTCTAGTGGCGTATATAATATTATCATACGGTATATTAGTTTATATTTTATTATATACGTACTAAACACCGTAGTCATGATCATTGGTAGCGAACCTATACAAATAATATTCTCATCTAAACGTAAACAACGGATAAGATCTTAAGATGAGAAAGAAGTCCTTTTACAACCAATCAGTACCAAAGTTAACAACAATTTCTATTTCCAAAACATTTCTCGGTTCAATAGTTTAGCCATAATTCAATGAATGACTTCAAATGTTTTCCTTAATTACCTTAAACCAAAATTTAAACTTCATTAAAACTCTACTTATGTGTTGGCAAGGTTAAATTGTCCATAAAAAAAACCACTCAGTAATTAAATTATCATCAAGTTTCTTGTTTTGACCCAGTTTCCTTTATCCTTTAAAGCAATGCAAAACTATAATTAATTGGACATGTATATGTGTACATGACTAGGGTTTTAATTCCAGTATGGTATATTGTCTTGAAAAAAAAGTGTACTATAGATAATTTATCCAAGGCATCAATATTCATATAGTATTCTTCTTGTAAAGAAACTTCTCTTTTAATCACTTCAAGAGGTTTTTTGTAGAAAGTTGAGAGAATTATAAATACCCTTTAAAAAAACCCATTGATTTATAATAATTTTAAAATCTAGTTCTTTGAATATATTCATTTGAAGATCATTCTTAGTTAACAGTCACAGTATAGATATAAAAATATGTCTATGGGTAGTAAACCTGAAGTCTTTCATTCTGATGATATAACATCGGAATATTTGGAGGAAACATTACCTGGAAGACCAGTTGGTAAGTAAAACAAATGAATGTAATGGAGGAAGATATTTGAATATTGCAGTTAAGATTTGTTATTTGAATTGCGGATACCCATTTTCTCTTTACTTATTGAAGATTTAAAATGTTTAAGAGGAGGTATCCTTATATATCTTCCTCTTAACTAAATATGAGAAGATTGTTTTTTAAATCTAACAATTTGAATAACTTTAGCATCATATAATCAAGGTCAACGACATCCACAACCTTATGATCATTTCAATAATAATTATTTAAATTCAAATGAATTACCAAATTCTTCATCAACTGCATATTCTTCATCAACTCCACCTTTCAAACTTACATCACAACAAGATTTAAATTTTAACAATTTACCTAATGTAGCACCAACTTCAGGTTTAGAAAGAGCTGCAACAAATAATTCTAAAATTGAACCACATTTATATACAAGATGGCAAAAAATTAGACATGCATTTCGTGAACCATTTGCAGAATTTTTAGGAACAATGATTTTAGTTATGTTTGGTGATGGTGTTGTAGCACAAAAAGTTTTATCAAAAGGTGAAGCTGGTAATTATACCACTATTGCATTATCTTGGGCAACCGCTGTTTTTTTAGGGTATACCGTGAGTGCAGGAATTTCTGGTGCACATTTAAATCCTGGTGTTACTTTATCATCTGCAGTTTTCAGAAAATTCCCATGGAGGAAAGTTCCTGGATATGTATTTGCTCAAACATTTGGTGGATATATTGGTGGGTTATTAGTTTATGCAACATATGTTCAATCCATAAATGAATTTGAAGGTGGTGTTGGTATTAGAACTGTTGGTGGTGAAACTTCAAGTGCAGGATTATTTTGTACATTTAGTCAACCTTATTTGAGTACTGGTGGACAAGTTGTATCAGAATTAGTTTCAAGTGCTTTGTTACAATTGGGTATATTTGCAATGACTGATCCTTATAATAATCCATTAGGTCAATCATTCCCATTTGGATTATTTTTATTAATTTATGGAATTGGTTCATCATTTGGTTATCAAACTGGTTATGCAATAAATTTAGCAAGAGATTTTGCACCAAGATTAGCAGCAGCTACCGTGGGTGGATATGGATCTGATTTATTCACAGCTGGTAATTATTATTTTTGGGTTCCTTTAGTTATTCCATTAATTGGATGTTTACTTGGTGGATTAATTTATGATGTTTTAATTTATCAAGGACATGATTCACCATTAAATAGAGCAGATTTTGGAATGCATGAACAAAGTGAACATATTCGTCAATTTAAATTGAAAGATATGAAGCCAGATTTTAATGTTGAAGCTCATGCACAAAAAGAAGGTGGACCAGGGTTTGTTGGTAATATTGTATGAACAATGAACATCCTTGTTTTGATTAACAAACTTTATAATATTCTTTTATGACATTATGATAAATTTATATGAATAATAATATTTTAATACTTGATTAATTTGCTAGATATTTCAAAAGCTGGTATATATATATATATAATGAAACATGATATGATGAATGTAATGATACTTTGTCAACTTTCAACTTTTTGTACGATTGATTTTATTTTAATGAACTACGTTTGTTGAATAGGCGGTTTCTTCTTTAACAAAATCTTCGCGAATTGGTTCTTCGAAAAATTATGACATGCAAATGTTTTGTACTCGAGGACTTAACAATGAGAAGTTTTTTCTGAATATACTATTATATTGTTCTTGAAAAGGTATCAAATATGTCAATTTAATTTTTGTGAAGGTTTCTTAATACCAGTGCTTTTGAAGTTTTGACTGAGATTACGCAAGAATTTTAAATTAAGCTGGAAGTTGAAAACATATGATCACTGATCAGCTGTATATCACAATTAACATGGTTTGAAAATCTCAATATATTGAATATTTGACGTAAATTATTCTCATAATTGATTACCTCAAAACCCGTCAGCTATATATTGTTCATGATTATTCCCACTTATCACATATAACTCTAACAATATGCTAAAATTACACTATTTCAAAACTTAATCAAAACCTGTTTGAATTGGCATAACAGTACATTCATTTAAAATGAATAATAATTTAACGGCTGCAGAGGAGAAAGGATACAACACAATTCTAAACTTGACAGATGAAGAATTAATTGGAACGTTACGCTTGGAACCGGTGAGACTAAAAAAGAATCAAACACCAGTCTGCACAATGTTTGAAAATTGTCAATCTCGACGTTTTTCTGCTGCCTTATGTGACCCAAGAACTTCTTTTGAATTTAAATTTAATGAAATTTTTGAAATTGTTGAACCTCAAAATGTCGAATATAAAAAATTTAGTGTCAAATTAGCATTGAAAAGTCATCCCACAAGTGCCTTGAGTGAAGAAGATATCAATAATATAAAGGCTTTTATTGATGGGTGCTATCGACAACACCACTTGAACATATTTATGAGACCAGATTTGAATATTTCAGATGTTATAACTTATTTAAATAAATTTGGCTCCTTGAAGTCTGATAAAGAAATTGATGATGATATATGCAAAATTAACATGGAAAGGATTCCAAGGGTTCTTATACACATAGGAAGTGCAGGTTTTCTAAAATCTTTTCATCAGTTATTAAATTTCTATTCAGATTCATTTGATACCAGTTATTCTTCACCATATAAATTAATTGGTAAAGTTTTCCAAAAGCAGAGATCAAATTTTATAAGTATTGAAGAAACAATACCTCATCGTAACTGTGTTTATTTCTTCAGGCCATTCAAGTCAAACAGTGAAGATTTTATCAATAGTGAGTTTTTACAAAGCTTCATAAAATTCTTTGAGTGTATTGACATTGATAATTCTTCATTAAATCTTGATAATAAGTTTTATTCTATATACGACATGAAATGTTCAAATGATAGGATCAATATCAAAAACAATAATGACTTGTATGAAGATAAATCCTTACCAAATTATTCTGATATTAAATTTGAAAAAGACTTGTAAGATGCAGAGGAAGTCCAATTTATCAACGGTATATTGTGTGATAAAGGCCTAGAGTCACAACTTTTTAATTGGAATTACTATAATAAATGATCCACAGATTCCTCGTTTATTGTTTATAACTATTTCAGTCTATAGAAAAACCAATAATATGTTTCTCATGTATTTACTTCCGTATTAGAGAAGACTTTTATAGGATAGGTAATTGTTGTGGTTGTATGAAGTCTTCTCTTAATATCCACATTCGCGAAGATCATAAAAGTTATAGTACGCCAATATTACAATTCAAATCATCATTAATTTATATATATATTATAAGTCATTAAAAACCCACCTAGCTTTTTTTATTCATCTTGTAAAGAATAAGATTAATATACAAATACTTATTAAAGTTGATAAAATTAAAGCATCTCTTTTTCTTCTTGTATTAATTTTGGAAATAATAACATTTATTCCAGGAATTGTACTAATTGTATTTGTTATTCTTGAACTTGCACCACTTAATGAATTATTTGAATTTAATAAAGATTCTCTTGTTTCATAAGCTCTTGATATTAAAGAATCAGTAAAATTATTCATCTTGTTTACTCTAATACTTTCATCTTGAATATAATCTAAATCATTATTAATTTGATTTTGTTTATTATGATTTTCAATATCATTTTTAACATTAAATAATAAATTCAATTTATTACGTTCTTGTAATATTGAAGATTTAATTGTAGCAAAATTTTTCCAATTTTCTTGTAATAATTCTTTATGTCTTGATAATTGTTGTAATTTAACTGTTGATATTGTTGAATCAGATTCTGAAATTCTTGTTAAATTGTTGAGAATACCATCTCTCTGATATTGTTAGTATTGATCTCCAAAGTAACACAATCATTATACTAACTTTATGAAGTATTTCATCAATTTGTTTTTCTAATTTAACTTCATCTGCAGTTGGTTCAGAAGTTGAAGATACGGTAAATCTTGAGAATTTTGATAAAAGAGTATTGGTTTGATTTTCCAGAGAGACTGCTTGTGATCTTATCGATGTGAATGAAGACATTGTAGTGAAATCAATTATTAAAACAATCAGTTGAACTTATTTGATCTTGTTATTTAAATTTCGGTGGTATTTTGTATTTTGTTTATGTGTCTCTTGAATTCTCCTAAATTGGTTCAGCTAAAATCACCGGTGCTGACAATTACAGTAACATCTACTCTAATAAGCTGATTATCAGCGTAACTACCAGCACTACTCTGTCTAATCTCCTGCCTAACCCCAGATAATCATAGGTCAGCCCAGCCTAAAGCCTGTCTAAGTCCTGTCTAAACTACAAATTCTATAAACTCCATCATAAATCATTTCAATAAATCATCAATTTTAAAATTTATAAATATTCCACCAAAAACACTAAACCAATTAATTAAAAACTCATCATTTGTTGAATTCTGTAATATTTCAGTAGTATCACATGGATGTATAAACCACCAATTTCCTCTAGTATCTTCCACTTGAGTCATTCCAAATTGAATTTGATCTTGATTAATTAACTCTTTGATTTGATTTGGATTAATTATAGGTTTCCATGATTCAAATTCTAAGAAATCTTGTGTTACAAGTTCTAATTTCATTATTTTGAAATATAATACAGGTGATTGATAGTTATCATTATAACGAATCATAAAACTTTGAGTTATTGAATCATTTGGTGTAGTTTGGAATGTTATTATTGATTTTGATGTTATTGGTAATGTAATTAATTGGAGGTTTTTCAAATGTTGTAAGTTTGATAATTTTGTTTCTAAAGTTATTAGTTGCTTATTATATTGTTCTTCATTGATCATATTGTATTGTGTAGTATGTTTTGTGACTTAATGCTTTGTCTTGTGATTCCAAGTGTCAATTGTTGATCTTGTAGTTGTTGATCTATATTTTTCATGGATTTAGTCACTCCGAAATGGATCATAGGAACATATCGAAAGACATAGACACAGTACCAGAACAAACGAAATCATACAAATGATAGTTTATATACTACAACGAATTATAATTTCAAGTTTTTTTATTATTTCTGAATATATAAATGTTAATTTTAACCAACTTTCTAAATCTTCAAGATAATAGAGCTAGTTTTCCTATATAAATAATTTTCAAGTACCAATATAATCTACTTAGATCAACTGTCTTTCTCTTCAAATTTAATTAATAAATTATTAAATATTAAATTAATGCAATATGCTATGTAATTGTTAACCACTCTTTTCACCTTGTTTAAGCAAATGCTAATTGTTTTTTAACTTCTGCAATGGCTTTACCAGGATTTAAACCTTTTGGACAAGTTCTTGTACAATTTAAAATTGTATGACATCTATACATTGACATTGAATTTTCCAACATTTCTCTTCTAACTCTACCAGCTTGATCTCTTGAATCAATTAACCATCTATAAGCTTGCATTAAAACAGCTGGACCTAAATATTCTTGTTGATTCCACCAATATGAAGGACATGAAGTTGAACAACATGCACATAAGATACATTCATATAATCCATCTAATTTTTTACGATCTTCAACACTTTGTAAATTTTCTTTACCATCTTCTGGAATTGAATCTCTTTGTAAATAAGGTTGAATTGATTTATATTGTTTGTAAAAATGAGTTAAATCTGGAACTAAATCTCTAACAACAAACATATGAGGTAATGGATAAATTTTAGTATCTTTTTTAACATCTCTATCAATTCTACATAAACATGCTAAAGTATTTCTACCACCAATATTCATTGCACATGAACCACAAATACCTTCTCTACAAGATCTTCTAAATGTTAAAGTTGGATCTTGTTCATTTTTAATCTTTATAATAGCATCTAAAATCATTGGACCACAATCATTTAAATCAACTTGATATTCTTGTAAATGAGGTTTTTCACTTGGTTTATCTGGTGACCATCTATAAATTTTAAATTTTTTAATTAATGAAGGTTTTTCAGTTGTAGTTGCAAGACCTCTTGATAAAGGAGATCTTAGACTTATTATAGATCTTTTAAAAGCAAACATGTTGTGTATATGATATAATGAAATAAAGATTATTAGATCAAAACAATAAATAGAATACAAAGAATTAAAATGTAGATTTAATTTTATATAAATGAATAATTTCATAAACTTGTTGACGGCCAAATGGTCATCGGTTCCGTAAAACTAAAATTATTTCTCATACTTAACAAACTTTAACTATGGTGCAATTCATTGGTAAACGAAACATTGTTTGCCTGGGGCGATTCTCCGGGATTGTCAGCATTTATGAATTTTGCAAGCGATGATTGGCTGTTTTAAGAAGTTGGAAGTCCCGGGATGGGATACTAGGGATTCGCGAAAGCAAGAGAAAGTGTGACTCGGTTACGTAATCCCTTTTGTTTTTTATAAAATAGTCAATTTCCCGGGGTCAATGGCAAGCGGGACACGGGAGGAAATGACAGACATTGGCTGTCAAAATAAAGAGGGTGAATATCTGATCATTTGTTTTGTTTACACCTTCTTGTTTACTTTTGATTAGATTGATTTAGAAGGAAGCTAATAGTGTGATTATCACCAAAGTTTGATGGTTTATGGTGGTACTTATAATGTTATTGTGATGGTAGTTAGAGTCTATTAGTGATGTTGTCCATGTGAAAAGTGGTGGTTGACTTTATTCAGTTGTGATTTGTGCTCAAATGATATGGCGGTTACTATATATCAATAGAGTTGATTATGATTATGATGGCTTAACTTCATTGGATTGGGCTTATTCCTCTTATTGGTGAAGATATACTCATGCTATGGTTTCCTGGTGATCTTAATGACGTCTTGATTCAATGTGTTTCCATAGCGCTTAATCAAATTTAAATTTTAATAACCACAAAACCAAAAAATTAAAAGTCATGTGCACAAAAGTATAAAACAATTTCCATTTCATCTACATTTATCTTTTGTTTGGTAAAGAACTATTAAAGACCCACTGGTTATTCAAGACTAAAAGTTGCTTTAACATTATTTGCTAATATTAAACAATTTGATATTATAAGTTCAATTACATTACATCCAGTTGTTTTTCAGTTATTTTAACCTTATACAACTCCAAGATCTTTTGAATCATTTCAGCTATATCAATCCAGTGTCAAGTGAATTTATACTTTATACATTTTGAGAGCTTTATCTTCATTAGTTTTATTGTCAAATAGTGGTGTTTTGTCATTTTGAATTTTTAGGAATCAGATCTTCATCAATCTTTTTAATAATTTACAAGTGCAAAAATGGGTCCAGCTCAACGTCATGAGAAAAAACAAGTTTTAGTTAAGAATACTACTGCAAAAGATTCTTCAAATTCAAGTTCAGAGAAGGCTTCAGATAAAAAAGCTATTGCCAAAACAGATTCAAATCAAAGTTCTACTACAAATAAGCTTTCTGATGTTAGTAAGAAAGAGGCTTTAGGCAATAGCACTACTACAAAAGAGGTCCCAGATCAAGGTGTTAGTACAAAAATTGATTCAATTCAAGATGCCGGTACAAAAGAAGTTTCAGATAAAAATACAGGTATGAGACGTTCTTCAAGCCAAAGTTCAAAAGAGCTTTCAGGTGCTAATTTAAAAGAAGCTTCAGATGAAAATACTATTTCTGAAGAAATTTCAAAGTTGGACATCGGTGCAGAAAAGGTTTCAGCTTCTTCACCACCACCACCACCACCAGCACGGTATATGGTTTTTCCAATTGAAGTACAGTTAATAATTTTAGACTTATTATCACCAACTGATCAAATTACAATTAAAATGTCCAAAACGCCTCTGTTTTCAGATGATTTAATCAATTATAAGGAATTTATGTTTTTTAATATCGCAGGGGATGAACATTTAGCAGAAAATTTTCCCGATGGTTTGAAAACCAAATCATTATTTAACGTATTAGATGTGAAGAGTACTTCTGAGTGTATTCGGCTATTTACAGAGGCTCAAGATTTGATTCAGCGTAACTCAAAAAAATATAACATTTTCAAGGTTGATAGTACTTTATTCCCTGAATTTTATCTTCAATTTATGATTCACTCAATATTAGATGCTACCGTTCGAACAGGTTCTTTTCAAATTATTTTCAGACACCCATTACATTTTAATCAGAAATATCCTGAAACATCACAGATATTATTCAATAAACCAGCTACATCATCGGATAACTATGATAAGCAATTAAAACTAGGCAGTTTAATCAAATCAAAGATTGAAAATGGTTGTAAAATCAGTGTTTATTTACCAAATATTGAGACTATTCAGCTAACTCATAAATTTGAACCATCAGTATACATTTATGCACCAAAACTTATGGCTATGTGTATTCGTGAAGTTCCAAGTGTTAATATCACAGAACGTGATGTGGTTATGAAAAATGTGAGTAAATCAAATATAGATCGAGGTGGTGAGGTTCCGTGCGTTTATCTTCCTTATAATAGGCTTTAAATTTTATGGAAGTTATATAAGGTATTGTTATATATTTATAAATCAAATAGGATAGACCTTCGGCTATATAAGCTCATTAGCTTTGATATCGTAGTTATAATTATAGTACGTATATGTATTCATATAGCTGATTGAAATACAATATGTAACGGTACCATTATATATACGTCACCGACAGCTCTTGTATACTCTAGATCTAAATTATCATATTCGAAAATAAAAATAAGAAATGAGAACATTCTTTAATGAGATATATTAAAGATCTGAATAAAAATAAATATATGTGTAATTAATATATGAGAAGGTGTCAATTTTGTCAATTTGCAAATATAATCATGCACTTATAATACTAGTGTTTGTCAAGGCTCAACTGATTCTGAAGATTAATTCTGTGATTATTAACTGTTTAAATAGTAGTTTAGCAAATTGCACTACACTAATGAACTAATGATCAGCTATTTGAAAGATATTATCTGGTTAAAATTCTCTCAATGGCATGTATTTTTCTCATAGTTAAATACCCCAGGTCTCGCCTATATATATTGTTCATATTGAGATCACATATAACTCTTACAATATAGTAACGTATTCCATTATTTCAAAACTTAATCAAAACCTGATTGAATTGGAACCACAATAGACTCATCAAAAATGAGTAATAAATTAACAGCTACACAGAGAAAAGGATACAACACAATTTTAAACTTGACAGATGAAGAATTGATTGGAACGTTACGTTTGGAGCCAGTAAAAACAAAAAAGAATTCAACAACAGGTACAATGTATAAAAATTGTCAATCTGAACGTTTTGTCGCTGCCTTATGTGATCCAAGAACTTCTTATGAATTTAAATCCAAGGAGATTTTTGAAATTGTTGAACCTCAAAACGTTGAATATAAGAAGTTTACTATCAAATTAACATTGAAAAGTCATCCTACAAGTGCCTTGAGTAAAGATGATATCAAGAATATCAAAGCTTACATTGATTGGTGTGAAAAGCAACACCATTTGGAGATATTTATGCAACCAGATTTGAATATTTCAGATGTTACAAGTTACTTGAATAAAGTTGGTTCTTTGAAGTCGGATAAAGAAATTGATGATGATGTTAGCAAAATTAACCTAGAAAGGATTCCAAGGGTTTTTATTCGCATTAAAACTCCAGAATTTTTCAGATGTTTCCATCAACTATTGAACATTTATTCAAATTCATTATTAAATTCAAGTCATTATGCACAATTCAAATTGATTGGGAAAGTTTTCCAAAGGCAGAGATCAAATTTTATAAGTATTGAAGGAACAATACCTCATCGTAATTGTGCTTATTTCTTCAAGCCATCAAAGTCAAGTAGTAAATATTTAATCAATAGTGAATATTTAAAGACATACTCAAGTACGTTTAAGAAGACTGATCTTGGAATTTCTTCATCAAATCTTCAAAAGAAATTTTATTCGATATATGATATGGATTGTCCAAATGATAAGATCAACATCAAAAAGAATGCAGACAAGCTGCCTGAAGAAGATTCTTTACCACCTTTTTCAAACATTGAATGAATTCATTTTTGTCTCTAGTAGTTTATAGGAATGTTTATTGATAAATCGTTAATATACACTTTATAGCATGTCACCTCGTGAAATGTGATACTATAATTCTCTTGTAACTCAACATAATCAACCTAGGTAATATGAGACCCACATTATAGTAATAAATAGAAGTTAGTATTCGATTCACCAACTGCTTAATTATAATACTTCCTATAGTTTCATTCGCTTAATTTATACAGATATTATATTGCGACTTTGATCGTATAAGCTATAAATATATAACCGTCATGATAGATCAAATCTCAGGTGCAATATTAATATATTTTAATGTCATTAGGGATTAGTTTTATCTCAAGAAGATGATATATGTACACATCCAACGTCTGCTGGTTTAGATCTAAGTTATCAGCTTTGATCTCTATAATCTGTAGACCTTCTATGTTCTTATAACATAACTCCTAAGTTCTAACATGCGCAAAACAATATATACAGTTTCCCCCAAAGCAATAAGCAATCTTCAACGTCCAACAAGCAGTATGTATAAACCCCAAATAAGCACAGACAATCACCAGATTTAAACAATTTAATTAACAAATTAAGTAAACTAAGACAACATTGTGCTTTGAATTTACTAACCCGGATAAAGAGATTACCTAAATTTATCCAATTATGCATGGAAATTTCAAAAATGTATGTGACAAAATTTCGAATTTCACCTTGGGAGAATTGACGGGATGTATAAATATAAATTGTTTTATACTCGTGTTAATTTTTCAACTCAATTCAATTCAATTCAATTCAATTGTTATACGTGAATTACTCAATTAAAATACAAAATGGTTAATTATTCTCAATGGTTAGGTGAAGTCAATGATGATGTTTTAATCTCATCATTATCAATTCCTGGTACACATAATTCAGCAGCTTCACATACTGCATTACCATCAGTTCAATGTCAAGGTAAAGATGTTGGTGAACAATTAAAAAATGGTGTTAGATTTTTTGATATTAGAGTTTCTAAAAATGTTTTAAAAAGTGATGAAAATGAACAAAAAGATTTAATTGTTATTCATGGTAAATTTCCTGTTAAATTATTAGGTAATGTTTATTTAAAAGATGTATTATCTGATGTTTATAAATTTTTAGAACAAAATAGATCAGAAACTGTTATTGTTAGTATTAAACAAGAAGGTAATGGAGAATGGGATAATGATAATGATGAATTTGGTAATTTAATTTGGGATAAATATATTAATCCAAATAAAGATCGTTGGTATTTAAATACACAAATTCCAAGAATTGGTGAAGCAAGAGGTAAAGCTATTATTTTTAGAAGATTTGGTGTTAAGAATGAAGATCGTAAAAGAGAATTTGGTATTGATGCAGCATGGTGGACATATAATACCACAAATGATGATCGTGGTACAATTCAAGTTCAAGATTGGTGTGAACTTTCAAGTGCTGAAGATATTTCTAAAAAAGCTCAATATATTAAAGATTTATCCAAGAGAGCTGTGGAACATAATTCAACAAATTCAAATGATCCAAAATTATTTATAAATTTTTGTTCAGGTTCAAATTTCTTTGATCCAAATTGTTGGCCATCAAAGATTGCTGAAGGTTTAAATCAAAATAAAATTGAAGAAGCTTTTGGTAAAGGTAATGGTGTTATTATTTTAGATTATGCAGAATCAAATAACTGGAAATTAGTTAAAGAATTGGTTGAAAAGAACTTTTGATTGAATCATCTGTTTCTATTATATATTTAGTTTTATGTATTGACAATATGTTTTGGTTTATATAATGACGTTGTAGTTCGAGTAACTAAACTATTTTGGTATTACGGAGTCAGAAGTTCTTTAAATCCATTTACCCATTGGGAAGAGAACTCTTTGACATATAAAGTTATTATATTTGTTGGGTTAATGTCAAGCTATTTGTGGAGTAATATATCCGTGTACTCCTTGATAAGGCTAAGACACGAAGACTGGGTGAATTCAGTGTTCAGGACTCCTTGGATATTGTGATCCGTGTTTAGCCAGCTGTTTAGCCAGTTGAACCCTTAGCCTTCTGTTCGTTGAGGGGCTGATCACAAACATCAACAGTATTCAAACCACACCTAGCTACTGACTACTTACCTATTCTACTAACCATTGACTATTCTTTTACTGTTCTAATGTCCATTGATCCTTCACTTCACCAGTCTCTGCCTACACTCGCCTACTTCTTCCCAAACACTCCCTCTAATTTCAATCACTCCCTCTGCCAGTCTCTGCCTAACGCCTCCCACTTCCTTCTAGAATGACTTCACCTGGTACACACAACACGAATTCTCGAAAAAAACAATCAAGAAAAATTCAATTTTAAACCCACTTTAAATCAATTGAAAACAACCAAAAAACATTTGACAACCCATTTGACAACCAAAAGGAGGACAAGTAGAACACAGCGGTTCATTTGAAAGAAGGAGTTTCCAATAATAAAGAAAGAACAGATTCATATCCAGCACACGGGAAGTCAAGCGCTTGTTTTTGTTTTTGCATCCCACCCCCAGTCATTATCAATTCCATCATCAAGCTAGTTTATTTCATTTCATTTGCTTCATTTATTACTAGTTCCGTCTAATTTAGCTTCAGAGGAAAAAAGACAGCTTTGAACTATATCATGCCCTTTTTGAACAACTAACCAATATACTATATCCATCAAAAAGCTATATTTTCCAATATTTATATTAAATCATTCAATAATTATTCAAATCCAAAAGTCAAGCATATCAATAACAAGTGATCATGGTTCTTATCGGAGGTGTGAAGTACGCTTGTGAGCGTTGTATAAGGGGTCATAGAGTCACTACTTGTAACCATACAGATCAACCATTAATGATGATTAAACCAAAAGGTCGTCCTTCATCTCAATGTAAACATTGTAAAGAATTAAGAAAAAATAAAAATTCACATCCTTCAGGTTCATGTACTTGTGGTAAGAAAAAGAATGGGTCTATATCATCCTCAACTTCATCTGGTGCTATTCATAAATGTTCATGTAAAACTGGTGAACCTTGTCAATGTCATGGTAGACGGAAAAAAATTGATTCAAAATTATCACAATCAAAATCTCCTTCTGAAGATGTTTCTTCATCAAACTTATCATTAACTAATGGTTCAAATGATTCAAATCATTCATTAAATCCATCAAACTCATCAACATTTAATTGGAGAAATAATTCTTATTCATCAACTTCACAAACTCCACAACAACAACAAAATGTTCGTGTTAGACAAATTGGTATGGACCCATTAACAAATGCTAAACCAGTTTCAGATCAAACAAGAACAAGAGTTGGTGAAGTTTCTGTTCCAATAAATGAATATATACCAAATAATTCAAATGGTATTGGTAATGTTAATGATAAAATGCCTGATGTTTTTTTCCAAGATGTTCCGTTGCCTTTTGAACCTGGTCATGGGTTATTAGATTTATTTGCAAATAGTAACAATGCAACTTCAATAAACCCATATTTCCATGATGATCCAAGAAATGATTTACCAACAAGACATAATCAACAACAATATAATAATTCTAATAATAATAAAATAAGATCACCATCTGAAGCTTCAAATAATGGTTTTAATAATCAAAATTTCCAAAGAACAGATTCTGCAATGTCTTTATCAAGTATGGGATCAAATTCAAATTTAAATTCAAGATTTAATGCAAGCTCTGATTCTTTAGCAAGTGGTAATAATAATTATCATCATTATGATAATATGATTCATAAACATAATCAAATTCAAAATCATCAAAATTTTAATAATATTAATAATAATAATAATAATCATAATCATCAACAATATCAACATTTAAATGGTTATACCAATAATAATTCAAATCAAAATCAAAATAATGATGATACTTCAAGTATACAAAGTGTTGAAGTACTTTCTTTAACTCCAAGTTTTATGGATATACCCACTGATTTTAAAAATGATAAAGGGTATTTCTCAAATGATCATGGTCATCAACAACAGCAACAACATCAAAATGAAAGTTTTAAAAATCATAGATTTACACCAAGTATTGATTCAATTCAAAGTGGTCAATCATCAAATAATAAAAATAATGGAATTCATTTAAATTTTGATCAATCTTCTACAATACCAACAATTCATTCAAATTTAATAAATAATGAAGATCAAAATTCAAATGATTTAGAATTAAATGATGAATTAAATATACCCAGAGAATTAAATAATTTAAATAATGATGAATTGAATTTTAATGATAATGAAAATTCATTATTTAATAATTTTAATACAAAATTAACAACATCTGGGTTATAATTTCAATTGTGCATTATTATAGTGTGTCTTTTTTTTATATATTTTTCATGTTTGTTTTAGTTTTATAGTTTTTAGGAGTTTTTTAAAAGGTTATTATAATATATATATGTCATCATAAGTTACTAATTCAAAAGTAGTGTTTCATAACACGGCAATTAAGTAAATATATATAACAATATAAACTCGATCTAATTCCAATTTACAAAATACCAACACATAAAGATATTAAACATTAAATTCCTAATTATAAAACATTGAGCTATCAGCTTAATCATTCAAATTTCTTCTTAAAACTTTCTTCCTCAGTAAACTTGAAGGAGTTCCATATCCACCACCAACAGGAGTTCCAAAATTCTTCAATTTTGAAATTTTATCCTTTTCCCATGGTGTTAATTGAATATTACTCTGGGTATCACCAGGTAAAGGACTACCATTTTTATCTTCTTGAGAATTATCAGAAATAGATGAAGATGATCCAGGTTTTTGTGGAGTTGATGGATCCTGGGTAACTTCTAATTTTTTTAAACGAGATGTTATATCATTTGTTGAATTTGATTTTGGGGTATTACTTGGTGTTGATTTTGTACTATAACTAGTTTTGGGTTTTCTTTCAATAATTCTAACAGGGGATGATTCATTTTCAAATTCATTGTTGGTATTTGATGATATTGGATTTTCAGATGAATGGTTTTCATCATTCAAGTATAAGGCTAGTCTTTCATCATTTACCTCAAGGATTGATGATTGATCATTTGTTTGTAGGACACAAAGTCTTAAGATGTATTCTAATAATGATAATGATGATTGAGATTGATCTTTTGATGAAGCTTGTTGTTTTGGTTTGATTGGTGTATTGTCTTCATCATCACTTCCACTTTCATCTGAAGAATCGTTATATAGTTGCTCATATTCACCTAATGATAACCATTCAATTTGATTTAAATCTGATATACTTGATTGTGAATTTTCAGAATCTTGATCATCAAAAATTTTATTAATTTTTAAGACTAATACAGGTGATGATCTATCTTCTAATTTTAATAATTTCCCAGATGCACTGAAAAATAACCTTGTTATTGTACTAATATCTAATTCAATTAATTTTGGTTCATCTTCATCATCATGATAACGATCATCATTGAAATTTTCCTTTATTCTCAAGACATAATCATATTCATTAATTTCAGAAGGTAATCTAATAACTGAAACATTTGCTCTTGTAAAATCTTCTTTCCAACTAATTTCATTCAATCTATTATTTATTATTCTGCCTTTATGATAAAAGATTGAATATAAGGTCAATTGAAACATTGGGCCAATTTGTAATTCTTCCTTATTATTGAATAATTCATTTGACTTATTAACAAAATTTGAAGCTTGTAATAATCTACCAGGAGAGACTTGATTCGATAAAGTACCACTTAAATTTGCACCTGAAGTTGTTAAAGATAAATTAATTAATGGTATAGCTTCTTCAATTCTACTTAAAAGATCCAGCATGTATAATTTCACATTATTAACAGAGTTAACATCTTTCTTATTACCATAAGATTCGGTTATAGTCTGGATTTTATCATCAAATTGATCAATTTCATCTTTTAAATCCTTTGTTAATTTTAATGTACTTGAAAGATTTGTATTACCTCTACTAGCAACTAATTTAATTAAATCAATAGCACTTGAAACAATTTCAATTCTTGTTTGTAGTTTATGCTTAGTTCTTTCTAATTTCAATCTTTGATCATCTGGAACTTTCGCAAGGAACTTTGTAACTGATTTAACAGCATAACCTGAAGCTATTGATATACCAGATCTTATGGCGAATGTAACCGCTTGACTACCAGCCTAGATTGAAAGGGGTTAGTACTGATATTCTGTTAGCTCAAATGACTATGACTACACACTTTAGACAATATCTCATCCATTGTATGATTTCTTAATTGAATATCAAAGTGGCAATTTCCTTCCCTTTATATCAAAATCAAAAACATTCACAATTTAATTTTATTTTTCTTTGTTTACGTTTTGAAAAGAATGTGACATAAATTTTTGAAGAACCTGCAATTCGCGATGATTAATTCAAGTTTACCTACACAACTTCACAAACCTCGACAACGTATATATGAATTTCGCTTATCCGTGATGCAAAATGGATCTTGTAATTCACTTGATTGATATAGTGCTTCATATTTATAATACCTACTTGAAATTTCATCAAAAGCAGCTTCAAAATAGCAGATGTCAATAAATCAATTAATTACCAATAACGAATATTAAACATTCAACAAGATAATTATAGTGAATAATTGTACCAAAGAGTTGCTGAGAGTAATAATATGAATAATACTAATGCCTTTTTAGGAGAATACCTATAAAGTGAATCAGAAGAATCAGCTAATGAAAACAACAGCAAAACAAGGTTAGTTAAAATGGAAACGGTTAATATTCTTTGTGTTAAAAGATCTGAACTGTTAATGGCAATTTTTTTCTTGTAATCATCAATGAACTTGTCTTCAAGATCATTAAAGTAAAAATAGGAGTATTCTTTTAGTTTTATAATCCCATCAAACGATGGAGTGAAAAATCCATTTGTCATAACTTGACCGTCAACACATTCATGCTCAGAGCAACTGCTTGCAGAATCTAAGCTCGTTAGTTTATTAAATTCTTTACCAATAAGGCTGGAGCAAGTAACATTGGTAAATTTGTCCATCTCTAACAAAAAATCAATCTGTAGATCTTCGATTGAAAAATCTAACGCATTTCTTTCCTCAGATAATTCTAAAACTATTTCCTGTTTTGTATGCTCTTTGAAAATTATGGAACTTAAACAACTTTCAATTGTGATGTTCAAAGCCGTTTTTGAAAGATCTTGAACCCTAGTATAGTTTGAATTAACATTTCTTGAATTCATGATTAATTTAATGGGAGCACCTATCAATCCACATATTGCTAACACCACCACTGAAAAAAAGAAAAAACGTGAGCCGACAGCAGTTATAGAGCCAAATATATTTGACCACTTATGGGTAGAGAATGGAACAGCAGCAGATGTATTATGATGACCACTAGTAGTTGCTTGACTTGAAACTATATCATTTTCGTCTGACGACAGCAAACGAGCACCTTCAGCTTCACGAATATTTTCAAGGGGAATATTATAGGATTGTGTACCGGCACCAGTACTACTATCAAATTCAAAATCACACCAACTGTTCTTGATACTGAACTTCATTCTTTCAATAATATCTTTCTTATAATACTAATTCCCTTTGATCAGTAGAGTACCTATTAATGCTGATGAAAACAATTGTTAATAAATCTTTGACTAGATGTTAAATGTGTGTTTGTGGCAGTTATATCACCGGGGACCGCCGGTATTCAGTGTTCACATAGTAACGGTGTTTTTGAACTTTAATACATTCAAAGTTGGTTCCAAGTGACTAGCATGAGAATAGTATCACACTTCACGAGGATACATACTATAGCTGGTGTATATTAACGTCGATTTACCAATAGACATTTTTATAAACCAAATTAAACAAAAAAATCATTCGATGTTTGAATAAGGGGGTAAAGATTCGTTTTCATACAGGTTGTCAATATTGTTTTTGACGTTGATCTTATCATTTGGACAGTCCATGTCATATATAGAATAAAATTTCTTCTGCAGATTTGATGAATCATTTCCAAGATCAAACATTTTAAACGTATTTGAGTACATTTGAAAAAGCTCACGATTAATGATAAAATCTTCTTGATTTGACAGCTTGAAAAATGGTTTGAAGAAATAAACACAATTACGATGAGGTATTGTTCCTTCAATACTTATAAAATTTGATCCCTGCCTTTGGAAGACTTTCCCAATCAATTTGAATTGTGAATAATGACTTGAATTTAATAATGAGTTTGAATAGATATTCAATAATTGATGGAAACATCTGAAAAATTCTGGAGTTTTAATGTGAATCAAAACTTTTGGAATCCTCTCTATGTTAATTTTGCAAATATCATCATCAACTTCTTTATCAGACTTTAAAAAACCAACTCTATTCAAATAACTCGTAACATCTGAAATATTCAAATCTGGTTCCATGAATATGTTCAAATAGTGTTCTCGTTCACACCTATCAATATAAGCTTTTATATTCTTGATATCACCTTCACTCAAGGCACTTGTAGGATGACTTTTCAATATTAATTTGACAGTAAATTTTTTATATTCAACATTCTGAGGTTCAACAATTTCAAAAATTTCGTTCAATTTGAATTCATAAGAAGTTCTTGGATCACATAAGGCAGCAACGAAACGTTCAGACTGACAATTTTCATACATTGTACCTCGTGTTTCTGTCTTCACCGGCTCCAAACGCAACGTTCCAATTAATTCTTCATCTGTCAGATTTAAAATTGTTTTGTATCCTTTTTCCTGTGCAGCTGTTAAATTATTATTCATTTTAGATTAATGTAAAGCTATTCCAGCTTGTGATCAAACGTAAGTTCTTTTGATTTTAAGCTTTGAAATTTTCATGTTGTAAGTGTTGTTATATGTCATATATGGAAGGAGCATGAATAATATATAGCTCATGGCGTCTCATGAGGTATTTGATCATGAGAATAATACACGACGATATAAATATATTGAGGGAATTTAAACCATATATGCAAATTGTTTCAGCCAGATCAGCTGCTGTACAGTTCATTACTGTTGTGCAATTTGCTAATTACTACGTCTATTATATATTTTAAGTACTTTCAGCTGCATGAGCCTAGCTTATATATATTTATATAATTTGAATTTTGAGTATTATTCTAAAGAGCTTTATTATAGATACTATTATATTATATATATAAGTAACTAATTCACCAGCTTCGTATAATTCACAATTATTTTCATACTTCGTGGTTTGATCACCAAATTCTTATATACCTTGTTTTATATAGACCATCATTGAAAAACTTCTCATTAATAATTTTTTCTCAGTTTCACTCGAGATAACGTCAAGTTCTTTATATGCGTACATCTTGGTGTAAAATATGGTGAGCTTATAAGTAAGGGTTAATTTCAGTCCATATCCAAGCTCACTTTTTTTCAATTGAGTATCAAAATGACGATCCGTTTCTCTTTATACTAAAAAGATTCACGTTTGTTTACATTTTAGAAAGAATTATGCAAGATGAATTTTTGAACTGTAAAGCGAATTCGCGATGACTTTATATAAGGAGAAAAATTAATGAAAAAAAAAAAAATTAATCACTGATGAATCAATGCATTGAATGTTTGGTTTATTTAAGAAAGAGAAGAAGATTTCGAAGTAAGGTTATTATCTACAACCATGATGAACTAATGGGACAAGCTATGTTGCTATCCACTTTGTCTGGCTCTTTGATTTGATTTTGGTGTTAATCATTTTCAGTATCATATCATTTCATTCATTCCCACATAAATACTCATGATAATAAGATAATGTCAAAAACACAATTATCATTTTATTATTACCATACTTATTAATCTCAGTGATACCATATCAATATTAGAAGTCAAAATTACAAAATTCCTAATACTGTTCTAATTATGTGGTTTTATTTTGTTATTCAAAGGGTATTTTTAAGTCTTTATTATTCAAACCCTTGTTTACAGAAGGTGGTCTCAATAATAATTATATGTTGTTACTCTCATATTGTATTAATACGCTGCTGATTAATATCAAAAGTCATGTCATTTGTTTTTCATTCAGGGAGGAACCGTTACAAATGTCAATTTTCAAATTTTCCAAATTTTTATAATTTTCAATTTGTATCGATGAAAAATGGTTATAATTCACATATTGGTCTATGTTGTTTCACTGTCATTTCACTTTCAATTTGAGACTATTTCTCTATACATTTGATTTACTGAGCAACTCATCATTATTTCTGTCTTTTAACTTAGTGATTATTCAAGGTATTGGTATTATATTTTACATCTTTTGATGAATCGTCACAGAGAAACAGTTCTTGAAGAAAATTTGACAAATAAACTGTTATCACAACATCATTTACACTTACTAGGTTTTCTTGAAGCACATCAACTATTTTCACCATAGAATCATTTTATTACTATACGCATATAAGATTAATATTAGAGTTGCTTTTACAAGAAGTGGTTTTCTTTAGTTTATCATTATTATATTAGATGTCCGTATAAGATACTTCATTCAAAGTTCAATTTTTTTATCAAATGGTGCTGTCAATCCTATTATTTACAGTTATTTTCGTTCATTATTATTCTTATTTGCATTACTTATCAAATGCGTGTTATATGAACCAACTTCAATAATCATGGTTTGAACATCATATCATCAGTTTACATTGATTAAATTATATAAATCATTGTTATTATTGTTATTTTCTATATTAGACAAGTTATCCACATGTTTACAGAATCATATTTCAAAAGCATTATTTTGATACATATCCAATTTGAAATTATTTTTACCGACATTTTCAAGATGTTTTTCAAAAATAATTAAACTTTACAAATGTTGCATATCAGTACACTGGTTATTATTTGATGAATTAGGCAAAAGATTGATGCTTTACAAATTGCTTAAGTTGAATAACTGCTGATATATCAACTAGGTATTATCATTTTTAAGTAATTTTATAGTATTATTACAATACATTTTATATTATACCTTGCAATATTAAAAGCAGCTAACAAATCATAATTTATGTTTTTGCTCAATCAATATCAATATAACATATATGTTAACATTATCAATCATAACATCCAATATTTTCAAATTATGATCATTTACATTACCTTTATGATAGTTCAAATTACTAAATTATTGTTTGTATTCATTAGTTAAACGTAACTCAAGAACAAAGTCATTTATTTATGGCTTTTACAAAGTTAGCTCATTCTATTGAATTGTTATTATGATTACCTGCTGTTTTTATCAACCAACAGTTGAAACTGTCGATTAAGGGAGCAAGTATTTGACATTTTTGATTTTTATTTGGTATTTTAATCGTCAAAGTTTTCATGATGTTCAAATATAACCTCTATGCTATAAAGCTTCAGAGTCATTCATAAATTTCATGATTAACAAATGAAAGTCAAACCATCTTCTAAGCATACTTTTATTATGGTATCAATCAATATTTTATCATTTTTGACAGGTATTTAAATTATCATAATTAATTTGTTCAGCCAAAGGTTTGCAGAATCTCCTATTACATTTGAAGTTAAATTATATTAAAATGAAATCTTACTCAGTTGCAAAATTCCATATTATTTAATTCATATTACATTCAGCTACAAGATGTTTTTAAAACATGATTTTATACTTTTTAAAAGTATTTCAAAACATTTCCGTTGGCTATATTACTCAAGTCTACGACTGGATTTATTTCATAATATTCATCATGCATTAAATTGTCAAAATGTTTTGATTAACCAAATTCTAAGATCATAACACAATATTATTACATTGTTATCAATTATCATATCATCTTATTTTGTCTGTTTGTTACCAGAGCTAAAGATTTCAATTTTATCTGGTTTATACGTTCCATCTTTTCATGTGAATTCAAACTTAATTAACTTTTCTATTAGGTTCTATACATTGGTTGCTCGTTCATTAACTCAAAATATATAAATGGGTTAATTTCCCACTAGATATTCTATATAGCTATATTCTTGGATAACAAGAATGGGTTCACTAAACATGGAGTATACACACATATATATGCTATCCCTAACTTTGTAGTATATAGTGTGGCCCAGTCTTTTGTCGGTTCTCTTCACCAAAATCCATTTCTTGGATTTATAAATAATTTCATAAAGTGATCAGTTTTGAAGTTCAGATGTTTGATTAATATTTTGACAATAACAAGATCTATGATTGATTGTAGGATATTTAATATTAGGAAGACTCATCACTATATATTATTTATATATTCAACCATGTGTACTGCGATCATAATAATTTCGTTCATATCTAATAGGTATTGTATCATGATTGAATTCTTAGTTTTAAAATCAGCGCGACAGCCTCAGTATATCCAATGAAATACTTAAGAATTAAAAACAAAGAGATGATTAGATTTCGTTATGGGTATTCTAATCTATTCATCTGAGAATTAAACAATTGTTTATTGTATCGAATATGTACTTCGTCTTCAACTTAGTCTAATTCAAACTTAATGTCAGAATATTTTGGTAAGGATTCCTTTTCATACAAGTCACCATGGTTTAATTTGATGTTGATCTTATCATTTGAACATTCCATGTCATATATTGAATAAAACATATTATGGAGATTAAATGGTGAAGAAATTCCCAGTCCAAGACTCTCAAAGAATTTTGTACAGTCCTGAAGAAGCTCACGGTTGATAAAATCTTCACTATTTGACTTGAATGGTTTAAAGAAATAAACACAGTTACGATGAGGTATTGTTCCTTCAATGCTCATAAAATTATCTCTTTGCCTTTGGAAAACTTTACCGATCAATTTATATTCTGGAGAATAACTGGTATCAAATGAATCTGAATAAAAATTTAATAACTTATGAAAACATTTTAGAAACCCTGGACTTCCTATGTTAATAAGAACCCTTGGAATCCTTTCTATGTTGATTTTGCTAACATCGTCATCAATTTCTTTATCTGATTTCAAGGAACGAACTCTATTCAAATAAGTTATAACATCTGAGATATTTAAATCTGGTCTCATAAAAATGTCCAAGTGGTGTGGTTGATAACAACCATCAATATAAGCCTTTATATTATTGATATCTTCTTCACTCAATGCACTTGTGGGATGACTTTTCAATGCTAATTTGACAGCAAATTTTTTGTATTCAACGTTTTGAGGTTCAACAATTTCGAAAACTTCATTAAATTTAAATTCATAAGAAGTTCTTGGATCACATAATGCAGCAACAAAACGTCCAGATTGACAATTCTGATACATTGTAGCTGGTTGATTATTTCTTAGCCTCACCGGTTCCAAGCGTAACGTTCCAATTAATTCTTGATCTGTCAAATTTATAATTGTGTTGTATCCTTTCTCCTGCTCGGCTGTTAATGTAGTATTCATTTTATATGAGTGTATTGTTATTCGAATTTAGCTAGACAAGTTTGAATCATCAAGTCCAATTATTCAAATGTAATTTTTTTCATATTGTAAGAGTTATATGCAATAGGTGGGAAGAATCATGGATAATTATATGTAGCACATGGGTTCTGACGTGATTAATTATGAGAATAATATACGTCAATGTTAATATATTGAGAAAATTTAAACCATATAAATTGTTTCAACCGGCTGATGAGTTCATTAGTGTTGTGCAATTTGCTAGACTACTATCTAAACTCTCAACTTAATTAAAATCTTGAGTATTAGTCACTTTATTAACACTGTTATTGTACAGTAACTTCACATTTGAGTTAACGAGATTCATACCTTTAATCAAGTTAGCATATACTTGTTTTATATCGATAATCATTGAAAAACTTCTCATGATTATAATTTTTTCTCAGTTTCACTCGAGATCACGGCAAATTCTTTATATACGCCAAATATCTTGGTATCTAATGATGGACTAGTTGATGTTAGTCCATATCTAAGCTCGCATTTTTCAATTAATGAGTATCAAAATGATGATTTGTACTCAATTAATTGTTTCAGTTTTCTTCACGTGATTATACAGCTAAATTTTCAAAGATCGCTAAAAATATTTTCTCAATTTATAAATTTAGGTCGACTTCATCTTTCAATCTTCAATATGTCATAAATGAGAGCTTATGTATAGGTAGCACCACCGACATGGACATATTCCATTTGATCCTTTTGGCCAGTCAGTTTGTTTTGAGCGGGTAGATCACCTGATAGACCTATAAATTTACAATTATATTACATTCAGTTCATTGCATAAAAATATAATGGTTATTGATTAGCATTATAGTTTATTTTTCAATCATACAGATATATATTTTAACTTTTGATACTATGAATGATAGCCTTTGATCCATTGGACTGAATACAAGACAGACATTTATCCATAACTGCATTCATTTTGACATGAATACTATTGTTTTTCATAAAGTGATCAGTGTTGGAGTTAGATGTTTGATATTTTTTCGATCTAAAAATTGTCGTGTAGAACGGTTGTAACTTTTCAAGAATCATTTGTATCTGAGTCGTACTATAACAGCTTACAAAACAATCAGAGATGGTCAATATTCATTATTGCTAGAAAATAATTGTAATTTAATATGGATCACCAACTTTATATAGAACTATGGGACTATGCAGTGTGCATCAATAGTGATTCGGTGAAGGAAATCTACGACTGCAAAACAAGAAATGAATGGAAGATTTCGTTAGATTTACATTTAGAGGATAAAAGCGCTCAATACGTATATCCAGCAGAATCTCTAATTTATTGTTAAACCATCATTACATTTCATTTCTTGTAGTCTTGTAGTTGAATTTTTGTGAACATGGCCGGTGTAGAAAATTCGAGGGGGTTTGGGAGGTGAGGTTTTTGAAAATTTTAAACTAAGGCCTCTTTCATTGAAACTTATAATAACTTAGATAAAAGATTACACAATTCCTGCATGGGCTTATGCCATGGACTCCCTTACTGCTTATTACTTTGTTAATGGCGGGATTGTCTCCAGTTACACCTACCAGCTTTAAATGAATTCACCAATATTACTATGCAGACTACTAAAAAAGTGTCATAATTTATTTATATATTTCAAATGAATTTTGTTGATAAGCAACTGCATAGGTTAATATACATAAGACAGACATTTGTTTGAATTCTGTATTCATTTTGACATGGACAGCTAGATCTACTGGTAGTTCCATAAAGTGATCAGTTTTGCAAATTTAAATGTTTATCATTAATTTTTTCATAACAAGATATGATTCATTGTAGGATTAGCAGCTTTCAGTAGATCTAGAAATACGTCGTATACATTATACCAGATACATCCACTGAACCTAATACATATATTTAGCTAATCGTTGCTGTACCATGATACCATGATAGTGCTCACTGACATCTCACGAGTCACCACCACTCGCGCGTCAATGGTAGTGGTTAGTAGTTAGTAGCCACCCTCGCTCAGGGATCAACAAAAAAAAGGATAAGATTAATTTTCTACAGACTACCACACGCCCTTGACCCTTGAACTTATCAGCATTCTGTTTTTGTTAAACCGCAGAAAAGTGATGTAAATTTTTTTTGGATGATGTACTGAAATGCTTGTCTAATTACTTCGTTCATACCTTGCTGAATTTTAAGCTGTCTGTTTCTGAAGCTGATCAACTGATTTCATGGATATTAGTTCATTCTACATGAGTTGTTTTAGCTTTAACATATCATTTATGAAGGTCCACGTACCAGTCAGCTGAGACCAACTTATATACAGACTTCTTTGAATACAAGCCGAACATTATTTCATATACTGCATTCATTTTAACATGAACTTTTGTTTCGTGAAGTGATCAGTTTTGGAGTTTGTGTTTGAGTAATTTTGATCAAATTATTTTGAATGTAGTACTTGTAAAGCTGATATAAAAAGCAAAATCGTTTGAAAGGATTGTTGTAGAGCATCAAGAACAGCTAAAAGTAAGAGTTGTACTATATCATTGTGACATTGGGTTTGTATTAGTATATACTATAAATTAACAGCTTCAATGTACCTTCGGGATATTTGAAGTATATACAATAGTATCAAAGGATATAACAGCTCAAACTAATTTTTCGTTGAAGAAATTGAGTTTTATAACAGAGCATAAAAGTTGTATCACTTGTTAATCTATACTACATCAATATCGATTCGCTAGTATACTTATATGGGTCAATTTGCTTGTCGGAATATATTATGTAACTTTCTTCACGAATTATACTGCACGCTGAAAATTCGCTAAAAATATTCTCTTCACAAACCAACATCTGTAAATATTCATCTTCTAAGCTCCTTCTATCATGAGGTTTAATTATACAACAGATTCTGCAGAAAGGCATGCCTTTAGACCCTTTTTATCCTGTTAGTTTTGCCAGCGCTGGAATATCACCGCAACAGCATACATGAATTGCACAACTTCAGTTATGATATAATAAATTTACATTATGGTTTACTCGTCTTCAATTGGTTAAATATATACACTAGATTTCCAATTTGTCATATAGTTGTTTTAGTTTGATGTGATGAGAACCTTTTATACATAAAACTGAATACAAGACAGACATTTATCCATAACTACATTCATTTTGACATGAATACTATTGAGTTTCATAAAGTGATCAGTATTGGAGTTTAAATGTTTGATTGTTTCTTATCAAATCATTATCATGTAGTACTAGCTGTTGTATATTAAGATATGTCTTCAAAGAATACTGGACGAGCATAATAACTTCTATCTAAAAATGACATGATGATATAAGAATTTTGACGCGCTATATAATACTACTTTCTTTTACTTTCTATACACAGTTGACGTTACCAGTTATATACATGGAATGGACATTGATCCATGGTTATATCTTTTGCTGTGGTTATACGCGGAACCAAAACACTCAATATAGGAAGCCTTTAGTTTTAGCGTTTCTTCTTTTGGGGATATTATACTTTTGCGATTGGTGGTAGAACGATCCATGACACATGACACACCTATTATGAATTCAGAGCATTGAATAATCTTGATCATGGGTCGTTATTGCACTTTAGTTCCATATAAATGCGCTGCACCCCTTGGCTAATATAATTCTGTCATATGGACAAGTTTGTTCATCGGATATGACATATATTGCAAATAATTAGCTGTTTCTTCATGCGATTAAATACTCTTAAATCTAGTTTCATGATGAGTTTGGAAAGCTGGTCGCTAAATTTTTTTTTCGCAAAATATTACCTACCAACAACCTCTCAGTAACGTCTAGTTTACTCATGAAAATTTGTGTTCTTGTTACTATACAGAATCGGCATGGGCTATTGCAGTTTTTTCCTAAGAGTTTTGTGAAGTGGTCGCTTCCTGGCATGTCGCCTCTAATTTCAATATTGACTACGTGGACCTTATTACTATGCAGCAAACTATTATGAATTATAAGTGTGTTATTGTTGAGATTCATATATTTTAGAACAACGTTGAATGTGCCAATCAATTTGATTCATAACTAAATGCATAGATTAATAAACAAGACAAATATTTAGTCAATTCTGTATTCATTTTGACATGGATTAGACATATTCTTGTTTGTTTCATAAAGTGATCAGTTTTGAGGTTTAAATGTTTGATTGACTTTGATTATTATTTGAAAGTGGTTGTAGAATATTCAACGTAGCCAAAAACCAAATGGATTCATTTATATATTGAACTACCTTAGTTTACTATGATTATATGTCCTATATAACGTAAAATTTGCTTGATCGATTCAATATGTTGATATGTCCGTAGGTCTGTAAAACGCGTAATCTCCAAAGAACTGAACTAGTCATGCTTTGTTCAAGCAGTAGAAATATGTTAACGCTTGTATGAGTCCAATTTCTTCACAGATTTACTACCCATTTACATACCCTTATGTTAATTAACTTTGATAAACTACTTCTCCTGTTTATGAATTTATTTATTCTTCTTCACGTGATCTTATAGTTAAATTTCAAAGATCGCTAAAAATATTTTCTTCAATAAATATAAGAATTCACCAGCTTTCAATAATCTTCAGACTACTTCGAAAATGAGGCTTCATAGAGCAACAAAATCTACAGGGGCTGTTTGCATCTACTCCCTTTAGTGCCTGTCAGTTTGGCTAGTGCGGGCATATCTCCAGAGGTTCCCAGGAAATTGATAACTACATTACATTCAATTTATTGCATAATTAATGGTTATTGATTAGTATTATTGTCAGATTATCACTTGGCTAAGCACATAGAAATCACCGATTTAATATCAGTGATACAGTTGTTTTTACTTGACGCAATTATAGCCTTTTATACATAAAACTGAATACAAAACAGACATTTATCCATAACTGCATTCATTTTGACATGGACTATCATTGAGTTTTATAAAGTGATCAGTATTGGAGTTTGAATGTTTGATTATTTTTGATCACATTATTGTCATGTAGTATGAACAGTATTAATATAGATCACGAAATACCAATAGACGATGGTATTGTCGACATGAGTATACATGTTATATATAACTAAACAAACTATGATGGAATCAATGAAGATGAAAATTCTAGATCTGAAGTGTATCTTTGAGGAAAAAGTTGAATGATCAAGAAATGTCAATAAGCTACCTCTAAAGATTCATAGCTATCATATATTGATATATATCCCATGAGTATCTAATGAAATCCAGAATTCATTGTCGATTTATATATAATTATTAAGTAATTCATCTTTTGTAGTACAGTGTATAGAAAATTCGAGGCGTTAGAAAGTTGAAGTTTTTCATCGAAAATTTTATATTCTTTTTGATTGTTCAACGTACCTGTACCACGTCTTTAAATATAGGGTACTGTGCAAAACCTGCATCCTGATAATGCTCGACTCCCATTATGTTTTTATTATTTTAGCTATAGCTGGCAGGTCACCATTTACTCCAATGAAAGTAACTTTAATTAGTTTTTTATTTGTTTGCAGACTACTATAAATGTGTTATTGCTGAGATTCAATCATTTCAAAACAACAGTGAATGGTATTATACAATTTTATTCATAACCAACTGCATAAATTAATAAACAAGACAAGCATTTACTCAATTCTGTATTCATTTTGACATGGGATAGGTGCTTTACGTTCTTTTACCATAAAATGATCAGTCTTGGAGCTTAAATGTTTGAATATAATTTTTCCAAATCAATTCAATTCTGTAGACATATATACGATGATAAAACTACATTTTATATATAGTATGCATTAATCGTCATTAAATTATAGTCTATATACATATCATCTTAAACATGTGAAATATATTGGAAAACATAACTAATTTCATTGAATTCAAATTCATTTTTTAATAAATGATCATTAGTCATTTTTAATCCTTTATGATTTATATGATTCCATGTTGTTGCATCACCATAAAGCATAACATCTGATCTTATTGTTTGTTTCCCATCCTCTTTTTTACATCTTTTACAATGGAATGTATCATGTGTATCACATATAGTGTTTTTATTAAATTGAAATAATTGTCTTAAATTATCTGTGGAGAATAATCTTTCAACATCTTGATTTTCATCAACAACACATGAACTTAAACTCATCTTCATTGATTGACGTTGGAAAATTTTTTCTTCAATTGAACCTGTTGTAATGAATCTATAAATAAAACAATCTTTCTTTTGTCCATCTCTCCAAACTCTTGCTAATGCTTGTTGATCTGAAGCAGGATTCCAATCTGGGTCAATTAAAATTAACCTATTTGCACCAATTAAATTAATACCACAACCACCAGCTTTGGAACTTAATAAGAAAATAAATTCTGGACTTTCAGGATCATTAAATCTATCAACAAGTTTTTGTCTTTTATTAATATTCATAGTACCATCTAATCTTAAATTACCATAATGATTATGTCTGCACATTTTTTCAATTAAATCTAAAGTTTGTGTATAATTTGAAATTAACACAATTTTATCATTTGATTCTTTTTTAATCTTGGCTAAAAATCTCTCTAATATAGAAAATTTACCAGATTGCCATGTTTGAACTTCTCTATTACGACCACCACCAGTAATGGAGTTTATATAATCATCGGGAATTAAATGATCAGAACCCTCAAAATCTTCATCTAAATTAATTAAATCTGGATGATTACAAAGTTTTTTCAATAATCCAATAGCTTTTAATGGTTGTGAACCAACACCTTTTAATAATTTTTTAATATCAGGACTTGTAATGAAATGATGATAAAGTTTTTCTTGCATTGGAGATAAATTAACAAATATAACATGTTCATATTTACATGGTAAATATTTTGATAAGATATCATTTGTTCTTCTAATAATGAATTTTGAAACTATAGTTGATAACATTCCTAATTTTTTTTGACCATCTTCAACTTCTTTATCAGTTGCATCAGCATCACGACCTTTTAAAATTGGAATTTCAAAATTTTTCCTAAATTCAATTCTTGTACCTAATAACCCAGGATTTGCAAAATTTAAAAGTGCAAAATATTCAGATAAATCATTTTGAATTGGTGTCCCTGATAATATAACTCTTCTTTTACAATTTAAACTATCAAGTGATGTAAAAGTTAATGAATCACCATTTTTCAATCTATGACCTTCATCAGCTAAAAGTAAACCAATTTCTGTGTTTTTCAAATTTTCAACATTTCTTCTTAAAGTTTCATATGAAATAATTAATACTGGTCTAACAACATTTCTTCCCTTAGCTAAAGACCATTGTTGTATACTTGACCCCACTTCATTTGGTTTTGTTGATTTCCCATCTATAGCTAATGGAGTTGGAGCACCTTCACCTAACCATTTAGTTAATTCATTAGCCCAATTTCTAACTAAAGATGATGGACAAACAACAATACATTTATCAATTGTTTTCTTACCTCTAGGACCTTGTTTCAAAAGAGTCCACATTAATGCAATACATTGTAAAGTCTTACCTAACCCCATTTCATCAGCCATAATACAACCTTTAGCTCTTGGATCAACAAGACCTGAAACACATCTATACAAGAATTTAACACCTTCAACTTGATGAGGTCTTAAAATCTTGGTAAGCTTAGGATCAATAATAACTGGAACATCAGGGAATTTTTTACCTTCATCTTCAGGATTTTTAGTTATACCCAATATTTCATTTAAAGATTTATGAACATTTCTTCTCTTTGAAGGACGCTCTTCCAATTCAATAGAGCATTCTAAAGTTTTACCCTCATCTCTAGCCTTTGCCTCAGCAATAGCTTTATCTAAAGCTTCAAGATCATCATCACTAATGATTTTTTCCACTGTAGGATCATAAAGAACAATTGCAGATTCATCTGAAGGATCATGTAAAGGTCTCGGTACCATTATTGGTTTTCTCTTGGTTCCCAATGGAGGTGGTGGTAATATATTAGCAGCATTTGGTTTAGAAGCCAGGGGACTAGTGAATGATCTTCTTAAAGTTGTTTCCATAGTTGACCCATAATTATTATCAGTGATAAGTCTTCTTAAACTTAGTGCATTTTTCCTCTTCATTATGGTTTGACCGTCTATATCCACCATATCGTTATTCTCCTTGTCATCTTCAACAGACATCATAGCATAAGATTCTGGACCTTTGAGCCTAGCAGATCTAACTGGTTTCCCGCCACTAGATATGGCACTTGATCTAGTTTTGAATGGTACTTTGAACGGTTTAGACAAAGTTGAAGAAGAATCCGTCATGGCTCTTGGGCGCCTCACAGCGTTAATCCCAGCACCTGTTCCTAGCTCACTGGTTGGTTTCTTTGGTAGTCTACCCATTCTCCTTCTGTTCTTGTAGTCTATCTTGGTGTAGTTCTTCTCTGTTTATTGTTTGTTTATGTTTTGATGTTTTTGTTTACTAATAAACTTTTGGAACGCGCTTGAAAATTAAAAAAACGCCACTACGCGAAACGATTTTGCTTATACAAAATATCAAAAAATATCAAAATATCCATAAACATTTTATTCAATTTCTACAAACTTTCTATCAATATCACAGTCAATATCATCATCCAAGGGTTTCTCTTTTTCCATTGCGAGAACTTCATAGTATTCCTCCAATCTCACAGGAGTCACACTGAGTCTTCCTCTCTTGACTAATGACATTTCTTGTAATTTAGGATTAGATCTTAACTCTTCTAATGTCACTTTAGATCTGAATCTTCTTAAAAATGCTACGTCAACGCACCACCATCTTGGAGCTTCTTTTGTAGATTTAGCATCGTAGTAATTGCTCTTAGGATCAAATTGTGTTGGATCTGGATGTGCTTCATTATGAACTTTTGCTAATCCAACAATACCAGGATTTGATGTATTTGAATGATAAAATAATAAATAATCACCCTTGGCCATATTTAACATATTATTTTTGGCCTCGTGATTTCTTACACCATCCCATGTTTCAAATTCAACTTTTTGTAATTCACTTAATGGGAATTTAACATCTTTACCTGTTTTAGGATCAATTCTTGTTAATGGTTCTGATTTTATAAGCCAATATCTAACATTATTATTTTTTGGATCCTTAGGAAATTCTGCAGGTTTTTTAGGTATTGGTTTAATCAATTGATTTGAATCTGATTCAATTTTATCCTTCAAAGTATCTTTATTAGTTTTAGTACTATATGATCTTGAAGATTTCTTTGTTGGTTTGGTGATTTTTAAAGGCATATTTTCTAATGTAATGTTTGCGGATGGATCTATAATTCCTGCTTTGACTAATGCAGCTGGAATGGAAAGTAATACTAATTTGAAAAATAACTCTTGACGATCAGAGTCAATTGACATTCTTTTTGTAATAAAACCGACTGTTACTTGGTGATATTTGATACTGTATCTATTTGGTTATCATGAGTACAATTGATTTTGAACTTTCCGTTATTGAGTCGCGTAATTTTTCAATGCCGGGATCTCATTTCCCTGTAGAATATTACAATGGAAAGAAGTCCAAAGTTTTAATATATCCATTACATTACAGATCTGAATATTTATGTATTTCCTATATATTATTATACTGTATCATATTAATTGTATCATATATTATATTATATTATTATTATCATATGAACCCCCCTTACCTAATAAAAATCCGTAACCCAATCACCATTCAAAATGACCATTAAATTCATTTGAATTCTTATCATCAAATCCTGAATTCCCAAAAAATAAGTTTGGTATTGGGAATAATTGTTGGAAAACATTAGAATTTGAACTTATATCAAATTCATTATTCATTGCAAATGGATCAAATGATGGTGTTTCAGTTGTAGTACTTGATGTTGATCTCATCGATGGTGCATAAGATCCTGAAACATTTCTTGTTCCTTCATTTGATACACCATTTAAATTTGAAGAAATTGGGTCATTCAAGATATTATTCAAATCTGGTGTGTTTTGTTGACTTGATCTTCTCTGTGAATCTATTGGAGAGTTTAATGAATTTGGGGATTGACCATATCTAACATTATTTAATGATGAAGGATTATTTGGTGAATAAGGAGCAGTTTGTTGAGATTTATTAGTGGTACTTGAATAATTTTTAAGATCTTGACCATGTTGTAACCCATGTGTAGTAGATCCATGATTATGTTTTCTTTTTCTATGATTATGATTATTATGATGTTCTTGATCTAATGATTGTTCATAGTTTTTCAAGTCATTTTCAATTGAAGTTATATCTAATTTATCTTGATTTGAATTGTTATAAACTAAAAATCCAATTCTAAGGAAAAATTTTGTCATATTATCAATTATATTAACCAATTTATCATCACCAAAATTTTTAGACATATTTTTCAATTTTGAGAAAAATTCATTTGCAATTCTTTGCATTAATTCTAAATCATTTTTAGTTTCTAAAGTATTGGGGAACTCTAAACATGCAGTTAATAAAGTGAAAAAAGATGATAAAAATACAAATAACGAAACATTAAAAATTGAAACTTTATAAACACCCATCTTTTGAACAATATTCAGTATATTTCTTGCAGCATCAAGACATTTAGCAATTGATTTTTTCTGTCTTGGTAAAATCTTGGAATTATCATCTGAATGATTTTCATCATGATTTAACCATGATCTCTTGAACGACATTCTATTAATAATCATAACATGTAAATAATATGAAAAATGTAACATTAATAAATGATGATCAACAATTTGATTATAAAACCCAAGTTTCAATGGATTTCCAGGTCTAAATGAAATTGGTACATTATCATTAATAGCTTCTAATTTAAAATTCAAAATTTCAATGATTTCCATAATTTGATCTGCAGTTTTACCTGATAAAGCAGTTGCACAAAATAATTTATCATAAGCCTCTGAAGTAAATTTGAAAAAACTACTTATGAAATAAGATATAATTGGACCAACACTAACATTTGAATTTGAGTTTATATTTGACTCAAAATATTGTTTAACATAAGGATCCATTATATCCCATTCACCAGATATGACTTTTTCTAGTAAATTTGCCGGGTATTGTTTTAATAATGTGATTTTCAATTCATTTAAATCCATAGTTGACATATCAGGTTCACTAACCGTTATAGGTTTCCCACCTTGTAAACAATTAACTCTATCCAAAAGATAACAAATCCACCAAATAGTTCTTCTTTTAATTTTTTCATCTTCAGACATGTTTAAAAATGATTCAACTCTATGTAATCCCATGGTTTGGCCTAATCTAATTGCTGTGGAGATTAACATAAAATTTGAATGTTGTATTAATGAAGTATTTGAATGTGCAACTAATAATAATATCCCTTGAAGAGATTTTATACCTTCACCCATCATTAAAATTCTATGGAAATAAAAAATTGCACTTTTCAAATGAACTTGTTCCAATATTTGAGTTTTAGAAAATTCTTCTGGGAAATCAATATATTTTTCTAATCTAACTGTAGTAGCTAATGCAATAGCACTATGTAAAATTAAATGATCTGAATTTGATAAATGTTTATGTGGTTTACCTTCTTTAGCTTTATAATATTCTTCAGAGATGGATTTCATTTCTTCAAGGGGGACAGTGAATGTGAAATGATTTAATTCATTATTGTAATATTCTAATAATTCATTGAAAAGTTCTCTTGGAGGTAATGGAGCAACTTGATGACTATCAATAGGTTCTAACCAAGGTTTCATGTAATTATAGAAAACTTTATGAGATCTACCAATTAAATTTTTGAAATTCTTAGCTAAATTTGGATCATTAACTTTTTTTGATAGCCATAGAACACCTCTTGGAGAAAGTACAGATAATGAAGATTGAGAGCCAATAAATTTATCTTCATCTGGTAATTTTGGATCCTGTTTAACGCCACCACAGAGTGCAGCTATTCCTTGATCTTCTTGTTGAGATTGAACTTGAATTGGATCTTTATTTTCAACTATATTTGCCTCTGGAGAAGCTTCAATTGATACATCACTTGAATTTGAATTAGTTTCTGTATCTTTAGAATCTGGTGATATGGATTCAGAATTCCCACTAAGACTTGATGGACCATTAAGCTTTTCAATCAACGTACTTATCAAAGATTCCATTTTATTCATTCTATTATCAAGTGTTTCAATACTATTATTTGATAATTTTGTATTATTATTATCCTTCTTTTTAACAACTCTTTTTTTCTCAACATAAGTATAAAGACACTGGATCCCTGTTGTAGAACATTTTGAGCAAGGTTGTTCACCATTACATTTAATCTTTCTTGTACGACAGTTATCACACGCCTTCTTGATCTTTTGCCTCTTTTGCTGGGGTTGATTTTGGTTGTCCTGTGTAGACATGGTTGAAGCCCTTAATTGAATAACCCACTATATAACCCACTTAATCACCAATAAAACACAAACTTGAATATATGAGTATATATCAACAATCACAAAATCAAAAACTCCAGTACAAATTATGAATCTTTGTAGTATAAAAGATGTCAAATTACAAGCTCATCTCGTATGGAATATTTTCCAATATCCATCTTCCGAGAGCGAAGGCGTAGAATTTTATTATACGAATTCGCGGGTATATAAATAAACTACTATCAAATTACATCAAATTCATTTCATTTTGATTTAATTCTGTTTATATAAATACTAATTTATTTATTTTGTTTCAATGCTTGATTCACAGTATCAACAACTTGATCTTTTAAAGAAATAAATTCGAAATCACCAAGTAAATCACGAGATTTTTGAGTACTAAACCCAGTTTCATTCACAGTATAAGCTTTTGATGGAGAACCTTTAGCAATTTTACCAGTTAATTGAGGAACATATTCATTAATAATGTTTAATAATTTTTGATCTGTGAAAGTTTCTGAAGCTGCAAATAATCTTTGATTTTTAATACCACGTTCAAAAGCTAAAATATGGAAATCTGCAACATCACGAACATCAACACCAATACCACTTGTATCTTTGAAAAATTTAGTATCATTTGGATCAGATTTCAACAAGTTAATAATGATTTGATTTGATGTGTTTGTCTTTTCTAAACTTGCATCTTCATCAAATAATTGTGGACCAAAGACATAAACTGGTAACACGGTATTTAAATTGAATTTAACATTATGTTCTTTAACATAATCCCATGCTGCCTTTTCAGCTAATTTCTTTGAAGCGACATAAGCTTTTCCTTGGTCTTTAACTTGATCCCATTCAATTGGATTCCAAACATTTTCATTATGAATAAATGAAGAGTCTTCCAGTTTATCAAAATTCATAACTGATGCAAATGATGAAGTAACAACAGTAGTTATAACATTTTCACCATATTTATCAATAGCTTTCAAGGCATTAATTGTTCCCTCAACAGCTGGTTTACGATATCCTTCATCAAAATCATCAGTAAAACCAAATTTAAAAGGTGAAGCAGTATGTAAGACATATTTAATATCTTTATTGTTTTTCAAAACATCATCAAAAGCACCTGGTTTGATTAAATCTTCTATAATGACAATCTTGAATTTTGGATCAGATTTATCAGTTTGGAACTTCTTGTATAAATCATCAGCTTTTTCTTGGGATCTAACAGAACCAATAACGTTATAACCTTTGTTTAATAATCTACTAATGATGTGTAATGCAATGAATCCATTAGCACCAGAGACGAAAACAGTTTCACCAGCCATGTTGTATATATGTAACCTATGAGTATAATTGAGTATAAAAGAATGAGTACAATTGATTTAATTGGAAATTAAATAGTATTTATACTTACACCCCCAAAAGCAAAATTGCTGAGAGTTTAGGAATACGATTAGCAACTGACAACTTCTGTACAAGGATCTATTGTGCAAAAGGGATATAAAGGGATATGGGATAAGTGCAACATAGATCGCAATACTACTTGTACGAGACTAGAATTACGCCATTTGAAAGTAAAATAGACTAATTGAACCTAATTGAAATTTGAAACTCACTGAATGGTTAATATCCAACGCTCTTGAATAGATATACAATCACTAATTCTTGATGACTTGACTTTGTCAATTATATGTCAATTCACCCCATACTTTGTGGCTCGGTGGTTTAATTGTTCCGATCTTGTTCCGATCAGTACTTCGTATAAGCTATCATTACACTGAGATTAACATCATCAATTAATCATTTCTTTGACTTTAAAACTCATAGAATCATCTCAAGGTAATTGAAATAGCATATTTGTCAGTTTTTCTGGTTAAGTTAAGAGAACATTACATGATGTATAGTACGTTCACTTTTCACTTCCTGTTTAGGAAGTCAACGATATTCCCAATCGCGCATTTTCAAACTTTTTGGAATTTTAAATCAGTAAACATTCATTTGATCTGGTGTTTGATCTGAAAGATTAGTAGCTATAAACTGGCAGAAACATCCAATACTAAACAAGATCATGTCATTTTTCAGCTCTATAAGGTATGTTATCCCAGAATTACTCTTGACTCTTAGTTCCACCCACTAACCACCACCACAGATCAGGATTTGGAAGAAATTCTAAAAAAAATAAACAACCAAAAGATCAAACTTCTATATATTCAGGTGGGAATGGTTCTCATTTATCTTTAAGGAGATCTCATTCTCCTGTTAAAAGTATAAGTTCAAACGCTACAAGATCTCAACAACTATATCAACAACAACAACAACAACAACAACAACAATCAAATAACACCACCAATAACAATAATACCACTGATCATAAACCTTTATTCCTTTCTGAACCTTTTGTAAGAACTGCATTAGTTAAAGGTTCTTTTAAAACTATTGTTCAATTACCAAAATATGTTGATCAAAATGAATGGATCTCTTTAAATATTTTTGAAATTTATAATAATTTAAATCAATTTTATGGTATAATTGCTGAATATATTAAACCTGAATTATATCCAACAATGAATGCAGGTCCAAGAACTGATTATCTTTGGGTTGATCAAAATAATAAAACTATTCAACTACCCGCAAATCAATATATTGAATATGTCTTGAATTGGATAAGCTTAAAATTAAATGATCAAACTTTATTCCCAACTAAAACTGGTGTACCATTCCCAGTTAATTTTATCAAGATTATTAAAAATATATTAAGACAAATGTTTAGAATTTTTGCTCATATTTATTATAATCATTTTGATAAAATTTTAAATTTATCTCTTGAAGCTCATTGGAATTCATTTTTTGCTCATTTTATTTCATTTGCAAAAGAATTTGATCTAATTGAAAATAATGATTTAGATCCTTTAATACCTTTAATTGAATTATTACAACAACAAGGTAAGATAATTTAAATAATTTAAATAATAGATGAACTTTTGAGGGACAAGATTACTTACAATACATGTAGATATTAATCATAAACTTTGCAACATATTATGTACAAAATCAAACTTTATTCAAGAAAAAAAATTATACAACTATTTACATGATATTTTCCTTCTTTTTAACTTTTATTTACGATATGATTTCTCATTATAATCTATATCTTATGCAGTTTTAGTGTGGGTCTCTTGATTCGTAAAAAATGGCATTAAAGCATTAAATGGGGTTGGTGTGTTTGTTTTATGTTGTTTTTTGATGAATGAATAATCATGAAAAGAAATATTTGGAATTTCTTAAATCATTAACATCAAAATCACCTTTTGGTGGGATATCTGGTAATCTTAATGGTGCGAAAACTTTTAATTTTTGTGCTGATTTTTTAACTGGTTTTTTTAATTCTTCTTCTTCTTCATATTCATTTGTATTTTCAAGACTTTCTTCAAGTTCTTCAGCTAAAGAATTCTTCATTGATTTCATAGCTTGGGCAGATGTTAAATCTTTTAAATCTTCATTTTCTAATAAACTAACTGTTGTAACCATAGATTCACCTTTAGCTATTTTATTTTCATCACCACTATTTAATAATAATTGTCTTTGTCTTTCTAAATAAACTTCATCACCTAATGTAACTGGTCTACCTAATTGTGAAGTTAATTCTTTTCTCATTGCTAAAATTTTTTTACCAACTTCACTTTTATAAGGAATTTCAATTAATTGTAAAAATCCTTTATAACGTTCATCAAATTCATCTTTTAATCTTGCAATAAGATCAACTTGATGTAATTCAATGAATGTTTCTCTTAAACTTTCACTCATTTCTCCAACATCACATGCATGTGTCCAATATGAATCATGAACTGCTGCAAATTCTAATCCTTTCTTACTACATGAACTTGCACTTAATAACATATGTGAAGCATCTAATGAATGAATGAAATTTGGAGGGAATGCAGCCATTTGTTTTCTTGCATCAACTTGATGTAATTCATAAGGATCTTGAATGAAAACAGTTTGTAAATTAGTTTGAATTTGTTTTTTAACTATAGCACGATATGGTTGAACAATTGGTAAATCTAATGGTGTTGTCCAAATAACACTAGCCATAAATGATGGTTTCTTCTTTGGTCCCATTTCTTCATATGAATCAATATCAATTCTAACAGATTTTGAAATCATTTTTGCACAAATTGCTAACCAATCTTGAATTAAATGAGCACCTTCAAATAATTCTCTCATACTTGCAAAGACGACTTTTGTTAAATAAACACTTAATTTATAACTTTGATCTTCTGAGAAAACATTTTGTAATTGTTTATGAATTTGATTTGTTGCACCAACTTGTGTAACACCATAAACATTTGTCATAACTGTTTGTTTAACAACTTTTCTTTTAATATTATCTTTCAACATTCTAGCATTTTCATCACCATTTGCTGCAGCTTCTTCTAATTTAGCACGAACTAATTTCGCAACATGTGTATAGACATCTTGTGGTTTATCTGATGGAGCTAAATTAACTTGAGTAGCACCTTCAACATCACCACCTAATGCGGCATAATGTTGTAACCCATTACATGTACCATCTTGATGAACTGGTTGATGAGAAATATGTTTAGTTGGATCTGGTAATTTTAAAGCATCTGCTAAATCAATAATTGTAGCTAATGCTTGCCATGGTTTATCAGCTTTTGTCCACCATTCTTGATTTGCCATTGGATCTTCTGCAGCTCTTTTAACTAATTCAATATTATCATTAACAAACGCTTCACGTTCATTTAATGGAGCTTTATCAATACCGAATAAATTAGCTAAATGAATTTTTAACCATCTTAAACCTTCTTCACCAATTTCTTTACCTTTCCAGAATAATAATAAACCTCTTGATAAATCACTACCCATATGATTAAAATTTGGACTGATTGGATAAGCACGACCTCTAAAATCTAAATTATGTGGGAAATAAAATTTTTCACCAAGGAAAGCTCTTGCAATTTCTAATTTATAATTTGCATCACATCTTGTTGATCTATCAGTTGCATATTTATCTTGTAAAGCTTTAACTTTAATTTTCCATTCATTTAAAACACTTGGATCAGAACTTCTTGGTGGAACTTCAGGTAATTCAAGTGATTCATGAGCTTTTGGAATATCCAAGAATTCATCACCTGTATTCCAAATTTTACTCATAACTTTAAAAACGCGTTCATTAACAGTCCATGCAGTATTACCTAAAACATTTAACCCATCATAAACTTTATCTAATTTATCTGATGATGCTTTAATATATGCTAGTTGTTCTGGAGAATCTCTTAATCTAATAATTTGATTTTGTGAATAATAATATGCACCATTATTCCATGAGGTCCATGGACGTGGTTGAATTAACATTGGTAAAGATTGTGGTTGAACAGCACCAACTAATTTATCAGCTGATAATTGAGAACTTAAAACTTTATGAATTTTTAATATACCAATCTTGGCACCGTTATGATATTGGAAACTATGATAAAAGGCTGGAGCTTCACCTCTAACTAATTGTTTTGTTGATGGATCAACACCACTAACTTCAACTTTAGCAACATGCATTAAGATTGAAATTAAAACTGAACCAATTTTAACTTTAATATCTTGTGGCCAATATACTTTCATATCAGAAATAACATCATTTTTAAAATTAGATAATGACATTGAATATTTTTTTAAATTTTTTGGATTTGATAATTTAGAATTATCAAAATTTTTAACGAAATTTTTTTCTGTATTTAAAATTTGTTCTGATCTAAATTCTAATTCCAAGGCTTTAGAAACTGATAAAACAGCTCTTGCAGTTCTCATACCTTCACTAATACCACCAGTTGAATTATTTTTCAACATTTCTAAAATAGTAATGACAGTGACTTTCTTTGGATCTAATAATCTTAAATATGGAGCATATTTCTTTCTTTCACTATGTTGTGCAAAAGCTTCATTTTTTAAAGTTTTAATTTGAATATCATCAACATTTTTACAACGTTCAATTTCATCACGAACCAATGGCATCATTTGTTCAAACCAACCCCATAATCTTGCATTCAAACTTTTTGACATTCCTAAATCACCTCTTTTTTTAATTTCTTCATATTCATGTTTCCATTTTTCTTGTGCTGCTTCAATTGATTTATTTTCTAATGCTGTTTGTCTTTCGACATTGAATTCATTTAATGCTTCTTCAAAAAGATCTCTTTTATCCAATGGTAAACTTTTATAAACTTCAAAAAAATTTGCCTGGGTTTCACTATCATTTGTGAAAAATTCAAGTTTTTCTTCTAATTTTTCATTAAATTTTTCTAATAGCTTAGAATTTAAATCTGGTTCTAACGATAGCAATGTATGTCTAATAACTTTCATACCGAAAGTATCAACTGATTTTAATTCTTCAGCATTTTGTTTGTTTAAAACTGCTGGTTCATAATCTGCAGATCCCATTAGTGGTTCTAATAATGGAGAGGTGGTGGTAGTTGTAGTTGAAGTTGTTGTTGGTGATGATGATGATGATATATTTGTTTCGTGTGTTACTTCATTGGTATCTTCGACATTATTATCAATGGTGATCAAATCTCTATAAGCTGCTGGAACGAATTTTATATCTAAATTATTTTGTTCCACTATAAGTTTCAAATTTTGTAAACCAAATACATCAACATTTCTAAGTAAACTTCTAAAGTCAGCTCTTCCAGATAAATATGGTAATAAGTATTTTTCATAAGGATTATTTTTGGTCATTAAAGCATTTATTATGATTGCATCAGTTCTAGCATTTGTTTGTAATTTCCCACTAGATCTCCAATTTGCCACAACGGCTTCAATCTCTGTTGGTGAAGCTAATGGAGCAAACTTATTCAAATATTTATTGAAATCATCAACAAAGGAGAAATTATCCTCGATTGATAAAGGGTGTAATGTAGTTAAAATGGATTCTGCTCTTTCAAATTGTGATGAATCAAGACAGACATCTAATAAAGACCATAGTCGCATGACTTCTTTAGAATGGGATTGACGGAAAACACCATCGTATGGGGTTGACCATTTATTAGCATGGACCTCTTCATCAGATTTGACATTAATTCTACCTGGAGTTTTAGATCCTAATGAAATATGTTTCAATTCTTCAATCAAATTATTTTGTAGCGAACTGGCACTAGACACATTAGTTCTTTTGAAAGCCTGTACCAGCACAGCGGGACTGCGTCTGTTGAGAATTCTCTTTCTAGCAACGGTACTCAACATCCTCCTTCTCAAAACCTTCTTAGACTGAGTGTTTCTTGAACCTGATACCTAGCAAAGCGCTTATTGTAATGATCTGTTTATCTTTATTGAAATCAATATTTAATACCAAATTTTGTTACAGATAATTTTTCACATAAAAAAGAAAAACAAAAAAAAAAAAAATTTAAAACCTTTTTTACGCCAAAATTTAAAAATTTCGTTAATTGCGAGAAATGGTGTCAACGACTACAGGTTCCAGTAATTTATCTTAAGAAGTTCGAATTGTAAAAGTCATATACAAAAGTGGAAGAAAACTTTTCATGAAGAAAACTTTTCATCTTGTAACTTTGTGTGCTTTACCATTTACCCTGACATCCCCCCCCCATGGAAATAACTTTGTATGTAGTTCATTGTGTTCTTATAATGTAAGAATTGAATGAAGTTTGTATAAAGTTTCGAACCATGCATCTCAGAGACAGGTAAGAGTAACGGAAAGTAAATATAATAATCTAGCCTCGATTGGACAACCATTAATCAGCATAACTCGATCAGCATCTTTCGTGATTATCTTCTGGTCCTAATTATTAGTATATCACACTAAATCACTTGCGTCACCTTCTTAGCAGCATATAATAAACTCAATTCTAATTGTGTAGTAGCAGCAATACTAATATTTGGATACCAACATATTCACAACATCTTAAAAAGTCCTCATTTCGACGATCAAATAGGTTTCATATGTAATTATAATGGTAGCGAACCGACTATAACCAAGGATAAGTGACAAAATTCAGTATGGTTATTCAAGTTGATCAGACCGTGGAATAAGTGTAAAATTTTGGCCTTGGAATATGAATATCTAACTTTGAAGACCGTGAGGCTACTCAGTAAGTAACCCTGCAAGTAGTTGAGTAATATTAGTAGTTGGAGCTTCTGAACCAAATTGTAAAATAGGAATAACTTCCTTATATTTAGTAGGACTGAAACTTTTAGTGAAGACGTCAGCTGGATTTTGCTTTCCAGCAATTAACAGTAAATCAATCCAGCGAAATTGAACAACCCATGACCGTAGTTCTTGAACCTTAGGAATTCTAGCTGGTAATTCAATAGTTTGTGTATATCCATGTAACTTGTTATGTAACGGTTTATTATCAGTATATACCCGCATAGGATATTGTATTTCTTTTGTAGAACCTTTAACTAACCCATATAATATACCAACAATATGTAACAAATGCTTCACCGATGTGTGTAATGCTGAAAATTCAGAATCAACTGTAGAACCTGAGGAATAGATCGGCATAGAACTTGACTGCCAATTGATCAAGTCATTCCCAAAATAATAACAAGCACCTAAGCTGGTGGAATAATCTAAAGCAGCATCTGTAAATAATGTCACATATTGATTCAAATTATTTGAATCAAACTTATCAATACCTGAATACCACAAACCACTATTCTTATTGGTGTAAACATACCTAAATAACCATTGCAATAATTTCAATGTCAGCCCATTTCTTGGTTGTTTTGAATAGTAATTAACAAGATATGAAATATGAGGGAACGTCCGTTGACTAATCCAAAGGAGGACACCAACTAAAGCTTGTATGGTTTTGACTGGTACTTCAATTTCTTCTAAGCGTTCTTCAGCCCATTTTAAAGGAATTGTCATTGGACATGGTGATGTAGTTGGACGAATAAGACCTTCTGTCAATTTCAATTGTTCTGCAACTTTATTGATATATTGGGTTTGTTTAATCTGAATTTTTCCATCTGCATGATAGACTAATTCACAGCCTAAGAACACACTTGGTTGTAACGTATGCTTGATAGTAAATTTTGTACCCATATACTTAGTAAATGCGTTAACAATGAATTCTTCACCAGCGTAACCCAAATCATCGACATACATTATAATGAGTCCAAGTAACGTACCCACGGTATCATAAATTCCAAAAGCACAAACATCATGGTGATTTTCCTTGACTTGTAATTCATATCCAGCAATCTTAAATGATAATATAGCAGCACGTAATGTTAAATAAAAGTTAACTGGAGAATCCCTTAAGCCATAAGTAGACTTGTTCAGTTTAACATATTTGGTATTAATAAATTTGAAACCTGGTGGAGTTTTGAGGAACACATCTCTTTTCATTAACGCATAATGAAATGCAGTGGAAATATCAAGACCATTGAAAGTCCAACGTTTGGAAATGATGATAGATAAGAACAATCTAAAAGTTGTAATTTGTAAAGTTGGTGCAGCAGTAACTAAATTGGACTCTTTTTCTAAATTACCTAAAATAATGAACCGCGCCTTGGCCACGAATTCATTGTTGTAAGCTGAAAACTTTATTGAGAAATTCCAGAAACCGTGGAGTAATTTACTAATACCATCAGGGAGATTATCTATTTGTTGCATCACATCATTTTCCTTAAACCTAGATTCTTCCACACCTATAGCACGAGCAAAAATTGGAATCTTCATAGCAGCATGATATGATTTTGGAATGGCAAATTTAGCTGAAGTACCTTTTATAATATCAGCATCCTGTATACCTAAAGGAACAGATTGATTTAGACTTGGTATAATTGGTTGATGAAGATCCGTTCTATTTGAAGATGAGGTTTCCACTGGTAAGGAAAATAAAGGATCTGTTGATGGACTGGATTCTTCATATGTACCTGACGTATTTGAAAAAACTTCATCTATGATTTCAATGGGAGCCAATTCTTCATGTATAGCTTCATTCAAATTGTTAATCCATTTGAGCACCATAGTTTCTTTAGGACTTGTACTATTGTATGTACCAGTACCAGGTTCTTCATCTATGTTAAAAATGCTTGCACCTGTAGGTGATGTGAGTTTTTCATTTGGAAAGTTGACTGGACCATTAAATCCTTCTAATTTCTCTTTTATTTGAGTAGGATTGTAACCATAAACAGCTGGATGAACCGTAGGTAAAGCTGTATAATGACCTAGTGCTCTTTGTACTATTTTTGACAGCAATTCAATATACATATAACTCAACATACCTTTAAAACTAGTAGCAGGCACCACTTGTAATGGAAATTTTAACAATAAAAAATGATGCAAACCTGAATAAACATCGTAATACACAAAAATGCCCTGGACTTTAACCTTTTGATACATCAAGATGATGTCGCTTCCAAAAAGAGGAAAATTCTTTGCTTTTGGAGCTCTACCTAAAAAAGCATTAACTCTGGTGGTATCTAAATTGTTGTTTATCCATCTATTTTTTAACGCGTTCGAGTAGGACCATGCATATGGGTATAATATGGAATAGATCAATTTATCTGTAAAAGGTTTCATCACTAATTCCACAAAGGTTTTATGAAGGGAAATGTGCCTTTCAGCAACCCCATTGTTGGCAGGGTCATGTGCTGAATGTGATAATCTTTCATAACCATATACTGAAACTAGTTGCAAAAACTCAGTTCCTAAGTCACACTTGAGTTGACCTATATCTTTTCCTTGAATAACTTTCCATTTGGTTAGCATCTCATGTGTACCCTTTGCGATACTGTTCTTATTTTTAAAGACGATCACTTCACTAAATTTAGTGAGATCATCTACAAGCACAACCGTAAAAAGTTTGACCCCACTATAGAGATCCAATTTGTGACCTGTAGTGTCAAGATGTACCAATTGCAAAACTCTTGAACTCCATAAACTACTAAACCTTTGGACTTTTGGCTGGCGTTTGAGCTTCACGATAGCACATGTCTCACATTTCTGTAGCATTAATCGCCCTGTGGACGTAATTCTATAACCCATTTGTGTAATTCTTGTTTCACTGGCATGACCTAGTAACAAATGTAGTACAGCGACTTGTAGCGTATTTAATTGAACCTCTTCGGATCCATCTAAATCTAGCAAATTCTGAAGCGATTCCAATTCGGATAAAAACTGATTGTGATCAACTTGTGTGAAATGACTGTGCAATAGATTGAATACATCCTCTTTGGTGTATGTAAAACTGGTTTTTAAATCTTGTTTATCATCTGGATTCAGCATATCATCTATTTTTAGTGCGATAGATAATAATTGATGTTCAATAGTCTTTTCTAAAGTAATAGGACCAATATATTCTTTCTTTGAACCAGTATTTAACTTCACCCTATCATGACTCAGCGTATCTCCTGAAAAAACTAGTTGCAGTTTCAATTTGGTAAGTGATTTTATGCTTATTATCAGAGCATGTGGAAGAATATGATGATCAACAAACACTGCTGGAATTTTCACCCTGGTTTTTGATGGTAACAATATTTGTATCAGATGGAGTTCTGTACAAGTATATGTAGTATTGTTCCCAAAACGTAAAACAATTTTATATGGGGTACAACCAAGTGAATAAGCAAGCAGTCTAGTAGACACAACGGTGAGCGTGGCGCCACTATCATAGAGAGCTTGTACCTCCTGTGGTGATAACGCTTGACTTCTAGTAGTTTCTTCTTCCAACTCTTCTGTACCAGCTAAAACATTTGTGGATCCTAATTCATCAATAGAAGTTATGTCAGAATCAATCGAATTTATAGCAAGCACGTCTACAGTGACTACGTTGTTGGAGTAGTTTGATGATGTCTTATTGCCTGTAACTTTACCATGTACATATTGTTTCATGATATTCGACTGCCTATAATCTTTACTAAAAATATGATTTTGTCCTTTATGTTTGTAACCATAACATTCGAAGCACCCAGGACCAGCTTCTGTACCAACAGCAGCAATTGTTCCGGTAAACCTTGATGGAGATTCTGAAGCACTAAAACGGAATTTTAAATGATTGATGTTTTTAGGAGAAATCAAACGGAATTGACCTGAATTGATATCATTTGATGTTGTAACTGAATTCACAGTTTCTGTTCCATATTCAGGATAATCATTGAAATGATGGTCTCTAATGATTTCTCTCAGTTTAGCAACACTAACATCTAATTTGTGATCTGAATTGTTAATCAATGAACGAAATTTAGGCAATAACTCAGATTTTAACCTTGGGTATTGTTGTAATTGATTGAATATTCTCACCAACATCATTCCATCATATGGATCAGCAAATGCCGAAACCATTTCAGTTTTAATTTCATCATAAAAAGCCAACTTGTCAGTAAACCGTGGAATCTCTTGTACTCTATCTTCATCCACAAAGACACTAAGTAATCTTTCGATGCTGTTTAAGCTATCATCCCTAGATAAAACTTCTTGAAGCAAAGCACTTGGTGAAAACTTGGAGGTATTCCAGGTATTTGTAGCTTCAATTGGAAGAATGTGTTTCAATAACCAAATCTTTGTGGTAGCTGATAATTGATGATAAAATTGTAGATGACCAACTTTGCTAACTTTGGAATCGATAATCCACTCTTCTGGAAACTCGTTCTCTTTCGGAACCTCTGAATTCAAAACCCTGTAAACTTCCGGTAATAAATGCTTTGTTTGTTCTAATAACCACCTATGAGCTTTATGGACAGAGTAGCTATAATTAAAATGCAGCGCGTGCGCCTCACTGAAATTTTTCAAATGATTCAAAGTGTAATTTCGATCTTTCAAAATGTCTGACGTTAATTTGGTGGAGACTTCTTTAGACACACTTGGAGACCCTGTGTCTTGTACCTTGGTTGACAATTTTTCAATTAAAGCTTTTTGATTGGCTAATGACATTGACTCGAACTGTTGAGTGAGTTGTGTAAGAGAATCTTCAGGAACAGCAGCCTTGGAGCTATCTGAAGCAGTTGGACCTTTACTCATTGGAAATAGCAATTTCTGGAACTAAAATATAAATAACACAGCGCTTTCTTTTTCTATTTTCCTCTTGAATAATAATGAAGTACCTGTAGACAATTTTCAACGTCCCACAAAATTGAGTTAAAGCGACGACCAGACCAATAATATAAAACCTAATGAAAATTACCTGTCTCTCAAGATGGAATCTCATAACCTGTCAACGACTACAGGTTCCAGTAATTTATCTTAAGAAGTTCGAATTGTAAAAGTCATATACAAAAGTGGAAGAAAACTTTTCATGAAGAAAACTTTTCATCTTGTAACTTTGTGTGCTTTACCATTTACCCTGACAAATGGAAATGCCAAAAGTGTAAATATTTCTCCATTGAGTAATTACTATATCGGGTAATCTGTTTTTCGCAAATTAGTGGTTTTACACCCGCACACCATCGCGAATATTTTGTTATTTTTGAGCATTTGATTTGTACTTTTGGAGGCCAAAACAGGAGGTGATTTCTTAAAAGTTATTCCTAATTCAACACATTCAAAAGATTTGATTGATTTGGATTTTATTGTTTTTAAAAGCTCATTGTGGATTGGTTTAGAAGGTATTCAATAATCTTGATATAATTATTATAACTAAATTTTACAAAAATGTGGTCATATATGTTTGGAGGAGGTAATAAAGATAAAGAAGCCCCAAAGAAGGCTATCATTACATTAAGAGAACAAATAAATATGCTTACTAAAAAGCAAAACCATCTTTATACACAAATTGAAGATCAACAAAATATAGCTAAAAAATTTATATCAAGTGATACAGTAAAAGCTAAAAATGCTTTAAAACGTAAAAAAGTATTAGATAATGAAGCAACTAAAATTTCATCACAAATTGATGCTTTAGAAAATCAATTACGTTCAATAGAAAGTGCAAATTTGAATTTAGAAACTATGAAGGCTATGAAACAAGGTGCAAAAGCTATGAAACAAATTCATGGTGGTATTACTGTAGATAAAGTTGATCAAACAATGGATGATATTAGAGAACAAGCTGAATTAGGTGAAGAAATTAGTGAAGCAATTTCAAGATCTTATCCAGGTGAAAATGTTGATGAAGATGAATTAGAAGATGAATTAGAAGCTTTACAACAAGAAGAAATTGATAATAAATTATTAAATTCTGGTCAAAAACAATCTCAACAACAATATTCTCAACCACAAGTTAAATTACCTGATGCTCCAAATACAAGTATTAGAGAAGATAAATCTAAAGAAAATGAAGAAAGTGAAGATGAAGATGAAAAAGCTTTAAAAGCTTTACAAGCTGAAATGGGATTATAATGTGTTAATTCAACTCATGTAACTTTTCTAGATTTTCACTTATAGATTATTAAATCATTAATATAACTAGTGATATTATTTTGCATATTGTGTTTTTGTGTTTTCCTTTTGATATTTTAATTTTTTTCTTTCTTTTCTCTATTTGACTTTTAATTACACATTTATGGTGTTGAATGCAAATTATTTTAATATATATTATTGCATATTATTATGGGAGTTAATGTTTCATATTATATATCTATAGTTCTTTTTTAATGAATGTTATTATTACAACTTATAAAAGTTTTACTGTATTGTATATTATTAAATTAGATCCTATAAAACTCCCAAACAAGTATAAATTTTCAATTAACCAGGATCCATAAAATGAAAAAAATAATTAAAATCCCAAAAATTTTTAAAAACATCCATCTATTATTACTTATATTATTAAAATATTTAAATAATTCTCTTTGAGCACCTTGAATATTTAAATCTATATCTTCAACATTATTATCAATTCTTTGAATAACTTCACTTTGTTCACTAACCATCGTAGCCAATTGTTGAAATAAATTACCAACTTCATTAATGGTACTTTCAATAGTCTCTACTGCATTATGACGTTCTTGTAAATATTGTGATGATTGTTCTTCTAATAATTGTAATTGTTGATCTTGAGGTAATGATAATAATGCATTATTTTCTTCATTCCCATTCCCAGGAATACCACCATTTCCATTTATTGCTGGATCATTTAAAAATGGATTATCTGATTGGAATGTAGTAGCTTGACCATTTTGTTGTTGTTGTTGTTGTAAAGTGGAAAAAAATTTCTCTTTTCTTGATCTATTTTCCATTTCATTTTTTTGTCTTGTTTCTAAAACTTCTTTAAAATTACCACTAACATTTTTCATTTTGGTATTTAATAATTGAACAATATTTTTAGAATTTGTTTTCAATTCTTCATTTGATGATTCATTACCAGTTTTTAAATAATCTTGTAAATTTTTTAAATTTTTTTCAATTTTAACAATATCTTGTTTTATAACATAAGTTAATTCTGATATTTCAATAGGTTTATCATCAAATAATGGTTTCTTTTTAGCTAATAGGGCAAGTTTTCCCAATAGATCCGAGGTATGTGATATATCTTTAGCAATATTAGAAGCTCTAGATTGGAATTCTGATCTTTTAATCAATGGTTGTTGTGTTGTATTGGTTTGTTGATTAAATTGATGTGCTTTATTTCTCTTGTTAAATGTATTAACACATTGTTGAAACTCAACAGTACGGTTTCTTATATCTTGTGGCTGATTAGGAGCATAGACTGACATTATAATGAACCCTGTATTCTCTTGATATCTTAATATCTGGTATTTGTATACATTAATCTCTCATAATCACTGAGTATTATTGTGTCCTTTTTGAATTCGAGAATCTCAAAAAGTTGAAATCCGACCAAATTTTTTGTGCCACCTGACGCGTCACCTGAGCACCTCGGATCTCATTTTATATGCAGAAAAAAAAAATTTATAATACTCAGAAAAAGCTCATCTCGAACCATAAATTTATATCTATTTAATTGAGTTTAATAGGATCAATTGAAATTAAAAGATGTCTAAGAGATTGAACGAAGACCAAAGTCCAGGTAGAAACACTGCTGCCAAGTCTGAAGCCAACGCAGCTCCAGGTTCAGCTAATAAGATTGAAGCTGTTGATGGTGATGTTGATATGGGTGAATTTGAAGATCCATATAGTGATGAATATGAAAGTGATGAAGAAATTGTTGAAATAGATGATCAAAATGATAATGAAGAAGAAGAAGAAGGTAAAGATGCCCAAGATGTAATCAAGAAGGATGAAGGTGAACAAACTTCTGAACCAACTATTTATTTACCACATAAATCAAGACCTTTAGGTCCTGATGAAGTTTTAGAAGCTGATCCTTCAGTTTATAACATGTTACATAATGTCAATTTACCATGGCCTTGTTTAACTTTAGATGTTTTACCTGATCATTTAGGTGATGAAAGAAGAAATTATCCAGCTTCATTATATGTCACTACTGCAACTCAAGCTTCAAAAAAGAAAGATAATGAATTATTAGTTTTAAAATTAAGTCAATTATCTAAAACTTTAGTTAAAGATGAAAATGAAAATGATGATGAAGAAGAAGATGATGAAGATGAATTTGATGGTGAACCAATTATGGAAAGTGAAAGTATCCCATTACATGATACTACAAATAGAATAAGAGTTTCACCACATGGTGCATCAACAGGTGAATATTTTACTGCAACATCAAGTGAAAATGGTGAAGTTTTAATTTATGATTTAAGTTCACAATATAAAGCATTTGATCAACCAGGTTTTACCATTCCAAAAAATGCAAAAAAACCAATACATACTATTAGAAATCATGGTAATGTTGAAGGTTATGGTTTAGATTGGTCACCATTAATTAAAACTGGTAGTTTATTATCAGGTGATTGTTCTGGTAGAGTTTATCTTACAAATAGAACAAGCTCCAATTGGGTTACTGATAAAACACCATTTACTGTGGATAATAATGAATCTATTGAAGATATTCAATGGTCAAAAGCTGAACAAACAGTTTTCGCTACAGCAGGTACAGATGGATATATAAGAATTTGGGATACAAGATCTAAGAAACATAAACCTGCAATTTCAGTTGTTGGTTCACAAACAGATATTAATGTTATTTCATGGTCAGAAAAAATTAATTATTTATTAGCAAGTGGTGATGATGATGGTAAATGGGGTATTTGGGATTTAAGAAATTTTAAACCAGGTCAACAACCTTCACCAGTTGCACAATATGATTTCCATAAAAGTGCAATCACATCAATTAGTTTTAATCCATTAGATGAATCTATTATTGCAGTTAGTTCTGAAGATAATACAGTGACGTTATGGGATTTATCAGTTGAAGCTGATGATGAAGAAATTAAACAACAAAGAGCAAATTCAAAAGAATTAGAAGGTATCCCACCACAATTATTATTTGTTCATTGGCAAAAAGATGTTAAAGATGTTCAATGGCATAAACAAATTCCAGGTGCTTTAGTTAGTACTGGTACTGATGGTTTAAATGTTTGGAAAACAATCAGTGTGTAATAGAAAAATAAATCATATATTGTTTGTTATTGTTTAATCATTCTTTTTTAATGCATATGTTAGGTCTCTATTGTTTATTCTTCAAATGTATAATATTGATCTTCTTGAACTAATAATACTTCATCTTTTTCAGCAATATATTCATAATAAGTACAAAGAACTAATAATGTACCTTGTAACACAGCACCAGTTAAATATGGGAACCAACTACTCCAATTTGAACCAGGTTTAAGTATTAAAGTTGCAGTCCATATGAATCCACCAGGTGTTTGAATACACATCATTGGTATTGATAAAGAACCAGCCTTCTTCAAATGAATTGTAGTTTTCAATTGAGGTAAATATTGAATAATTGCCACTATAGTTGAAAAAATCCCCAAGATTTGTGCATATTTTAATATAAAATTTGATGATTTTATTCCATAAATAAATGAAATTATTAAACTTATTATTATGAATCCTGTGAACCATAAGATTTGTTTCCAAACTTTTATAACTTCAAGATATTCTTCATAATCTAATGGATTTCTTGTAAATATGACACAAAGGAAAACAACTAATAATGTTGAAAAAGTTTGTAAACCAACTTGAATTAATGAAATTTGAGAATTTATACATTCAAATTTTGTAATTTCCAAACAACATGGTATTGATATGAATGATAATAAGATTAAATTAGAAGTAGCAGCAATACCTGATAATGAAGATAATAATAAGAAGACAGGTGATAATCCAGTTGAAGATTTAGTTTGAACAATTTTAATATGTTGTGGAACATAAGATAATACAATTCCTATTGATATAATAACTGAAACAATGAATGTAGATTTCAAAGGGTTTTCATAAATGGAGCAATTCACATGTTCCAGCATGACTTGGTTGTGCTTTTATTGATAATGACTTGAATATGGACTGTAGCTTTGTTTATTTGTTTATTTGTTTAGTTCTTTTGTTGATCAAATTGATTAAATCTTGTGGTATTTTCGCCTCTGTTTTATCGCGCGTGAGACAAAATCCTTACGGGAATAAGCGCCAAATTAATGTATGGGTTGACAGGTTATTGCAAATTTAAATTATATAGTTGAAATGAATACTAAATTTCTTGGTGATAATTGATTTCTGAGCTTATAATTATACAGAAGTTTGAGATTCTATACATATAGTTTCCATTTAATTCCTAATTGTATGTCTACTACTTCTATACACAACGAAATGTACTGATCCATTATACTTCTGACTCTATGAATATCAATATCTCTGTTACATATTATTATAGTACATCACAGAAATACTATAATATACCCTTAAATTGATTCCTAGTTATAATGTTCATAGAAATATCTCAGTATATAATTAATTTAACCGTCGGTCCGCGGTTTATATTAACCG